CATCTGACCTCCTTAAATAAAGAATCATAGAACTCTACAAACCCAAAATATTGTTCATGCTCATCTTACTAACCAATAAAATCAATCTTTTATTTAGCTGCTTCCACCACCTTAAAGCTATTTTCATCATCCGCCACTTGTTCCTTGATGCAAATTATCTTATCCTCGTGGCATTCTTTAATCCAATATTCCTTTTAAATTCTTAGGAGCTCAATCTAGATCTCCATTCCAAATAATAAAAACATTCTTATCCTCCTCTAAAAACAAAGAACTCTTTCCAAAAAGCTTCTAGCTTCGTCTAAAACTTTAATCCAATAGTCATTGTTTCAATGAAATTATCTTTTTTCCATCCACAAATATAGAACCATAAAACCCTTGAAATCCAAAACATTGATCTTTCTTCATCTTATTGACCAATACAATCCACCTTTTCTTTAAATGCGTCCACGTTTAGAAATTCCTATAAACCACTTTTCGTCACCCATCTATTGTTCCTTATTCATGTGAATCTCTCCACCACATGGAAAAAGAACAAATAATGTACCACAAGCCTCCAATAATTTCAACAAACCTTTTGTCCAAACACAAATTCTCAACCACGACAATCAAATGCTAGTGATTCACGACTATTTCCACTTTTCACATAAATCTAGAAACATTTCCAAGCTTCTTCTAATGGCATGCATATATCATTAAAATTCAAAATATAATTTTCCAATAATGTCTTATTCTTTAGTTGTAACATATCCATTTCAATGTCCTTCCACAATAACACCATGTTATCTTTTTCCCTTTCAAGCACACACATCACCAAAGTATCTTCTCATTTCATTATTCAACCCAAAACATGTAAAGTTGATCCTAGTAATCCGTCCACTTAGCTAATTGACATTTACCTCAAATAAATCGAAATACTAGAGAGCTCAATCATTATTACTCATCTAAAAAGCAAAAATTCTTATCCACTACTAAAACAGAAAATTATTGAGGTCTTTTGGCCTCATCGTATTCTTTAATCCAATATTCCTTTTATACTAAGAAACCATATTTTGGCCTCCTTAAATTAAGAATCATAGAACTCTACAAACCCAAAATATTGTTCATGCTCATCTTACTAACCAATAAAATCCATCTTTTCTCTAGGTGCTTCCACCACCTTAAAGCTATTTTCATCATCCGCCACTTGTTCCTTGATGCAAATATTCTTATTCTCATGGCATTCTTTAATACAATATTACTTTTAAATTCTTAGGAGCTCAATCTAGATATCCATTCCAAATAATAAAAACATTTTTATCCTCCCCTAAAAACAAAGAACTCATTAAAAAAGCTTCTAGCTTCGTCTAAAACATTAATCCAATAGTCCTTGTTCCAATGAAATTATCCTTTTTCCATCTAAAAATATAGAACCATAAAACCTTTGAAATCCAAAACATTGATCTTTCTCCGTCTTATTGACTCAATACAATCCACCCTTTTCTTTAAATGCGTCCACGTTTAGAAATTCCTATAAACAACTTTTCGTCACCCATCTATTGTTCCTTCTTCCTGTATGAATCTCTCCACCACATGGAAAAACACCAAATAGTGTACCACCAGCCTCCAATAATTTCAACAAAACTTTTGTCCAAAAACAAATTCTCAACCACGACAATCAAATGCTAGTGATTCACGACTATTTTAGCTTTTCACATAAATCTAGAAACATTTCCAAGCTTCTTCTAATGGCATGCATATAGCATTAAACTTCAAAATATACTTTTCCAATAATGCCTTATTCTTTAGTCGTAACATATCCATTTCAATGTCCTTCCACAATCCAACCATGTTATCTTTTTCCCTTTCAAGCATACACATCACCAAAGTATCTTCTCATTTCATTCTTCAACCCAAAAAATGTAAAGTTGATCCTAGTAATCCGTCCACTTAGCTAATTGACATTTGCCTCAAATAAATCGAAATACTAGAGAGCTCAATCATTATCAACTCATCCAAAAAGTGAAAATTCTTATCCACTACTAAAACAGAAAATTATTGAAGTCTTTTGTCCTCATCGCATTCTTTAATCCAATATTTCTTTTATACTAAGAAAGCATCTTTTGGCCTCGTTAAATAAAGAATCATAGAACTCTACAAACCCAAAATATTGTTCATGCTCATCTTACTAATCAATAAAATCCATCTTTTCTCTAGGTGCTTCCACCACCTTAAAGCTATTTTCATCATCCGCCAATTGTTCCTTGATGCAAATATTCTTATCCTCATGGCATTCTTTAATCCAATATTCCTTTTAAATTCTTAGGAGCTCAATCTAGATCTCCATTCCAAATAATGAAAACATTCTTATCCCCCTCTAAAAACAAAGAACTCTTTAAAAAAAACTTCTAGCTTCGTCTAAAACTTTAATCCAATACTCCTTGATCTAATGAAATTATCTTTTTTCCATCTACAAACACAGAACCATAAAACCCTTGAAATCCAAAACATTGATCTTTCTCCGTCTTATTGACCAATACAATCCACCTTTTCTTTAAATGCGTCCACGTTTAGAAATTCCTATAAACCACTTTTCGTCACCCATCTATTGTTCCTTAGTCATGTATGAATCTCTCCACCACATGGAAAAACACCAAATAGTGTTCCACCAGCCTCCAATAATTTCAACAAACCTTTTGTCCAAAAACAAATTCTCAACCACGACAATCAAATGCTAGTGATTCACGACTATTTTCACTTTTCACATAAATCTAGAAACATTTCCAAGCTTCTTCTAATGGCATGCATATATCATTAAAATCCAAAATATACTTTTCCAATAATGCCTTATTCTTTAGTCGTAACATATCCATTCCAATACATATTCCTTCCACAATCCAGCCACGTTATCTTTTTCCCCTTCAAGTACACACATCAGCAAAGTATCTTCTCATTTCATTTGTTAACCCAAAACGTGTAAAGTTGATCCTGGTAATGCATCCACTTATCTAATTGACATTTAGCTCAATCATTATCACTCATCCAAAAAGTGGAAATTCTTATCCTCTATTAAAATAGAAAATTACTAAGGTTTTCTGGCCTCATCGTATTCTTAATCCAATATTCCTTTTATACTAAGAAAGTATCGTTTTGCCTCCTTAAATAAAGAATCATAGAACTCTATAAACACAAAAAATATTGTTCATGCTCATCTTATTAACCAATACAATCCATATTTTCTCTAGGTGCTTCCACCATTTAAAATACCATTAAAGCTATTTTCATCATCTGCCACTTGTTCCTTTTAGAGGAAAATATTCTTATCCCCATCGCACTCTTTAATCCAAAATTGCTTTTAAATACTTTGAAGCTCAATCTATATCTCCATTCCAAATAATTAAACATTCTTATCCTCTTCTAAAAGGGAGAACCCTTTAAAAAAAATAAAAAGAATCCTTGCTTCGTCTCAAACTTTAATCCAATAGTCCTTTGCCACTAGGCTGTACTTTCGCCTTAGGGCTTCTTTTGATTTGGAATACAATCTTTTTGTTTCCTATCAAAAAAAAAAATCCAATAGTCCTTTTATCCTATGAAACTATCTTTTTCCATCTTTAAATATAGAACCATAAAACCCTTGAAATCCAAAACATTGATCTTTCTCCATCTTATTGACCAATACAATCCACCTTTTCTTTAAATTTGTCCACGTTTTGTATTTCCCATAAACCACTTTTTGTCACCCATCTATTACTCCTTATTCATGGAATTTCTCACCACGTGTAAAAAGACCAAATAGTGTACCACCAGCCTCCAATAAATTCAACAAACCTTTTGTCCAAAAACAAATTCTCAACCACAACAATCAAATATTAGTGATTCACGACTATTTTCACTTTTTACATAAATCTAGAAACATTTTCAAGCTTCTTCTAATGGCATGCATATATCATTTGAATTCATAATATACTTTTCCAAGAATGTTTTATTCTTACTCCTAACCTATCTCCAATACATATTCCTTCCACAATACAACCATGTTATCTTTTCCCCCTTCAAGTAGACACATCACCAAAGTATCTTCTCATTTCATTCTTCAACCCAAAAGACGTGTAAAGTTGATCCTAGTAATCCGTCCACTTTGCTAATTGATACAGACCCAAAATAAATCTAAATACTAGAGAGCTCAATCATTACCACTCATCCAAATAGTGAAAATTCTTATCCTCTATTAAAACAAAAAATTATTAAGGTCTGGCTTCATCGCATACTTTAATTCAATATTCATTTTTTATTAAAAAAGTATCTTTTGGCCTCCTTAAATAAAGAATCATAGAACTCTAAAAACCCAAAATATTCACGATTGGTTGAACTTTTCCCACAGATCTAGAACATATCCAAGCTTCTTACTATGGTCGCTCAATATCTCATCTTATTCCAATATGTACTTTTCAAAAAATGCTTCATTCTTCAATCTTATATGATTGGTCTTCAATCTTAATATTATGATTGGTCTTCTTTTAACCTTGATGTGTTACCTTCGTTTAATCTTCAATTTCCTTTAATAATGATTGTACCTTCTTAAAACTACACTTGGTTTGTTGACACCCATTATATCGTCCAATTTATTTGCACATTCATTTTGTTCCAAAGAACAAACATTCTTAAATTTCCTATGCATGATATGGATTCCCGGTTTCTAATGAAAAAAATAATTAAGGTCCTATGCTTCATTCCTAACCACCGAAAACAATCATAAATCCAAAGATATCACAACATCATTATTTCATTTTATTTTCTGATGAACCAACAGCAAGTATAATATTCATAACAATCAGTTATTCAAATACAATCTTTAAATCTTCTCCGAAACAAATTAGTGATACAAGTATTATAAAGAAAATAAAAAGAAATCAAAAACAAAGATACAGTAAAAATTAACATTTATAAAGATTAATAAAACAAAGACCATCAAAATTAACCATAATATTGAAATATCTAGAAAGATTATGGGGTGGGGAACTCACCTTATCTGGACTTCAACAATGCCAAAAATGTAATTCATGTGAGAAACAAGCTGCACACCTGGACTCGTTTGCAGAGAAAACAGGGCAACCCTAAATAAAATAATTAAGGATTTTCAATCCTTCATAATCTAAGATCTTTCATAGTAAAAAATACAGGTAATTTCATGCTGACAAACTAAATATATACTCAAAATCACTAGATAATAGATGGGACAAAATAAGTAGCAATACCAACTCACATATTTGGTGTTGTGATCGATAGTCCAATAGGTAGACAAACATCCTTGTTCATATTGCATCAAAATAACAAACCTTCACAAGTTGAATACAAAATATCAGCCAACAACATACAAAATAACATTCAAAATGAAATTGATGCAAAAAAACTATACTCAAAAGAGAGAAATGTTTACCACTCATCACGACAAAACAGAGATATTTGTCCCAAATTTTTGACCAACAAATGTTGTAGCTCTCTGACCATTATTGAAAATGAATTCTAAGAATTCGTATGAAAGAAAGTCAATAAGAGAAATAACATGACTTATGACTTCTAACCTCAAGAGAGGAAAAACGCAATATCAAGAGAGGGAAAACTCAATACAAACCCAGGGTTATTCAGAACAAATAAGTACATATACCAACCCAACAAATTGAATCAAATAGTTCAATGCACTAACTTCAAAAACAATTAACTTTTCGATAACTTATATTTTAACACGTATAATAGAATTTGAAATGACTTGAAATATTTGTTGCTAGACAAACGTTCTACTATACCAACTTCAAACAAAACACTGTTGGAATACAATTTAAACCTTCATGGAAGAACAGGGTATAAAAAATGGTTGCTTTCAGTAATTGTACATCTCTAATCCCATGGACCAAATGTCATTACGACCACAAACATAAGAAGCCTAGAATCTTTTCCAAAATCAAACCATACGACTAATTCAGTAACTCTTATACTTCTTTAGACTTGCTTTTTCTTAATATCTTTTATGCCTAAAATACAACGTTTTACCACGAGATACTGAAAGTAAATTATTTACGAAATACCGCAAGTAAATCATTTAGGTTGCAAATAAAACTCACCAGAAGCAACTCCCTCGGGTTTCCGCTTAATTCCAAAATCACCCACCCACACGTCTTACGTATCGCTAACTGACGGCTCGGATTCATCTCTTCCCTTTTGGATCGAAGATCTGAGGCGGGTTTGTAACGAAACCCTAAAGCGACCCCGTCTCTTTTCTGCAGGTACAGCCGCCGTTTTGCTCCCTCACTACCGTCATCGTCAGATCGCTTGGAGAATTCGATCGCCACTAGAACCGTGTGTCCGGCCAATGTGCACTGACCAAACAACCGCCGTACCGACTGAGTTCATCTTCGACTTCTTGGAGACTGTTTAGGATATTGAAAGGAAGTACCGAAGGAGCGAAGCGACAAGTCGGAGAGGTTGTAGCGGCGAACCGAAGTAAAGAAAGAGCGAGAGAGAAAGAGAGCTTCACAGAAACAACGAAAATGAGGAGAGCGAATCGGTCTGGTGAGAGTGCGAGAGAGAGAACAATCGTCGAATGGAGAATGAACTGGTCATCAGGGAGGAGAAGGCAGGCGCGAGAGAGAGAATTCAGAGATCGCGAATCGGGGAGATTGTGAGGAAGAAAATATTGACCGGCCGTTGAACCAATTCATTCCCGCGCAATTTCTTCGAGTTGGAGCGAGGAGCGATTGTGGGAGACAGCTAAGATTTTCGACCGTTTGAAGATTTTGTGACCGTTCCGTATCAAGAACGCGAGCTATTAATTGATTGAAAAGTATAACGTATTTACTCCTTGATTTAAAGTATCTTTATGATTAAAAATCAAACCCAATTAACCGGAGCTGTCTTTTTTCTTTTTTAGTCAAATGAATAAATGGTATATTTGTATAAATTCATTTGTGTAATTTTATTATTTTTTAGTACAACACGTAGAGGTGGGTATTGAACTCACAACCTTTGTTATGTCAATTACAACGAAACTACAATTTTATTTTATTTTATTTTTAACAAAAAAAACTAGTTGTTTCATGTTTGAGACTCGAATAATTCATAAGTCGGTAATATTCATTAGTGGTATTCATAATTAATTAAATTAACTTGAGTTTAATTCAATTAGTTTACCTATTAAATCTTTGTGGCTCATAATATTATACTCTTGCGGTTAAAAATTAAAAAATCAATAAAATATTTGAGAACAAGTTGGAATTTTTTTTTTTATTATTATAGAGACAAATAATCAATTAGTATTATAGGAAGGAAAGGGGACAACGATTCAAACCTCATGATACGAAATAGTATGCAATATTTATTTAGAAAAATAATACGGAAATAATTTTCATCTAAGTAAGTTTACCATATAATACAACGTACTCTATCACATATATCCAACACACAACCATCATGAGAATTGAAAATTCAAAAGAAAAACTATAGAAACCTGAAGAATGACAATATAACTAGTAATGAAAACAATTTGCGAATGACAACTATATTTAAACAAACCATATAATTTAAATAGTATAATAAGAAAAATATGTGTTTTTATTTTGTTATTATTAATTACTATCAGTAGAGTTTTAAAAATAAAAGTTATTGTTATTAGATATTATAATAATCAATTTTAATAGTAACTTAATACAGATGACAGTGTTTCTAGTAAAAAAAATAATTTAGTTAATGTAATTTTATTTATTTATTAATATTAAATAAATTTTTATAATGTTAATTGTCAATAATATAGTAATAAAATAAATTAAAATGTGTTACTATCATTGCCTATAAAGAACCTAGTTCTTCAATCATATATGTACCAAAGAAAATATGTATTTGGAATTAGTTAGAAAGAAGAAAATCATATAATTTATGGTAAACAAAATACAATTGTCATCCAAATCTAATTGATTTTCGTTAGGATTCATCCCATTATGATTCTATCAGAACCTAAAATCTATATAAGGGTAAAGATAAAACTAACAACGTACATATGAGTACCTCATATGACTCAACGTGAAAATAACAAAGAGTTAAACACAATAATACTAATACATCCAATAATAAGTAATGAATCTTCCAAAATAATAAATAATAATAAGTAATTAATCTGTGGCAGTGTGTTATGAATAGAATCGATTAAAAAAAAACCTATGAATTTATGCTCATTAATACTCAACGTAGTTGAAAGAAAAAAACAATATAAAAATGTTAAAAGATGCTAAAAAGAAATAAAAACTCGTTTTTACAGGCAGCCTTCTGCATTATTTTCACTCACGGAGGCAGTAGTCAGATCAGAAGACCTTAGAACAAAGATTTATTTTTACCCTTAAAGTAGATCTTAATATGTAAAATTTTTATTTTACATATTTTTTAATTAGCCGTGGGCCCCATTTTGAGGCACGTCAAGAGACGCACGGCACGACATGCCGTTCACGAAAAATTTGCACCCGAAGCCGACGCATCGTTTTATTGTGTTCCCTCCCTTCTCCTCTCCTCTGCTCCGCGGTCACTGGTTTTTCCAAAGCTTTCTCCTGCTCTCGCTGCTCATTTTCCAACTATAATCAACGCAGAAACTGGAAGCTATTAATACTGGCACGGTGCTATTCCATCCCCATTTTAATGCATTTCTTTGTTTTCCCTCTCATTGCTCTTCACTCCACTACGGCGGCGCTCCTTGGCTTACAAGGGATGAATTGATTGTTTTGGTTTCCTCACGTAAGAATGCCATTTTGAATGGCTTTAATTTACAGATACATATGTAGTTCATTTACTTTTTTGTTTCTCATCCTCCTCCTCGTAACCTGTCCTCCATTGAATGTGCAGTGTCCTCCATTGCGGTACGGTGGTGAACGTGGGTTTCCATCTCTGTCAATGGCTGTAAGTTCTATTGGGTTCTCTGCGCATGGTGGAGTCTTTTGTCCTTCGCTTTATCTTTCTGCTAAAATGGGCGTACTCCGCACATCTGGGCATTCAATGCATGCAGGGGTTTTTGATCTATACCATTTTCTGGAATACGAAACTATTAGTCCGGTTAATATATAACGTTCTTAAACCAAAAGTTTACCCGCTGTTTCTGTTGTCAGAATATGAGTTCACGTGATTTTTGTGATGATTGGCTTGCTTGCGCTGCTACTTGGACTCTTTTATGTCCAATATAGTGTGTTTTTTGTCTTGAATACAGAATCCACCTTATGTTTCAGGGTTTAGGTTTTGACTCTCTTGCTTGGATTCAGGTTTGATGAATTTTAGAGTGATTAACTTTCTTTAAGTGAATTACTTTATCTTTTTTGGAAAAAGTTCTTTGAATGAATAACTTTATTAATTAACGTGGAAAATAAGTTAAATACGTAACGTATTGACCTATTTTAATGTAGTTATACAGACTAAAGAGTTAGTTGCTTAACAATCCCTAATAAGAAGAATCCAAGTTTCAAAATTTCCATTTTGTCATATGTAAATGTGGTAAAAAATTAGAAAACCCAAGATGTTTGTTTCCAATCTTCTCTATTCCATATGCGTTCCTGTTATTTGCAGTAAATCCCCTTCCCCTTTCATGAGAATCATAGGTCGGTTGGCTGCTTGATATTTTTCCTTTCAGATTGATTTTAGTAAAGAACCATTTCCATATTAAGAACATTTTAAACATGAGTTTTCTCTCACTCCTCCGGGAGTTTGTATCCTTGAACTTTCTCCTCTTTTCATATATCAATGAAAAATTGTTTTTTGTTAAAAAAAAAAACATTTTAAACATGAGTTTAGTGATTCTACTTCTCTAATCTCTAGTAGCCCCCAACTGCATTCTAGACTTGATCTCAATCACTTCAATTTGATCCTTGTGTTTCTACTTTGATTTTCAGGATCAATTCTGTGGCATTTGTGGTGATGTTGGTTATGCAGAGCTGATTGTGACTTGCTCTAAGTGTAAAGTAGTTCGTGAACATCTGTATGATTACCTCTACTTCATTTCTTTTTCTCTGAGATTGCTCAAGTTCATTTTACTTGTTTGATTTTGGTATTAAAGTATGTTATCAGCTGAATGGTGTTTCATGGTTCTTCAGTTAGGTGAATTTTAAGATCTATCACTTGTTGAGTTTGAATTTTGGGGAAATTTTATGGAGAAACAAACTCATAGCGTTTCTTCTAAATGTAGACGATGTGACTATTATTTTGTTATGCAAGCTTGTGTAGCTTGAAACCTCGGCTAGTTGGAATGATGAAAATTTTACTGCTTTAACTTGAGGCTTGAGCTCATAAAATTTGTTAAGAAATTTAATGTTGGTGAGATTCATCCTTCAATTCCACTTTGTGCTTTGATCATTTGATTTGATATGGTTAGTTTGGGCTACCCTTATAGTTATATCCATTAAATGTCTTAAGATTAGCATTCCCTATCTGTGACTCTTCTTAATATGCTGCCATTTGTCTATTGTCAGTTATTGCATGCACGTTAGAACTCATGTTCCTGAAATTTGGCGTTGTGGTCATTGTGCATTTGATGAGGCCAAAAGTCCTGATGATTCAGGGTTGCAGTTTCAACCTAGAATGATAAGGCATGCTAAAACTAGTAAAGTGAAGTTCATACCTACTGATGAAGTAATAAAGCTATCATCGGGAGGGGTGAAGGGATCTTCAAAGTTGAACGTGGGTTTTGCACCACAAAGAACATCCGCATCCAGAAAAGTCCTTCCAAGTTCTCTGCCTCGGCCGCTTTTCCAAGCATCAAAAGAATCTCAAGGTTCCTTTTTATCCTTTCTCAGAATTGTTACTTTGTGTACGTGTTCCTACTTTTTCTCAAACCTGGTTTTTGGGCTCAGATCTAGCCAAATTGATATAGGTTGTAGGTTTTATGTTATATTGTTATGCATGGTCCAACAATTCCAAATTATTTAGTGATGATGCTCAAGGCCACATACTAGTTTGTAAGTATGAAGCTCAGGAGGGTGTGTTGAAGCTATTTTTGTGAAGCAATGTTAGCATCCTTTAGGGGGTAAAACAAAAAGTATATAACCCCAGATAATAATTAGTGTGTCGTCCTTTTAGACAGATGCGTTTTTACTTTTTATTCATTTTCTGGTTTATTCTTTTTTATTGACTGTTTAATTTGTATTTTTTGTTCTTTTAGAACGAAGTTCTACTGCGATGCCTCCAAAGGTATGCAGTGTAAAGAAACAAGCGTCAGCTGCTTGTTTATCTTCAATGCCAGTAGGCCCAGTGCAAACATCCAAAAAGGTGAAGGTTACAGATGCACCTGCTTGCACTTCTTCTGTGCCAAGGCATGGTTTACCCACTACGAATACAGGTATGAGAGAGCTTTGCAATCTTTATGGACCTCTTAAATTGGTAATTATGGTGGTCCATTTCCAAGCTGATCAGTGTAGCCCCTTTCTTAGTTTTATTTTCCATTTCTTGTGGTGTTTTGTCTATTTATTTATTTTATTATTATTTTTTTGCCAATGTGTTTCTCTTAATGACAACACAGGAAAAAGAGTTCCTTCAGCTTCCCCTAAGTTGGAGGATACGCAAAAACAAATGAAGGATGCTTTGATGACAAAAACAATAGATACATACCGGGATTATCTCCCATCTTTACATGCCTCTTGGAAGTGAGTCCCCTTCTCTACTGTTTGCTTCTTTGTTTCCATCTTAGGAATTGATAGAACTGTTAACAATTGAATGATGCATACAACTGAAATTGTACTCATTTTGTGACAACTAATCTAAATTTCTTTGATTGTGGTATCTCCAATCCCTCGCTAAATTAGGGATATCTTATAGGATGATTTATGGCAGTGTTTTACATGCTTAGCTGAAGTAAATTGGTCATTCAAGTTTCTTATTTGTTAAATATAATGTGCCCACTGCCATTGTTGTGATTTCTAAGGTAATGCAAAATGCGTATGTTATATTGAGCAATTTAGATCACTGCACAAAAAAATTACCAATGGAATAGCCGAAAATGTGACAAGCAAAGACAGCCTTGTATGCATATCTTATTTGATGAAACCATAAACAATGAGTAGTTTTAAAGATGCTCACAGTTTTTGCTTATGTATCTAGTATCCCATTTTGATGGGAAAACTTTGTTAGAAAATTGTCCTTTTTTAATGATTCTTTTGATAGTTTTAAGACATACGACTTCTGCAGTGATTGTTGATGGTTGAGCACTTCTTTTCTGTTGTTGCAATATACTGATTATATATTTGATTCACTCAAGACTATAATTATTTACTACTTCCAGAAATTTCTGTTCTTTAGGGGAGGCTTCCGATTTGTTGATGCCCTTATGGACAGTGAATTTTACGATGGTTTCCTGGCAAAGCCTCCATGTGTAGTACATCGTAAAGCTTATGAATTGTCACGGACGATTCCTCCAATTCTTCAAGTGAAGCTGCTTAGCCGTTCTGATATTTGGGATGATATATTTCACGATGAATGTCCTCATCTTGCTGACGTTTCCTTGTACTTCTTTCCCTCCAACGATATTGAAAGGTCTATTCTTATTCTTTATTAAATGGTTACAATTTCTATTATTCTTTAGCCTCTTAAAAGGAATGTTGGTTAAAGTGTAGGTCCAGAAAGAACAATTCTTGTCTGTTTGAACTTATGGGGAGAGAAGATTTATTGATAAGAAGTCTTATTGACGGTGCAGAGTTGGTTGTATTTACATCTAGACAGCTGGATGCCGACTCACAGTGTAAATGCTTTTACATTCATTGTTTTGGCTTTCTTTAGTGTAATTCTTCTTCGTCTCACTTTTGTTTTAATGTAGAAACTGTCCCATTCTTCCTATTTATTTGAGCTAGTGGTCAAATTTGTATTTTCCATAGTAATGGCCTCTTCCTAGTAGAAGATATATTTACAGATCTAAGTTGAGCTTTAAAAACCAAAATTAATGTTTGTCTGTGAGGTATCTCCTCACTGGTTTCTATTCCAGATAGCAAAGAAAAGGCCTCTACGGCGATACAAAACTCCCCACCAATTCGAGAGGGTGGGTAACCTCTCGTTCTACCCTAGTACAACTGTACAAGGCACAAAAACATAGACTGACCTCCCCCTACTCTGGAAGATCCTTTACTTCCCCTTCGCACAATCGCTCCTCTCACCTTGGCCCACATTCTCTCTCTAGGCTGTTATTCCCCTCCCTGTTCATTTCCAATTCTACCCCTTCTGGAATAAGTCTTCAATACAGGTGGTGATATGGGTTTAACGTTGTCCTGTTGACCATTGATGATCGAACTTGTTCGTTCTTAATAAACCATAAGAATGGAGCATTCATCTAGTATATGCTGATTTCCAAAATTTCACAGTATTACATTTAGTAAATGCTGATACTAGTACTTCCTTTTGAATATTTGAGCTTGTTGGAGCAATGGCACAGTTATACACTTCCCTTGAATTTGATACTAAAAAATTAGTTTGGTGCATTTATTTTCTTTAATATCTAGTGCTAGATTTATAACACGTGTGCAATTTTTTATGTAGATGTTCTTAGTAGGTTAAATGCTGAATGCCTCCTTTTCGGAGTTTTCCGTGCCATAGAAGACAATCAGTCTCCTTCCCTTTATCTCGGAGAACGCCCTGCCGTAGTTCCTAAGCTACAATATGGTTCCGTAGTTCCTTCTGTAGAATGTGCTTCCAGTGTTCCCCTACTGGAATGCTCGCCCAGGGGGCATGGAAAGAACGATGGTAGCAATCCTGTTGTTAACAAGGAAATTGGCACCACTGATGAAAACACTACTGGAAAGTCTCCAACTGCCTCAACAGATATAGACTCTACCATTCAGCGATTACTATTAGAATTTGGATCACAACCACCAAGGGAGTCTGATGTTAATGGATCAACTCAGAAAGTTCTAGTCCAACATCAGGTAGAAGATGATTTCTATAGTCCTTTTGTATGATGATACGAGGATCACTCAGTATCTAATCTAGTCCCTCCTTTTTGGTTATTGTGTACACCTTTTGACAGGAACCTACTCCTATCTCGGCAATTGGTCCCTATTCTCTTTCCCTGTCTGAAGTAAAGACAGAACGTTTACCAGCTATCAAAGTGGAAGGAAGTGATGACAAAAAATGCTTGGAAATGGAGAAATGCCCGAGAATGGCGCCAACATTTAGCATTGATGGCTCTCAAAATAGGAATGGTTTATTGGACCAAGACGTTCCCACGAGAGTCGCGGACAAGTATCTTCGAATCTTCAATTCAGGGATTAAAAAGGAACGGCACTAGCTCTCATGTGTCAAGGTTTTCTTTCTCATTATCGTAGATATGTACATTTAGTGAATTGGGATGTCAATATTATAGTGCAAGGGTACAACATAGTCTTGCTTTATGGTATAGAAAAACAGTTTGAACATCTTAAGAGTAATGAGTTCATTGATCCCATATTTATCCACCACACTTCTGCAGCTCGAGGGTGGTCGTTTCTGAGAAATATTTTTGGCATCTAGTTTTGTTTTCCCATGCAAATAGACTGCTGGCTGTCAGAAGTACTTGTGGAGCTCTTTGGAATTATGCAGCTAAAGCTGTCCAATGGACATTTAGTTGGAAAGGAATCGTGCTAAATCGTCGCACACTTGAAGATAAAACTTCCACTTTTTGATTTTTTTTTAAAGGGATGTACAGCACCTCTTCTCGGTGGTGTCTTCGTTACAGGAAATTCTTTGTAATTACAACTTTTTCATGATTATAAACAATTGGAAAGTTCTTCTTTAGTCTTTTCTGCGGAGAGGGTTTTCTCTTTCCAACCCGTACGGTGTTTCTGTCCTTTTGTTAATATATACAGGTTTCTTGAAATTTTGCTGAGGATTTAGGCAGCTACGAAGATGTAGCTTCTTTGGACAGTTATCTCCCTCTCCTTTTTTTTTTTTTTGATANTCAAAAGAAGCTTTACATCTTTGTATTTGCCTACATATTTTTCTTTCTGCTGTACATTGTTTGAATCAGAGGTTTAACCAAGTTGTAATACGTAGTTGAGAACCAGAAGTTTTAGAACTTTGATGAAACAATGAAATATATAATACATCGAATGAAATCATTTCATTGTGTTTTTCTTCTATTTCTTTTAACAAAAATTTCAAATAAAAAGTTTACTGCTTAGTTGTTTAAAATTTTCAAGTTTATAAATACTATTTTACTACTTATACTTCCGATTATGATTCATTTGGACATTGTCCTTTCAAAACGTTCATTATTTTGGTCTTCTACATTCAAAAGGTTACTATTTTGTCCTTTACTTTATTTGAACTTATTTCGTTTCATCATAATCTTAACTTAGACACTTCACTTACTAAATCACTTACGATGTAGTTATAAATTTATATTAACGGATTTTCAATGTATATAAAATTTGGTTTAAATTTTTGCGGACCAAATTAGTCACTTTTTAGTTTTTATAGGTAGTACTAAAATATATGTTTTGAAAAAGTACGATGACTAAATTGAACAAAACGAAAATAAAAAATATATAGACATGTTGAAAGCATGGATCAAAGCCAAAAGTACTCAACCCAACTAATATTTAAATCAAACTTTTAAATGTTATAATGCACTTAGCTTTGAGGAATTAAAATATCATTTTAATCAAATTTCTAAATGTTAAAACATGAGCCTAGTTCAAATAGTTAAAAATATCTATAGATTTAAGGCATAAATCACCGATAAAAAAATTGTGGGTTCGAATCCCACGTGTTGTACTCAATAAAAAAAAAGTTTAATTTCTCAACTATGTTCAAGTTAGCAATCAATCATGTATAAATTAATAGAAATTTTAATCAATTCGAACATAACTTAATAGAACGTTGAAAATTCAATTTTCCACCCGTATTCGTGGAATTAAAAATCAGAAATGTTGAACATTAAAACTACCCAAGCATATAATTAAATATTACAGATATCAGGTGTAAAAATTGAGAAGTGCTTAGGCTGCTAGATGACAGGGTTTCATGGAATTCTAAAAGAAAATTTAAAATGAAAAAACCCGATTTCATACCCTTAATATCTAAATTATTTTTTTCAACACAATGATGAAATGGAACGATGGAAAATTGGAAATGGAGCACAATTCTGTAAATCCTGGGACATCGTGCATAAATATGAGAAGGCCAATAGTGTAATTTCGTGCACTATTATGTCACTTTTCTAAAAGATAAATGGGGGGTATTTTGGGTAATTGGTACATTAGCAGAAGTTTTGTAAATATAGGCCCCGCCTCAGCGAGATGCGCGAAACTCTCAAAACTGAGTGAGAAGCGTTTGAGCTCGCTGCTATTGAAAAAAACCCTTCGTCGGCCTTATATTCCTCTTTTGATCTGCAACATCCAGTTCCGATCTCGGATTCGAAGCAATGGCCATGGCAGCTCTTAGACGTGAAGGGAGGCGGCTCGCTACTGTGATCTCTCCCCAACCAATCACCGCTCTCCGGTCTTCCCTCGTTTACGAGTATTAATTTTTACCCTTATTCTTTTTTGACCTAATGCTTTTATCTGCGTGATTGATTCTCACTCATTTAGTTGCTCTTTCATTTGATTGATGAAAATTTTAAGTAATTGTCAAATAAATTATTTTCACCCAAATATTCTCATTAACCCTTTGTCGTGCTTGTTCCTTAATTTGGTTGACGAGAGAATATTTAAGGGTTCGCTCTATTTTTATTTGTCTGAACCTTTATTAAGGTTGGGCTGCGTCGACTGCTTGACTAGTAGTTCTGAAATGTCCAATGCTGGCTTTTTCTTGAAAAAAATACAATGATCTTTTATTTATGAGATATGGAACATGTTCATGTTAATATTATGAAGTTTCGGACTGCTAAGGTACCGTGTTTTTGCCTGCTACCAATATTATGGCATTAATGAATGTAAATACATAGTATTACACCTTTTTTTATTGAGACCTGGAAATTTTTTTTGGGAAAAATTTGGTAGTTTTTTAGATTTTTGGAGAACCGTAATCCATTAAATATTATGGGCAATAGTGTGCTACAATTTCTGATTAACTTATTTGTAATTATGAATATTTGCAAGCGCTCTCTGCACTTAGATCGCTAAACTAAATGTATTTATTGTGCAGGGAACAGGCCCCTCTTGGTGTGCGTTCTATCTCAACTCAAGTGGGTACGTACTGTTTACATACATCCTGCTATTTCTTTCATAATATTCTTTTATGATGATGTTTTTTTTTTTTTTTAAATATTGCTTCCTGTTGATTAACTTGGATTTCTTATTTGATAAAATTTGGTTTTTTTTATGCCCCTGAAAATTACTAACGATTTACTGCCATAATTTTTATTTGTGAATGCAGTTAGAAATCGAATGAAGAGTGTGAAAAATATCCAGAAAATTACAAAGGCAATGAAGATGGTTGCAGCCTCAAAGCTGAGGGCAATTCAAGTGCGTGCTGAAAATTCTCGTGGCCTTTGGCAGCCATTTACTGCTCTTCTTGGGGATACTCCAAGTATGTTTTTACCATATCTTTTCTACTTTTCACTGTGGTTCTTGTTTGTTGGTACATATGTTTTAACGTTTCTTTTTTTCGTTTGAGGTTTGATGTTTGATGTCTACTTTGTACTTGGCTTTTGTATACTCTATAATGTCAGAGTACACATCATACTCATGGGTTATTTTTGGTTAATGTATCACATTTTTATTTTTTCAATTGTTTAATCAACACTATATATATTCTTTTTTCTCTAATATTGTAGACATAGAAGTTTGATTGTTATTTCTGTTGGAAATGTAGGTGTTGATGTAAAGAAGAACGTCATTGTTACCATTTCTTCTGACAAGGGTCTTTGTGGTGGTATTAATTCTACCTCAGTCAAGATAAGCAAGGCTCTACACAAGATAAATTCTGGTATTACCTGCAAAGTAATTGTTTATCCTATCCTTCAGTGTGAGGCTACAGTAAATGAGATGCTAATCTTGTAATTACTCTGTTCCTAGGTCCTGAAAAGGAAACAAAATATGTTATATTGGGAGAGAAGGCAAAGGCTCAACTGATTCGTGACTCTAAGAAGGACATAGAAGTCATCATCACTGAGTTGCAGAAGAATCCTTTGAATTATACTCAAGTAAGTTAACCACATCACATAACTCATCATAAAGATTCTCATCCATTGTTTGTTCATAAGTATATGTTTCTGTCCATCACTTATGCTTCCACGTAGGGGCTTCAACCGTCAGATTTGGTGTCTTCATATTGGAGTAGGATAAATATCAATTAAATGATGCCATGAGTACGATCCATTGTGGCAACTAGTGATGTTTCCATGCTTTAAGTGAAATTTCATTTTTGTTTCTTAAATGCACGTCTTTGGACAGATGCGACTTCACTTGGTTTGGGTGGCATAGCCTTTTTTTTTATCCGATAATTGGGAATTCGAACTTTGCTCCCCTATACCCTGGGCCATCCGTGCCCGGACCGGGTGGCAAGCCCGTTTCAGAAGTCTCCCATTTTTTGATCCATTTCTTTAGTCTCTAGGGCCAAAGCTTACCTTTTTGTTTACTATGGTACCTACTAATTTGGCACGATCTTTAAACATTGCATTATAGGCTACTTTCCTCGGTATATTGAAATTCCCATCGCTTACTATCCTTCTTTTTGTGGTTTTAGGTCTCTGTTTTAGCTGATGATATTTTGAAGAACGTAGAATTCGATGCTCTCAGAATTGTTTTCAATAAGTTCCATTCAGTGGTCCAATTTCTGCCTACAACATCTACAGTACTGTCCCCTGAGGTAATAATAATACTGGATTATTTAAAATACTGACCTTTTCTTCTCCCCTTCTTAAATTGCTTGCCCTTGCCCTGAGAATATTGTGCGTTCTGTATTGTAGATTGTTGAAAGAGAGGCAGAATCTGGGGGAAGGCTTGGTGACCTGGACTTATATGAGATTGAAGGTGGTGAGACGAAGTCTGAGATTCTCCAAAATCTAGCAGAGTTCCAGTTTTCTTGTGTAAGTTCATCCTTAGTCTCTTTTAAATTTTTGTAATGAGGCATTAGTTTATTGTTGAAACCGTCATGGATATGTGCAAAATCAAATGCAAAAGTGAGAGAATTGACGTTTTTAATTTCATAGGAAGTTTCATGCAGTTTAAGTTCTGGCTTAATTAAAACATCAGAAACACTATTGTAAGGCTGAAGATACGTGTCAGTTGGCTTCTTCTTCTTCTTCTCCTCCTTTTTTTTTCCCTTCCTGTTTCTTGGATCTCTCTGTATTGCAAGTTATCGGTTCCTGATATGTTAGGTGTGAAATGCTTGGGAAAACTTCTAGATACTGGCATTAAGGGGAAGTATAGGGCCCATCACCGTGGGTAATTGCTAGTAATTTTTGAGGATCAATAAGTGATGAAGAAGTCATTGTTGGTCTTTGGTTCTTGTCGAGTGAGGATGCTGCAAAATTGCATGTGAATAATCAATTTGAAGAAGAGAAGAACTATGATATATTATATGCAACAATTCTGATTACCTTCTCTATTCTGTATTTCCCATTTAACTCATCTCACTGCTGCCTGCTCATGGACAATTTTTGCGATTACTGAAAATTGGACTCATGCTTGATCAGGTATTGTTCAACGCTGTATTGGAAAATGCTTGCAGTGAACAAGGTGCAAGGATGTCTGCAATGGACAGCTCAAGCAGAAATGCAGGGGATATGCTTGATCGCCTCACATTAACTTATAACAGGTCTCTTAACTTTACCGATACCTTTTTTTAATCTACTTTCTAAATAAGTTTTTTTTTTTTCCAAATTATTAAATCTTGCCAAAGTTTAAAAACGACATTGTAAGTAAGTAAATATGATCTAGACAACCCCAACCCTGGACCGATGTTAGAAATTTTTTCATTTTCATGTTTTTCTGTAAAACTTAACTTTGTTCGTTGATTTGTGATAGAACCCGGCAAGCATCTATCACCACCGAGTTGATTGAAATCATATCTGGAGCTTCAGCATTGGAGGGCTAGTTGAGGATCTTCTGTTAGTTCACCCAATGGCTGGTGAACTACGATCTCGAGGCTATATTTGATTTTCAAGATGTTGCCTTTTGAGCTTTTTTGTAATAATACACCCAGTTTAAATTTATCCTGGGAACTATGTTTGTTTAGATATCAATTGATCTTCAGATTGCTACATCCTTTTAACTCGAAAGCTCCAATGCTTGAATTGACCATGTTTTTTATTCTTTTGGTTTTGAGAACCTCTTGATTTACAATTATGATACCCAGTTTCCCATGTTCTTTACACCTGAGATCATCTAACAAAAACCACAGAAGACCCACTTGCAATAAGTCGATTTGGACGAACAGAGAAATCAATTCATTATGATTCTGTAAGCTTAGTTTGACATTTCTGCTTAGGACATTTTGGAAGAATTTAACTTCTGAGACTTGCCAACTTGGCGAGGATTAATTTGTTGGCCATAAAAGTTTGAAATTGTTGTAAGGTTGAGGGGTAAGAATTTGCCTCGACATTCCTCCAAGTAATTTTTCTTGTTTTTGGTTGTTCGCATGAATTTCTTGCTCTCAATTAAGAATGTTAGAAGACGATGAAGTTTTTGACCGTGTCGTGTAATTACAAATTCACACTTTTATGAAAACGAGATACCAAAAAGTTCCATTGCATAACGCTTGAAAGTCAAAAGGACTAATAGATGAGATATTGCTGCAAGTGCAAACTGCAGACACGTGCGAAAGGTTCAGGCCTTGGCATGTTCAAACAAGCTTCATAACACCTCAAAAAAGTTTTGGCCTTGATCGGACAATGGAAAAATAGTGGACCTCAAAAAAGAAAACCCCCCTCAAAAGTCTTATTCTCTTGTGATGGAACTGCTAATAAACTCAACCAGAATAAATAGAACCATATGATAATAGTGGGTTTTTATTATACGGCTATGGTGTTGTTCTTGATTGTCAGTTTTTCGTTTGAAGATCTCATTTTTTGGTAGCAATCATTGCTGTTTGAGCATGGTTCTTCATGGAGGAGATTTGATTCTTGGTTTTAGGCCATGCTCTCTCAAGAATTGATTCGTGGGTCATTTTGGCTGTGATTTTACCATCTAGGATTGGAGAAGAAATGAAAAGTTCCAACTAAAAGATTTTCCTTCCATTTTTCTCGAGAAAGGGGAGCAGAAATGGACTTGTGGATTGTTGCAGCAGCTACTGGTGCTGGGTACGTAGCTAAGTACTGGAAGAATCAATCAGGGGATGGGGATGCTTTATCTCAGTTATCCTTTGGGGAATCCAATTTGGTGAGTCCTCAATATTCCAATCATCTGCTCGACAAATTTTCACGAAGGAAGAAACGGTTTGAAGATGTTTTTGGACATGGAAGAATGGAAGGAACATCTTCAGATCACAACCCATTAGACATTGCCGCTTCAGTTGCAGAATTGGGTTCTATGAATGGGTTTGAGAATGAAAAGCTGGGACTTTGGGGGAATCATCAAGATCTCGATGTGCTCTCCATACCAAATATGACATGGAAATCCTGGATTGACGATAGTTCTAAAGGACATGTTGGAGAAAGCAGTATCAGCAACAAGATGGCTAATGACATTGGAGTTTTAGTACGTGATTCTTCTAGAAGAATAGGCTCTTGGAGAAACAGAAGCACAGCTAAATCCAGATTCTTACATGGGGATCTTATTAAACCTCTGAGTTCTGTAGAAGATTGCCTTGTATTCCGTGAGAGTTCTTTAAGTCTATGTGAAACTAAGCTGCCTAAGGGATCCAATTTTGATGCTAAAGAAAGTGTATGCGGGGTTTCTCAACCGCCATTCGGGTCTTTAACGACGTCTGATATAGTTAGTAATAAGACAGTAAAGGGATGGGAAAGAAACTCAAGAAGTTCCAACAAAATGGTTAAGAGGGAAGATTCTGCTTCAAAAGGTGTAGTAGTCATTTTTCTTCTTGCCCTTTTGTTTTCAGCTTATGTGAGTAATTTATGTTGTTGATGTACATAGAGACCAAAATAGTTGGCAAAAGCCCCCCTTTCAACTATTCTTCTAATCATTCTTTATAATTTGAAATGTAGTACTGGAAAAGGAAAGAATCAAAAGTAAGTTAAAAAAAACTAGACTCGTGCTTGTGTTTATTGTTGAATAATGTAAACTTATGCTTATTGCTAACATTTTTCAGGTGCACCTGATGAATCATTCATATTATACCTTGGATTTTTCATTGGTATAATCTATTCTTTCTTGTCAAGCAAGAGGGAAGTTTACAAGTTGGAAGAATTGTTAAAGCAGACTGAGTATTTGGTTCAAGATCTTCAGGAGGAACTTGAAATGAAGGACTCATTGAAACTGAAGGAGCTTACTCATGATAATTGTGAATCGGAGTACACCTTCAGTAATGCCTTCTCTGAGAAAACAGAGGATGGGTCTTCTCCAAAACATGTCATGGATTACACAGTAAATTTCAACACCGAAGAACTGTACGAACATAAGGCAGTGGAGAGTTCTGAATCAATGAGCAGAATCGAAGCGGAACTGGAAGCGGAACTCGAGAGGTTGGGACTAAATATAAACACCCAAGGCGTGGAGAGATTTCCAGACGAGGATGAGGTATTAGTGTTAGCATTCTCATATATGCACTTGAACCATGAGTTTCATATTTTAGAATCAAAGTGCACTCATCTTCTCATTGTTTCATTTATGGACATAAGAGTTTCTGTTTATTGGGCGTTGTTGCAAATCTGTTGTTTAAGTAAATGAACAAATCATTATGTGCAGCTTGACCCAGAATTTGTAGAAGATTTTGCTGAAGGTGAGTTGAGGAATGACATGATTAATGGACAAACCTCTGCTCGGACCAAGCCTAACGAAGAGGCAAGTGACTCGACCGCTCACTCCGGGAACTATACAGTCTCACCAAGGGAACTGACCTTGCGTTTGCATGACGTTATTCAATCAAGACTTGAATCACGCATAAAGGAGCTAGAGAGTGCCCTTCAGAAAAACCAGAGGAAGCTGCAGCTCATTGATACAGAAAACAAGAGTTCTTGGCTTGATTTAGGTAATGGTGAATTGCAATTTTCATCTCATGAAAATTCTCCAAATGCAGAAGATGATAGCCAAATGAAAATTCTCAAAGGAAGCCATTGATGGGATCTATTGAATTCAGAAGAAGGGGGGCTACTCGCTGTTGGCTATCTAATATTGATTTTATAATGAATTTCTCACAGATCAAAGTGGCTGGGAGAACGGTCTCAACGCCATTTGTGTATGGAAGATAAGATACCAAAACAGAGGGCAGATGAAAGACGGTGATTTGATTACAATGACATGGAGAGAAGCAGTTGTTAAAGCTGAAGGATGAAAACAAAACCAGAAACAGGTTAATATTTCTAAATATAACAAGAAATAAATTATCAACCTAGTAAAAATAAAATGTGGAAGAGGGATTAGAGTTTAAACAAAGTCTGAGTTCCATCATCTCTGTAAATTCTAGGTTTGGAATAAGTTGTCATACCACATTGGAATTGAACAATCAAAATTTTATAGTATTGATCCAAGTATGGTTGTGACCTAGTCATCCATTTCTTATGATTTGTATAATAGCTATTAATCATATTCAACAAAATTTTGAATATTTGATGAGATTTAATAAATTACGGAAACAAATAACATACAATATCAAGATCCTTTATGTAAAGAAGGCGAGCAAAAATAGAGAGAATTATTCATTCTCATTCCCTAAACAAAACAAAGGCACTCTCATCCATCCAATAAAAATTGGGATTTGGATTCGGAAGTCAATTCTCTGAACCACTTTTCTAATTTCAATCACATGTCCATGACAAGATAAAAATCATCGCAAGGCTTGGGATTCAGCAATACAAGGAGGCACAAGATATAACACTAAAAGCAGTCATTTTCACATAAAGCAAGCAGATCCCTCAAGCCCTTTTAGCATAGTCATCGTTGTTATCATCCTCGTCTCTATACTTTCCTCCTCCCAAAAAATCATCCTGATTTCCATCTCCATCTCCACTAAAGCTTTGAGATTGATCGTTAGCAGCATAGCTCGAACCATAACCTCCACCCCCTCGACCATAACCACCACCACCACCATAGCCAGCATTGCCACCACCACCATAACCTCCACCCCCATACCCACCACCCCCTCCTCCAAAGCCACCACGAGACCTTTCAGTTGCAAAGTTGACCCTAATGCGACGACCATCAAGATCCTGGTAAAAAAAATAACAATTACAGGGAGAAAACAAAAAAGAACTCCAACCCACAAATGAATTGCTTGTAACTGGTGGATTAATTGCCTTGACGGGATCAGCAACAAACTTATTGCAAAGCCATACTGATCCCTGGATGCATCCAACCACAAATGCCCCAATATTAATTTACATGCTCAACAAAAATGTTTACCTGCCCATCCAGTGCTTGGATAGCACTGGAGGCTTCTTCATTGGCATTAAAGGTGACAAACCCAAAGCCTCTGGATCTACCAGTATCACGATCCAATATAACTCTCGCTAAACAAAGATAAACATAAACAACAATCAGATTCTCTAGCTCAACTCCAACTAAAAGAGGAGGTGTGCCCACAAATATTACTGTTCGAACAGAAATTTTTAATGTAATTCAACATCATTTAAAATTAAGCTTTTCTACTCAATAATGCTTAGTTAGAAAAGTTGGCATACCTTCAACTACATCCCCATACTTTGTAAACGCTTCCCTCAGACTCTGGTCATCAGTACCATATGAAAGGCCTGCAGTACAAAGCTATATATCTCAGAGAAAGTCCTGACAAACCACCAAGGAGAAAGAACACAGCACACAGAAGAAAAAGAGCTGGAATTCCAATTAACCTCCAACAAAAACTTTCGAACTTGACATGAATCTAATAGTTTGAAAGATGGAAGGCCGCAAATCTGAGCCGATCCGTGTTGAACTCTGGCTAAATATTTTTCCAACTTTACTAAGAAAAGCCATGTTGACGACCTGAAAGAAAATTACCAAAAAAAAAAAAGAAAGAAAATGAAACTTCAGTGGAACAATAAGTAGTTGTGCAATATAACACTGTACCTGCAAATATCTTATTCACTTTTAATGTACATTGACTCCATAATAAAAAAAAATAAAAAAAGAAAGCCATAGTATTATGAAGTTCAAAATAAACACATTCATAAATATAATCTATGGTAACATAAGATCAAAGTAACCTCAACACTGGAAAAGCCAAAAAATAGTACACGAATCAGCTTATCTATAGCACTTTCAAACTAACTATCATCCCTTATACGCTTTGCATAGACGCTTTAGAAAAAACTCGATGACAAACAGAATCATTTTTCTGAAGAGCATATAAACCCAGAACATATGTCCGAACTTCCCAAATCGAAAGACGCATACATAAAGGAAATATAAAAGAATAACTCTTCAATAAAGTAATATCTAAGCTAAATTAGGAGAATATTCATCGTATTTCGTCAACTAGACGATAAAACATCTCTACAGAAAAACTGAAGATCAAAACCAAGAACAAATTAAATCAACATCTACGGAAAAAAAAACACAGAGAACTAAAATCAAAATCAATGCTAAATAACAAGATGAAACGATAAGAACAAGGAAAAGGAAATGGGAATAGACCTTCACTGGCTGTTTCTTCCTTCCTCTTACAGTCGAGCTTAAACCCTAAGATTGAAGAAGGGTTTTGGGACAGCCGAAATGAAAGAGCGATATAAGTAAGAGCTATAGCTTACACGTACACCGTTAGATTTAAAGTGGGAGAATCAAAACCGTTGGATGAGAAGATATTGGCTGGGAGTTGACGTGTAGTCCTTCGATTGGACGGTAACTTTCTAGTTGACGAGCATGCCAATTTAATTTTCCCCATTAGCCCTAAAATCTCTCAGGATAATAACAAAATTATATAAAATTACTTTGGTACCCTTGGAAACACATCCCATTGATATTTGCCCCTTCTCCCCGGCCCCAGCCAAATTCCGCGTTGGTGTTGATTGCTAACGCTAAATGCAATATAATATAATATGTTTCATGAGAAGAAAAAAAAAAAACTATATAACATAGTCATCCAAAAAATTATAACAATATTTCGTAATTTAATTTATTTATGCGAACACAATTCAGTAGGTCAAAATATTTTATTAAATCGTAGGTTCGAATTCGCATTTTATAGGTTGCACTTGAAAAAAGAAAAAAATAATAACTTTCACGGGATCAAATATTTATCAAATAACTTGTGAAGTTATATAATATAAGCAAGATTCAGAGATTTATTTTTTTTTAACTTAAAAGGTTTTCGTTAATATTTCTGTCGAAAAAAATGGGTTTTCGTTAATATCATATCTAAATAGCTATTTTAAAATATAATAACTAAATATTATTTTTTTCCTAAAAAACTAAATATCATTTTTTTCCTAAAAAACTAAATATCATTTTTTTATTTTAGCGTTAAATCAAAAGTCGTTTTCACAAATCTATAAATTATATTTAAAAAAATATATATCGAATTACGTGAAATTGACATGCAATTTTTCTTGTACAATTAAGATGGTAAAATATTAAATATTTGACTTCAAAAAAGATAATTAATTCCTTATTTAGTATTCTTATTGATAAATTGACATGCAAAGCAAAACAAATGTGCTTTGCTTAATAAATTTTCAGATACTATTTCTTAATAGTAGGGATGGGGGAAAATATTAAACATAAATTTTAACTTGGGAGTATTTAGGTGTATTCGATAATACTTTTTTTATGTAATTTTAAATTATATTTATTTTATGTTTAGACTTTTAAGAAAATTTGTACAGTCGTAAATAAATTTCAGAAAAATTAATTTTTCAGAAGTTTTATTTTATGATGTTTTAACTTGGACCATTATTTAAACCGTATTTTACAAAAATTGAAACTAAAAATAAAGGGAGTTAGAAATAAAATTCAATCAAAGTGAAAACTTGTAGTACTTTTTTATAACTATTTTGTATTTTTATTTTTTATAATATTATCTTTACATTCCTCTCATTTATTTTATTATATAGTAAAATTAAGCTTATAAATATTACTTTCACATTCCTTTGTTTTGTTATTTTAAAAATTAAGAAATATTACCTTTATATTCCTCTCCTTTCTTTCTTTGGTTTGCTATAGAGTAAAATTAAGCTTATAAATATCACTTTCACATTTCTTTATTTTGTTATTTTAAAAATTAAGAAATATTACCTTTATATTCCTCTCCTTTGTTTTGTTATATAGTAAAATTAAACTTATAAATATTACTTTCACATTTCTTTGTTTGTTATATAATTTTAAATACTTTCAAAATCTAACCTAAATTTTAAGGGAAATTTTGTTTTTTTGTCTTAAATTTGTACAACAATTCAAATATTTAAAAAAAAAAAGTGAAAATGTAACCAATAAAGTCATAAATAAATAAATAAAACACATAATTTTTAAAAATAACAAATTAAAACTAAAATAGTTATGAAATCGCCTCTAAACAAGTCGATAATCTTGTTTATTGTTTTAGTATCGGATCAACAAGTCGTGAATTGTTATAAACTTGTGATAAACACCCGCAATGAAATTGAATAAAATTATTATCCGTTTCCTCATTTTTTATTATCGGTAAATAATCCCAACTAAATGAATAAAACTCTTAATACACAACCACAATACTTAAAAACATAAAATAAACAACAATAGTATTATGAAATTTGACTACAAAAAATAAAAAATAAAGATTAATTAGACTCGTGGAACAATTTAAGTATTTGAGTTGCCAGATCTAAAGAAAACATTATGGTCAACGTTCAAATATACTTTCTCAAAGGATTATTCAAATATAATTTTAAGGGAAAAGACAGTCATATATATAACATAAATTATAATGGAAGCCAGCTGCAAGACAATTGGCATTGAGAGAGAGATTTTGTCCACTTATATGATTTAACTTCGACTTGTCCAAAATTAATAATTATATTTCTATCGAAGAAAAATCTTAATATTTTCAACTAATATTTAACTTTAACTTAGTAATTAAGGTTTAATTTTACCTAAAATATTACTCCTCCATTATCAAATAATTTGATTGACAATATAATTTTGCCAAACGAGAGATTATTCCACATTTTCTTTACAAGATTCAATCCAAATAAACTTTCAGGTTAATTATTGCATCGTTTTAAATTATGTCACATTAATTATTGTTTAAAATATTAATGAACTCTTACTACAATGATATTTTAAAAACATTCATGTAAAGTCAATAAGCTCTTGAAAGAATAGAAATATTTTTAAAATAGAAGGCAATGTAATTGACATATATCTCCAAACAAACAAGATGTTAAGAGGTTGTGAGTTCGATCCCCTGCCCCACATGTTGTATTAAAAGAATAAAACAAAAAGTGTTAGTTTTTTTGTTTGTTTTTGTTTTTGTAATTTAGCCTTAATTTTAGTATAGATAGTAAAAGTTTGTCAATATTATGGTCACAAAAAAATAATAATAAAAAATAAAGAATAAAAGAAAAGACATGGTTAAAAGTATTGGTATTTTAGGTAATGAAATTATTTACTTAACTATATGAAATTTAGACGATTTTGTTGTCAGCATAATTTACGACATACCGACACGTGTCGTTTGAGTCCGACGAGAAAGGTCAACAAGTCAAAGCGACGACAGAGAGAGAGAGAGAGAGGAATTTAGAGAGAGAAGGGAGTGAGAGGGATGGTCATAGAAGTTACAGAGAAAGCTACTTTAGTTTAGACTTCGAAGCTCGCGAAATTTCAAGTTCAATTTCCCTCTATGATTCATCGCCGGGCTCAATCCAGTATAATCATCGTCTTTTGTCTTTGTTTTTCCCATTGAAGCCAAAATTCTCTCTCTCCAAGATATTTGCTTCCGTACCAGCAAATCAAACCGTGTTTTTCACTCTAGAATAGATTTGGTTAAGTAATTTTCGTCCTCTGCGATGTTTCTATCGTTCGCTTTCGGATGCGGATCGTCGCGAACTTCGATGGAGTTTGGATTTCTTGAATTTCTCTCCGCTTTTTTTCGTGGCTTCTTCTGAATTTAGCGCTCGTTTCTGCTAAAGAGCTACGTGATTAACAACCAATTGCTTTGATCGTGCTTTCTGGAGATTGTTGGATTTCTTCCTGCCGTATACAGAATAAAATCAGGTCACTCGTTTTAATCTTAGTTTTTTAGTCATTAGCCGCTCATTTGGCAAATTGCGTTTTCGGTTTCCTCTCTTTTTATTGTATCAGCTTTTTTACGACTTTTTGATCAAAGAAATAAATATTTTCTGAACCTGTAATTCGAAGTGTCTGGTCCTTTTGGTCGCTAATTGTCTTGTTTAGATGTCAATTCTAGAGGAAGCATGCTGTAGACAGTAGTATTAGCCATATCAACTGGAATCAGCTATCATTTTCACGTAGAACTCTTCCTATTTTCTCCCGCTTCTTTAGGTCATCATTCTGAACATCTTTTCTTTATACTTCTCTGGAAGATCTCGGTCAAGTTTAAGAAGCCAAAATACCGATCAGTCAATAGCCAGTCCAACTTCATAAATTTTGTTCTGTTTGTAGAACCCATTCGTTATACTTAGCAAGTAGGTACAGGGAGGAGTTCGTAAATACGAGTGTTACGACTCAATGGACGGTAGTTTATAGAAAATTAGAAAAAGAACGGGAAATTAAGAGAAAGAAGATTGGTTGGAGTGTGTTTTCTGATTCCACATGGTTGTTGATTTCTGTCTTTCTTCCTGTCAGATGGGGGATTGCGAATCAATTTTACCAGCCTCTGAAGGAGAGCATCATGTCATAGCTGCATTTCAGCACCTAGTCAGGGTATTAGGGGCAAGTCAAAACGTGAATGATGAGGTTAAAAGGCTCCTTAACGATCTTGATTCTCATTTGACTTCCATGACTCAGTATACTCATTTAGAGATTGGAAAATTGAGCGAGTTGGAAAAGAAGTTCAAATCTGCTGAGGAGAAGATTAGGAGATGGGAATCTAACAAATCCATAATATGGGATTCTGGTCCCATGGAAGCTTGTGAATATATGAAGGCTGTTGGTGAGATTCATAAAGTTCAGGAAGGTCTAAGAAGTTTGCCCGTAAATGACAGTCGGAAGCAAAAGGAACTTCTTTTCCAAGCAGACTCTGTCATGCAGATCGCAATGGCAAGGCTAGAGCAGGAGCTAGTTCACATTCTTGCTCAACACAAACTATATTTCGAGCCCGACTACATTCCCTTCCAGTCTGGTGGGTACGATTTTGTGTATAACGAGTCCTTTGCTTCAGCTGAGGACAATTTGGGGGAGGAAACTTCCCAGGGGGAGAGCGTTGCTGCTGTCTATGTTGTAAACTTGGTCCATCCACACGTGATCCCCCATCTTAAATCCATTGCAAATGTTATGTTTACTTCAAATTATATTCAGGAATTCTGCAAGGCTTTTGTTAATACGCGGAGAGATGCACTGGATGAGTATTTGTTCGTTCTGCAAATGGAAAAGTATAGCATCGGTGATTTGCTAACCATGAACTGGGATATCTTAAACGTGAAGATCAAGAGATGGGTTTGTGTTATTCAAATCATTATTCGAGTCTACCTTGCTAGTGAGCGAAGGCTATGTAACAATATATTCGAAGGAATTGGATCTTATAGTTCAGCCTGCTTCACTGATATTTCAGCAACTTCTATGTTCCGCCTGCTGAACTTCGGTGAGGCCATAGCTATGACCCCTCGTCGACCAGAAAAGCTGTTTCGCTTGCTTGACATGTATGAGGTCCTGGAAAATCTTCTCGTGGATAAGGATGCATTATTTCCGGAAGACTCAGAAACAGGTTCTTTTCTTAAATCTGAGTTTCATAATCTTTTCAAGAAATTAGGTGATTCTGCAAGGGCTACGTTCGTGGATTTTGGATATCTCATTTCATCTTCCATATCAACAGACCCTTTTCCTGGTGGTGGTGTTCATCATCTAACAAAGTATGTGATGAACTACATCAAGACCCTTACTGTTTATAGAGACTCGCTAATTTTCCTTCTCCAAGACAAAGTAGCAGACAACTTAAGTCCAGATTCTGAACTGCATAATGAGAACAATGTGCACTGTCCAATGGCTTACCACCTTCAGTCAATCGCTTCACATTTAATATCCAATCTGAATAACAAATCCAAGTTGTACAGGGATGATGCTGCTCTACGACATGTCTTTTTGATGAATAACATCCATTATGTGGTTCAAAAAGTTGGAGGCCCTGAACTCCGTCTCTATTTTGGAAATAAGTGGATGCGAGAACATACGAAAACGTTTCAGAACCATGCTACTTTATATATAAGAGTAACCTGGCAGTCGGTTCTTTCTGTGCTCAAGCATGATGGTAAAGGAACAAACATTTCGAAGGCAGATTTCAAAGAGAAGTACAGGGCCTTCACTGTAGCCTTTGAGGAGATATATAAGAACCAAACTGGATGGAATGTCCCAGATCCTGATCTGCGTGATGACCTGCACATTCAAACGTCAAATTGTGTAATTCAAGCATATCGCACTCTATGCGAAACAAGGTCACCATTCAACCGAGAAAAGTACATCAAGTATACCCCCGATGATCTGGGCAAGCATCTGCTGGACCTCTTCCAAGATTCACCAAGGTCGTTGCAAAGTTCACGCAGGAGATGAAACTTGCTGCTGGTTATGATCTTAGGCTTCATTTGTCCCTTTCCACGTTTATGTTTTCCTTTTCTCGTTGTTCTTTTTATGAACTTGCTAATTATAGAAGATACCCGTTTGATAGTCATACATGCGTAATACTCTAGCTTATATACCAATAGCAACAGAACCTATTCGTTTATACTGAATGTCCATTCAACTTTGTAATACTCCTATCAGTGAGATTGTTTACCCTTTGTATTCTTTCATCTAGCTATCCATTTCGTAAATGAAAAGTCACTAATATTGATCATCATCTACATTCTTGTTGAAGAAATCGATTCCTATCTTACTCCATCCTCAAGCTGATTGTTAATTAGTAAATTCTGGTATGACTTACTTGCTGTAGTCAACAAGGTGTTCCCTTCTCTCATTCTAGCATGTTAGCAAGCATTGGATCCAATTGCAGGTCGTTATGCATCTAAAGTCAAATATTTGATGAGTCTCAAGGGGATCTCCGTCTGAAGATATGCCTCAAAAGAATTATTGTATGTTGCTTTCGCTCAACTTCCAAATTGTTGTAGACATAGATTGAAATTTCAAAGCATTAATTGAGTCAGAATTTGCCACACGTTTACATGATACTTCTTCATTTTGGATATACCACTTAGTCTAACCAACATCAAAAAGTAATAAATAGTTGATACAAGGTTTATCATATAAGATACTGCTCTAATTCTTCACTTCACCTCCACAATAAACAGAGTTTTTTAAATAGGAAAACAGTAAACAGAGATGAAAGTGAGTATTATAACAGCAAACATGTCATACTGAAGGCAGCAAAGTCTTTCCCTGTGGAAAGGTTAACCTGTTTAAATTGACAAGATTCATAGACATCATCAAAACTACAGGAACTAATTCAAGGTCAAGTTCTAAGGTCTACTCTTGAAAATTTTTGCAAGTCTTCAGTCAGAAACTGAATAGCAGGTCAATACTCATATGACTATTAAATAAACATTAAATTTCCTATTCGCCTTTTCACCAACCTTATGTTTACTTTACAGAGCTCATTGATGATAATTTCTAGCTTCAAGGATCCACCTTGGCCTTCAAAGATGCCAGTACTGTACAAATATCAGGTTTAATTTTATTTCAAGGATGAACTACCACATTTCTGTCATTTGATTCGAGTCTGACAATCAATTTTCAAAATCCAGTCATTGAACTTCTCAAGATTCAACTGCCAACAGTTCTTATGATACATACTGTTGGAAAAGCATAAACCTCAGATATGAAAGACATCTAGAACATCAAGAGGTTCAAAGAACATTGTACAACAAAAATCTCGAGGAAGAGCCGTGTTAAGAAGTAAAACAAGACACCTAGTGCTATCGACACCGGGAGAGCAGGCAAAGCTTTCTGATATATTGCCAAAAGCATCAAAGTGATTCCAAGACCCGCTACAATTGCAAGATAACATGCGTAAACTGTCATGTAATCATACATTGCTGCCCTACCGACCAATACACTATAGAAAATGAAGTCCCCTAGCCCCAACTTGATAGCACCAGATGATCCCAACCCAATTCCCTCTAGCATCAAATTCTCATTTGATACAGAAGCTTCTGCTCCATGTGGCTGAACATTCACTCCATGATCAATTAATGGAACAAGAAGCTCACCGTTCCCTGTGGGACCTTGGCCCTCTTCAGCTCTAACAACAGCTGATTCACTATTCACATCATGAGAATAACTAGGATCTGAATTGGATGTTGCAATCTCATCTACATTCGATTCAGAAACCACATTTGCCTCGGAGACAGAATCAGGAACCTCACGACGACTGTCCGAAATTTGATCTCTTTCCCTCCACACCCTCATCCTTCTTTGCACCATATCCCCAGGATTTGAATTCTGATTAACCACAGGCCGAGCCTCATAAACCAAGGCTGGAATGTCTTCATCCCTAGATATGGCTAGCTCAACCAACAGCCTTAAAGGTCCTACAGGCAGCAAAACTGCTGCAAGATCATACAGGGCCAGGGCAACTAAAAGTGCCCAAGTAGTCCATTCAGGCAACAAAGTAAACCAATAAGCGACCAACATCCCAATTAAAACCAAGTACCCTTGTGTTACAAGGATAGGCATTTTTGACATGAACACAGACAAAACACCCACAGCAGCAAAATTGAAGAGAGCAACCAAAAAAGTGATACAATCAATTGGAATGTGGAAATCCTCAATCAAGAACAATGCAATCTCACCGCCAAGAAAACCCAAAACAACAAAAGCCGAGAAACCCATGTAATATTTCAAGAACTTGACGCATCTTAGGTAGAAAAGTAACACCATAACAAACGTAGCCACAGTTATAAGAGCCACGAACACCAGGGAGCTTAAAAGAGCACCTATAAATTTGTCCCACGAGGAATCGGAGGTGCTCTCATTATATGCGATGGTGGCGATGGAGCCAACTGCTGCAGCAGAAGACGAAGAGCTGGAGTTGAGGACAGAGACTAAAATGACCACCAAGAACATGCAGATTGAAACTGGAGCTACGATTCTTACAATCTCTTCCCCAAGAGATTCAAGAATGCTGGTGGGCCTTTGATTTTGGGCCATCTGGGTATTTCCAATTACAGATCAAACTTCAGCTCTCGAGAGATGGATTCAAGATTTCGATTCTTCCAGCTCCCCCGATGTAAAGTGGTGTTTCATCGAAGTGGAAACGCAGCCGTAACGACGAACAAAGCATTCAAACTTGACGCGAAGATACCCGAATGCGTTCAATTGACGCGAAGCTCTCTCCGTCGCTGTCCCCAATATTGTGTGCTTTCTTCACCTGGCCTTTTTTCAGTGTCGTCCGAACCCAATTACTCTGTGGTTCGACCTAATTCCATTTCCATGGCCTGTTCGGCTGTCTCCTTCGAAACTGCAAAATAAAGGAAGTTTGAATTGTTTTTAGTCGTCAATTGAGGGCAAAATTGTCTGTTGAGTTTAATATGTTTATTAATACTTTTATAAAATTATGATTGGTAAAAGCCTATTTTTATTAACTTTAAAAAATAAAATCCCAAAAAACCTCAAATTTTTTATACCACGACAAATAGAGGACCAATTAATGAACTGAGCTCATGTTGGGAAAGGAAAAAGATCTATGAGATGAGGACTAATTCATACTAATTAATGTAAATATGTTTATGTATGCATATTCTGGTAACTCTTTATGTTTTATATATATTTTTTGTGATATTTAATTGGCATGATATTCAGAAATTAAGGATATGCAAGTACCTACCAAAATATTTCATATGTTAAACTATACCTTTCTATTTTTAAATCTTTACGTATTTTCAAATTTCATATTTATACTATTAAGATTATTAAATTAAATTACATGATAAAATCTAAACTTTTAAATATCTGTCATTGTTTCAATTTTATTGATAAAATGTTGATATACTATTAAAAAATCTCATTCATTACAAATATTTAAATTAACAAATAAATTTTTTACCTTTTTCAAATAAATTAAAACTTATTAATATTAATATTATTTCAATATTAATGATGTTTTTGTTGATATTATTTTATACTTTATCGATTTTTTACGATACATAAAAAAGATCGATTTAGCTTTGTCGATCGTAAAACCCAACATTCGTAATAAATTACAATAGTGACTTGAAGATTGAAGGAGAAATGAAGGATCTCAAACTTCCAATAATTACATAATAATAGCAAACTTCTCTTCGTTTTCAGAATGAGAACTGAGAAGTTGATATATCGGTCGCTGAGATCAATGAACCAACAATTCTTTCTTTATTGATTGACAATTCTATTATATCCTAGTTTAAATGAAATACCCCAATTTGCCTCATCTATAAACAAGTTTCAGCAATGCTATTGTCCAAATGAAGCTTGCATCAGCCAGCCATATAAACTGTCCTAAAGACTTCTATATGAATTTACCATCACAGAAATTTTATGCAACAAACGAGATGCACCCTTCTCGTCTGTATCATCTGGAGGAATATTAGAGGTCCATTCCTCAAAATGATGGAGACTGCCCGTAAAGTCGGTGAAGAGCCCGTCGACTCCTATCGTGTTGATCCAGTAATCGAATTCCTCATATGGGTCTTGATGAAAGTTGAAGTGGACAAAGTTGTACTCGTTTCGGAAAGTGTATGGATGAACCTGCAAAGAAAACCATGCCGTACAACCATATATATCAGTGGTTTTTCAGTTAACTCTACTGGGATATTACCAATTTTTCAGGATGAACAGTTTTGTATAGTGACATTACAAAGCTCGATCAGAGTGGCTGAGTTGAAAGAAAGTAACTAGCCAGAAACTAAAAGAAGAAACAGTTTTCTGTTTCAAGCTCCAGACAGAGGAAAAGAACTTGCAGCGGAACACTCGCAAGTTGGATGTATTTGTTCAGCCTAGTGATGCGTTGCTAGATAAAGAAGACTTCAAAAAGCTTCGGAGGCCAGTTTTTGCTAAAGTATACAGTTTACAAGTTTCAACTAGTATTCAAGTCCAATAAGGGATCCTACCTAGCAGACACCGGAATTTGCTGCCAACATGTGCAAGCACATTGCATCTATCAGGTGTAAGGGATTCGACAGGGAATTATGTTTACCTGTAGGTTATGTGCATGCGCTCGAGCAACAAGATCTGTAGGTGTTAGGATATAGTTGTTGACTACAGGAACCACTGTATCCTTCCAAGGTCCAATTCCCACCACATACTTTTTGATGTAATTGAAGTAGCTATCTGAAGTAATTTCCGAATATGACTGCACATGATCCAATACTATTTTAAGCAGATCGCATATTTAGAAAAACCAAAACAAGAAACTAATATGAGATTAGCAGAGAAAATTGTCAGGAAGTAATTATAATAGATGATCAAAAGAGGTGTATCAATTAATTGTTGTGGATAATGTAATCGACTAGCAAATAGTTTGCCACATCCTACCATGAACTCTCCACCATACAGTTAAAAGAAGATCGTGGATTAGTCTACTCCTGGGGCAAAAGAAAGGTCCAAAGCAGATTCAGTCACCACAAAAACTTCTAATATATTTAGATTGAATGTGGATTTTTTTCCGAGGGAACTTCTACTTGACCGAGTACACAATTTGTCTTCAAAGAAATAACATGAAGCTAATGAAGTCATCATGAGATACTACACGGAAATTTTTAATTTCAGGGTAGTTAATCAATTCGACAAGAATATTGTCTAATCCTCAATTGGGGCCTTTACATGGAGTTGATATATGTAACCAGATACTAATTAGCTTCTGTTGTTTTTATCTAATGAGAAGTTTGATGATTCAGCAATGTAGCAGGATTCTTTGGCTGCTTACAGCAGAACTTTTGCTCAATATTTTACCAAGACAACATAACATTTGTAGCACCGAAATCCAGAAACATCAACAAACACGAAAACAAAATGCTCCAAGGAAAGTAAGTTTGAACTACCTGATTTGTGTCTTGTGTTGGAATTGTTGTATCGTCGATTAATAAGATCTTGGGCAGGTCGGTAAGATTTGATATGTATATAATGGAAGTTGGAGCAAATGACTGAATGAATGCAGGTTGTTTCAACCAGTCTTTTGACAAATATGAACCTCTGTATCCATACTTCTTCAGAATCTCAACAAACTTGTCCTCAAATCTTTTACCATCTGGCCATTTGACCTGTGCGCATTCCCACTTGAGTATCAGGGTATAGAAGTTTGTTAACAAGAGATTACTGCGCAACAAACAGCTATTTTAAGCCATTGTATAATAGATCCACTGCATCTTAGGAGTTCATCTCGAGATAAATGACAATGTAGATCAAACAATCTATTGTCGTTCTTACCAACAATGACTATATTTTCCTACAACATTATTATTTAGAAGACAAGGCCACCATCTTCAAAATATCAAACCTATATTAGAAAACCAAATTGCAGGAAACAGTGTAACGGTGGTTATACTTATAGATAGCTTCACAAACTGTTTAGAAGTGTTTACTTCTGTATGAGAAAACTTACACGCTGGTTGATGAACACTGGATTTTTTATCTCTGGGTATATTCCAACAACTCTCGGTGCATTGAGTGCAATTGCAATGTAGTCCTCAAAAGTTATAATAGAATATTTTCCTGAGTCATCAATTAGAGAACATATCTGGATTAGTACCATCCAAAAAGAGGAGCGACCAATGATATAGTTAAGCTCAACAAATGATTTCAAGTAATAACCTAGAGGCATTTTTTATTATGCTATAAGGGGCACGTGTTATGTCATAAGAGTTGGATTTTGCCTAATATCATGACAGAAGATCATTATCTAATTACATAGAATATGGTAGTGGTAATCCAAAGAAACGGGCCTTCTGTTCTATCAAAACTCAAAAGTAGGTGAAGTATGGGGAGTAAACATCTATGTGGATTATAGCTCATTCAAACCCCCGTCCGTTTAACGCCACTATAGGAGTCTTTTTTAATATGACATGTACTTAAATTTTGGTGAGCATCAACCAAACCTAGGCATGAGCTGCATGAAAACCAGTGTACATTGATCTCATTGGTATGTTAGTCTGGTGCAAATTTAACAGAGTATTATTCTGTCGTACATTAGGGAAGTAATAACATTCAGATAACAGAAATTGATGGAGCTTTTTGGGAAACTGAAAAACTCAAAGAAAGAAAAAATACTTAAAGAATAGATCCCATACCATTATATTGTTGATCTCTATAAGGATACCTCTGCTTCACCCTCAATGACTGTAATTCTTTTAGTGTGAAATCAACTGCATATAATCAATTAGGACCCTTAGAAACACTACGGAATCAGATTTTAATAAAAAAAGAAAAAAACCTAAAAGAGTGTTTAGGCAATATAAGAAATAGAATTGTAAAAACACATGCATAAAACTAAAATACAGCCACCATACCAGTAAAAAAACCAGTGGTGTTAACTCCTTGGACTTCATATGTTCTTTTGCGATTGGCAAACTTTTTGTATGTTTCAACATCAGTAGTCTCATCAAGGGTTACATCATGGAAGCATATAAGAACTCCATCTTTTGAAGATAAGACGTCGGTCTCAATGAAGTCTGCACCCTCTTCTATAGCTCTCTGAAAAAGAGTAATTAGTTACAAGAAAATTATTAGGACATAGAAGGGACAAAGTAAGCGAATGACATACTTCAACTTCTATACAAAGATCATAAGATAAATCAAGACAGGAGAATACGAGATCTCAGTGCCTATGAATCCCATGTTTTCTGATTTTTAGGAAGAAGAGAATATACAGAACGCTAATCCCACATTTTTTATATATGTTTCATGTTGCAACCCACGAGCTTTAGGTTGTAACAAGAAACTTTACTGATGTGCATAGCTATATTCTCAGAACTTAACGAGCAACTCATTTCGTATGAGGAAGAATATAGATAATGGAGGATTCGTTATTGAACTTTGAGGTGACTGTTTTCAGCGGATAATGTTTTGTTGCTCTCGTCATGTACTAAAAAATTTCAAAAATTAAGTGAACAAGATGTTAGAAAGAATACAGATGGATGTTCCCACCTCATATGCAGGAAGAGTTTCTTCAGGGAACTCTCCGTTTGAACCTCGATGGGCAATATTATATGGACGGGTGGTTTGAAGAGGTCGTCTACTTCCTTCAGGGGGTTTACTAGGAAGTGGATAGAAAGGCCTCGCAGCACACCCAACAATAAGGAATAGAACGAACAGAGGAGTAGCGAAGCCTGCCACATCAGAGAAGCAAAAAGTCATTAATTAATTGTTTGCCAAAATTTTAGCAGACATTATAAAGAAACCAACACTTGACCATCCTATAATGTAGACAGGACATATTAACTTTGGAACTGTGGTGTTCGTGGGGTCAAATTCCCAGTGCAAACAATGTTTATTGATAGGTATTGGGAGAGCCTTTTTGGGAACAATATTCTAATCTGAATTCTACTGTCCCCATCAGCTCGTTATTGGGAACAAAGTTGATCAAAATTTTTTGTCTGGCAACAAGGCTGAAATAATTTTATACAAAGAGGTTGGTTGTGGAATTTCAACTATCGAATAATTTTATCTTCTCGGTTCGGGTTATCTTTCCCATCTATGAAGCAACCAAGATTTCTTTGTAACCTAATACATACAGATGTAGACTCTTCAGTACATATCGGCATACGCACTTGCATCAAATACAATGAGCGGCTCTGCAGATCTCGAAGTACCAAGTTCCAACTCAGAAACCTCAATGCAGAGGCAATGAGGTAATAATTTTGCAAAAGCTAACAAGCCTGGCTTTTCCACAAGGCAATATCACAGAGGAAGTAACCAAATTTACATTTCCAACCATGCAGACGTTATTCTGATTGCGATAAATGTCATGTTACCATATAAAAACAAGGAGCCTCGTGATGCAAATGCATGGGAAAGTAAGTATAATACTCGTCATGGCAAATCAGAGAGCAAACCCGTGAGGCGGAAAGAAACAAAAACCAACCAACTTCACCATAAACATTTCAAGTTTCGACTAATTGATCAAATCTATCAGTGCCGAATCAAACAATAAAAAGAGGACATGATGGGTAAAACAAATGGAAAAGTAGCTAAGAGGAGACCCAGAAATCAAACCTTCGATTCCGAAAAATCACAGCTCCAGATAAAAATGAAAATTGACCATCAATGAAAATAACAGAAGATAGAAATGGGTGATGATGTACAAGAATTATGAATCTTGGATCATGGCAGTAGATCAAAAACAACAAAATTGAATCGGAATTTGGAGCTTACAGAGTGCGGCGGCCATGACTTTGGCCCTATCTCCGCTTCTCCGTGTTAGCTTTTTGAATTTTCAGACGAAGTTTCATCTCCGATCGTAACCTTTTTATGGGGCTTCTGTAATTTGTTTCTTTTAATTTGTTCAATGTACAGCCGTTGGATCCGCCGTGGATCTACAAACTGCTAAAGAATATTCTCATTTTCATGACTGAGTTTAGTTTAATTCTTATCCAACTAATAACTAAATTAATTTCCATTAAAAATAAATAAATAACTTCCAACAACTCAATCAGGTCTTCCAAAAAACCAAATTAGTGCATTTGGGAAGATCATTCATCATTGTTAACGTAAATAAAAATTTAAAATTTTTATTAAATCAGCATTATAGAATTCAAATAATTAAAAAAAAAAGATTTGTATAATATCAGCAGATAATCTTTATCATCTTTCATGGAATAACATCATTCTTGAGGTATAACACCAATTACCCAAATTTTTATAAATTTATTGATCTGTCATATATCATAACCAATATTATATTATTTATTAAAATTTTGTTTTATGTTTACTAATCGATTTCACTTGTTGATTCTATTTTTTTATTTTTTAATTTGTTTTCTTGGGTCTTTTATTAAAGTTATATATTTATAGTTTCTTTAATGGTATCAAATGAGATTATGTCGCCAAACAAAAATTTAATATTTCATATACGTGGCGAAATTATATTGGATGGATAATGTTGCCAAGAAGACTTGGATTTTTTAATTATTTTTCGGGGTTAGAACTTTAGATATTAGCAAATGAGGAAGTGAGGTCCACGTGGTTGTGGATTTTGATGATGTGTCGGATAATGATTGGAGAAAATCACTAGGTGTCACACTACGAGTCAAAAGCAGACGTCAAAGAGGTATTATAAGATACGGGCGTTTGCATTTAACTGTTTCTCACGACGTCCACGTGTCAACACGAGGTTGTTTATTCATTGCTTAAAATTTAGATGACTCCGGATGTCACTTATTTTTCTTTTAATTTGCAACAACGTTTTTTTAATATAATTTAAATTACTTCATAATTTTTAAATTTTTTATAAATCACATCTCTCTCTAAATTAAATATCATCGAAGAAAAAAATGTTTTTTTTTCAAAAAGTTGTTTTTGATTTTTGAAAATTGATTAAAATTATTTCTAAGAAGGAAAAAAAACCAAGCTCAATTTGTATTTTTAAATTTGTTTTATTATATAATTTTTATATGCATTTTAAAATTCAGACCAAGTTTTTTTTTTAAATTCAAGTAGTTTCTATTTTTGAAATTAGTTTCTATTTTTAAAATTTGACTCATAATTTAAATAATAAACAACTTACCAATTAAGTTATATAAAAACAAGCTTATTTTTTAAAACCATAAAATTTAGGGTTAGTTATAAATATAATAAAATTTTTTTAGTAAAACTAGCAAAATAGCAATCACATTTAATTTTTTCAAATAAAGCACTTAAAAAAAAACGAAGGTCCAATTTTAAAATAACAACTTTACAAAATGATATACATTTGTAATATATATGTAATATATATAACTATTGATATATGTATGTGATATATATCTGTTATACTACTGATATTAGTGTATGTGCAATATATATATAATATACTACTAATATACTATTGATACAAGTAAAATTTTTTGCTATATTTGAAATTTTAAAAAACAAATGACATTTTGAAATATCTTTACTACCCACCATAATTTCTCTAAAATTAAAAATAAAATGATCATAGAAAGTTCTTTTTTACCTCTTTAGTTTTAAGAGGGTGGGATGGACAATCATCCTATGAGATTAACAAGTATCTTATCTACTTTACTATTATCGGATTTGACATATTCAAACGTTAATTTAATAACCTTATTAACACGTCAACATTTTATACTCAGTTTTATAATTAATCATGATTAGATTTTTTTGAGAATTGAGAGTCGGTACTCCCCTATACCCAAAGGCACCTGCGCCCGTCCCAAGGCTCAAAAGATGGGAGACATCAAAATTTTTTTATATTAAACTCACCAGAACGTTCAAACTTGAGACATCTAAACCAGTATAATCAAAAGATCCCAAGTCCTTGCCAACTAGATTGCCCCTTGAGGTGGTTAACCTGCCGAGATAATTTGGACCAGCAGCATCAAGAATTATTCCATATGAAACATGAAATGAAGGTGACAATAACAGCAATAATCTCATTAAGATCATGGGGGGATCCTGATTGTTGTTGGTGTTTTCTTTTCATTCTCCCTAAAACCAAACAGGAGAGAGGGCAAAATGAGAAGAACACTTTCCAAATTCAATAGGCATCTGTTTCCCATTACAAGGAAAATGAGGTACAGCAGACATGGATGTGCTTCATGGGGTTAGCCACCTCCCTCCCACCAGCATGTTTCACAAACTCTGCTGGTGTAAGAAAGCTCCCATGGCACACACACACTATGCACACTTGCCCCTTCATGTACTTGTACAAAAACCCTTCTACCTTCCTCCCGTTTGGCCCGTCCCCGACTGTCGATACGCTCGGCATCGTCCTCATCACGTCCATCCCTCCATCCCCTTCCATCACTCCCTTGCAAACTCTAGCCTTTTTCGCCGCATTTGTCGGCGGTTTATCGGTTTTTCTCGATGCCATTGTTTGTGAGCTCACTACTGGCCCTCTGTCATTTGACTCCAGTGAAGATTGGGAACTGAATGATCCCTTTGATGATGATCCCAGACTTCCATGTCCTGTGATCAATGAAAATCAAGCTGATAAGCCAACATCCACCAACATATTTAGTAAAACTTAACTGAGGAATTTTGACAAACTTCTTTTGGGTGGCCATGGTTTGAATTTATAATCCCAATTCCAAACACATAACCACAACCCCATTTGGCAACTGTTTGGATGGCCAATTTTAAAGTCAACAATTCAGTGTTAATGAAAGGGATCCAAACAAAATCACTACTCCATTTGTCATAGGCACATGCAAGAGGCTTATTAGCGAGAAAACCAGCCTGAAACCTCACAAGGAATAATGACTCCACGATGAATTTTGCACCATTTTTTCATTCTTCAAAAGGGAAACAGTTCATTTGAGATTTCTGCTAAGATGTTATTACTTAGATTATTAAGTTCTTCTGCTTCCCTTTTTCATCCATTTCAGCTTATGAACCACCCAGAAAAATCAACTCTAAACTTTCTTGTGACCCACCACCCCAAAACAGAGAGAGAAAAAGAGAGCTTTGATTCAACCCAAATGGTGAAAATCAATCAATTCGAGGAACATAGAGCACCCTCTGAGCTGGAAACAGTTGATTATAAAGGATTTTGAGCTTCAAGAAAAATGAAATCAAGAGAAGGGGGTACCTTCAACTGTATAACTCTGTGAAAGGCTTCCTTGGTTGGATTTGATCTTATCAATTGCACGACATAGAGCAGGGCTTTTTGCTGCAGAAGCGGCGGCCCAAGCCGCCACTTCAGACGGCGACGGCGGTGCAGCAGCGGTGGCCGCGGATTTATCATCCTCCGCCGCAGCCGCTCTGCCGCTTCTCTGCTCCGCCAGCCTCTTCTTAGCCTCCATCCTTCTCATCAACTGCAGCTCCTTGAGTTTAATCCGACCCAGATGCTCAGTCTCCGCCGGAAGAGAGCAAGATCTCGCCAACGAAAGAAACGAACCCGGCTGCGCGGCGGCCTGCACATCCCATTTCCACGCTTCCGCGTTCTGAGAAATCACCCCGATAACAGAAGAGGACCGAGTCAAGGAATTTTCCTTGGATTTCCCACAGTAAATTCCGCCGAGAGAGAGCCTAAGAGTAAGGTCCGGCGGTTCAGAAACAGAGAGCTGGGTTTGTGTGTTGATCTCCGGAGAGAGTCTGAGCAGAAGGTCATCCGCGCATCCGCCGATTGGTTCGCCCATTGAAGTAAACAAGCAGAAATCGGTGCCGCAGAGAGTAGAAATCAAAAGAGAAACGGGCGTGAAACGCGATTTCGGGGCTACCCACAAACGCGAAACAGAATTGAAGGGGAAACCCACATGGGAAAAAACAAAAACAAAAACAAAAAACGAGAGGAAGCGTTAGAAGAAGGAGGGAAGAAGAGGAATGAAGAGGGAGGGATGGAGTGTGGAAATAAGTAAAGAAGAAGAAAATGAAATGGGTGGAGGTTTCATGGAGGGGGAAATGGGAGAAGTCCACGTGGTGATCAGTGGTGAGGGGGTTACAGAGAATTGGGTTTCAAGTTGCAGGTGGGAGCTCCAATCATCCACTCCCACCACCTGCAACTAAGCCCTAATCCTCGCCCTCTCCAATTTCTCTCTTTCTGCCACCTCCTGCCTCCTCCTCTTCCCACTCTTACGTAATTTTCACTCCACCTTCCTTCCCTATCCCCACGCCCCACTCCCCTCTCGGACTCTCCAGCAAAATACAAACAAACTGTTCGAATACAACCTGATATATGATATATAGATGAAGACAATTTATAAAAAAAAAATTTTGAGTCAGAACCAAAAGTAAAGTCTGATAATAGTTATGCGGACACTATCTTATCACTTTTTTTATGTTTGGAATACCGCTGTTATTAACATTTCTCACCTTAGTCTTTAATATTTGACAACTAAAAGATTATACCTTTATAGGTACATTTTAGTAGAAATTGAAAGCAAAGTTATAAAAGTTATACCAATTTAGATAACATCATGGACATACTTAAATAGCATTATCTTTTAACATTCCCCACTTCAATTCTAAAATTTGATCTCAATTTTTCAATCTCATTCAATTCATTTTTCTAAAAAATAATGTCCGATCAATCTTTCAACCATAGTAAGCACAATATTTACTAACAAGAATTTAAATATTCTCTACGATATGTTGTCTTTTAACGAAGTTAGGTTTTTTGTTTTTTGTTTTTCGAATTGGGTTGAATGATTATTCAGTTGGTTGATTTATAAAATTTAAGACCATGTTGGTTGATTATGGATGGGATTATTTTAGTGAACTATTTAAACCGTAAATATTTGAAAGTGTAGTAAATACATCCAAAATATCGGAACCTGAAGCTTGGGTTGTTTCTTGAACGAAGAATTGTGGGGGGGAATTTAAAAATGGGGAAAAGGCAAGCTTTTGGGGTCACGAAGAGAGAGGGGGCGGGGCGTGGAGGAAAGTGATGTCTGACACTCTGTCAGCTCTTCTATTGGACACGTGTCGATTCATTGGGATCTTTTATGTAACAGCCCCTCGAGACGCTGTTTTGTTTTGTTTTGTTCCTTTCTACGTCGTCGGCGCCCCTTCCTACTTTTTTCTTTCTTATTTTTAAATGAAGTTAAATTACTAATCTAGTCATTCAATTTTTTATGTGTTTTTTTTTCCAATAAATTTTTTCAAAACAATATCAACCATCGTGAAATTTCAATTTTATATTTCATAGTCTTTATAGTATAAAGAAGTATAATAGATTCTTAAAAATTCAATTATATGTCTAAAAATTATTTACTTATTTGATATTTTTAAAAAATTTACAATTTATTAAACATAAAATTCAGACAATATTTTTTTAATAGATTCATTTTAATTGTAAAAAATATTAAACAAATTGGTATTGGGAGTTCAAAGATTTATTAGACACTTTTAAAATTTGAAAATTTTTAAATGTTTAGGTATCTATTGAATATTTTTTTAAGTTTATAAATTCATTAGACACAAACTTTAAAGTGCAGTGACTAAATTTGGAATAATAAACTACCTCCGATTTATTTTCTTACATTATAATATAATTGTTTTTTTTAAACGCTTTATAATTTTATTGTTCAAATTTATAACCACGTGTGGGATAATAAAATTTTAAATTAAATTATTCAATACAAAATCGATATTATTTTATTGTTGTTCACTTAGTTGATAGATAGATACTTAAATAAGTATTTCACAATTTTACAATAGGTCGTTTAAATATATATATGATAGGTTGGGTATTAAATCTATTAACAGATTTGAGATATTGTTTGATAATTAATGAAAAAAATGAATAACAAACAATAAAATTACTTTTAATAATGTATAATTTAGAAAGGAAGATACAATATTTACCAAGATGAAGAGCAGATTAGAGTTTAAATGAGTAATTTAACTTTATTTTTAATTGAAGTTGACGTCAAACCAACCAATCAATTTAAGGAGAAAAAAAAGGTTGAATCCATATTTATTATTTAAATTGACCAATTGAGTTATGTGATATTTTTACAAAATTTCCCATTTTCGCTCATATTCTGCACAATTTTATATACTACAGTATATTAAAAATTTAGAAACTTTTCACTTTATGCTATAAATTTAATATGTAAAATAATTTTACTGTTAGTGTGATTTGCATCACATTAAAAAAGAACTTTTTATTAATTCAAGAATACATATTCATTGTAAGCTACTTATGTAAATGGTTATATAATTTAAACCAACACTAGAATAGCATATAAAATAATTCTACAGTATTGAAATTCGGAAAAGGAAGTTCATAAAAAGAAGGAAGCAAGCAAATCTATGAAAATAGACCGTATCAAGAGTTGACGAGGACATTCCAGCCCCATTCAGCTATCTATCCACATGGCCCTTTAACACTCTCACATTCATTTTCTAAAAAGAAAAATGTAATCATTATCCCACAGAAAATTGCAAATATTTCTCTTTTTGGTTCATAAATTTGATCCAATAAACAAATATATTTGTTAAACATATATTATCGGCATGAAAATGTATTATTTGATGAAGTTTTTATTATTGCTCGATCTAGTTTCTCTATTTTTAAAATGTTTTTTCATTCATTTACTTTCAAAATATTTGTTTTTATTTGGTACTTTTAAAACATGATTATTTTAATTTATTTTTGCAAAATCTTAACATCTAATCTTATAATATCAAGTTATTACTACATTTATAAAAAATATATTGAGTATATTATTACGTTAAAATCGTGATATAAAAAAAAGATAAAATAAATAAGTCAAAATAATTACCTTTAAATGTATAGAATAATCATGATATAAAAAATGATAAAATAAATATATCAAAATAATTACTTTTTAAATATATGAAAACTAGAAACGAACACTTAAGAAGTGCAAGAACTAATATATACAACAATGGAAAATATAAAGTATCAAAACGAAATATTTTAGGAGTACAGGTGGAAAATATAGTTATCAAAAAGAAATATATATATTATTGCGTTGGAAAAGGGATGAATCATGAAAGTTGAAAAATTATAAAACTAAGAATTTTCCTTTTCTTTTTGAAAGATTACAAAAATCCAGTCTAACGTTTTCCGTTAGTGTCTAACGCTTCCAGCCTCATTGAGCCTGAGAATTAGGTCTGCAACTTGGAGCCGTTTAGTTTAGATTTAACGGAGGGTTAGCGAAGAATAGGGGAAGGGGGAGTGGGCGAAAATCTCGCGGCGCCACGTGGGGGTTTGGATTTGACGTGGGAACAAGAGGGGCGGGGCCCAGTAAGGGATTGAAGTGGGACCCATGGGCAAGTTGAGAGCGAGGCGATTTACTAGGTTAAAAAAGGACATAAAAAGACACACGTGGCGTAATTGGGAGGGGATTGAATGGGAACCACATGTTGCCACTTGGCAACTTGCATGCTACGTGTCAGAAAAAGCCTCGTACGGAATGACGTAGCAGCAACTTGATTTGTCCCCCCGAGGACATGATTGTCATACAGACCAGGCTGGTTCCGTGCCTCACACGCGCGAAACTGTCGAGTGTGGACCACTTCCATTTTCTTCCAAAGGACCAATTTCCATCCCAATCCAAATGTAGAACCGGCTCAAAACAACATATTTGATACATATTTCAAATTATAATACGTGGTGAATTCGAATCTGCTTCTCCTACCTATTATATTAAAAAAAATGAAAATTTGTTGCTCCTAATCATCTTTGAATGAATATGAAAGAAGTGTATGCTTAACTTGACGAGTCAACGCAATGACTCACACATGAAAGAAACTCTCATTCCAACCTATATAAAGTTGAGCCAAACTATTGAAGACAATTGCGACTCATGTTCCATGTCAAATGGACTATACTCTCGCACCTCTATCGCCTAAGATATTAGTCGAGTTGACCCCAAACTCATACCTCAGTTGTCTAGTTTTCTGACGAGCCGATCCATGCTTACTTTTGTAGTTACAAACTTCTATGTACGACAACACGCTGTAACTCTCGAATTGTCAGAGAGTCGTTGAGGCTTTGTAGAAAAATTAGCCTCGATAAATAGAGATATTTCGTCTCATTTCAGGTACGTGAAACTATATTCTTATATTCTTTTTCGAGTATAGATCGATTAACTATACTAACTCGAACGTTAGAATGCTTACTCTCTTTTGCAGATCTCGTATTTACGTCATTTCAGCTCATTCATTGCCGAACCTGGTGGACTTGGTCAAATTCTTGATCAAACAAAAATGATTTAACTTTGATCAATTTCTATATTTCTATCTTATTCTTGTAACAAAGCCTAATGTTTGATCACTGGTAAAAAAAAAATTAATGACCAAAAATATAATTTTTAATTTATAACCCGTACCTCTAACGATGATATAAAATCGTTAGTCATATATTGTTCTAACTTTTCGAATGATTTAGAAGTAGTTCAGAAAAGAGGTGTATTGGAATATGTGTATCTAATTATCATATCATATCCTTATTGTTATTAGTATGGTTAAGATGATACACGATATGATTATTTAAATTCATTAATTTTTTCAACAAAAAATTATTATTAATTGAGTGATTGGGAGCAAATAAATCGGATAATTAACACGCGATGATTTATTATTATTTTTTTTGTGAGTATATAATACGTTATAAGTTATAAATAAGCTATAGATTATCTTTCATAATATAGTTCCATTTTTCAACGTCTTAATTTGATTTTTTTTTTTTATAATTCGAACTCCAAATATGTTGTGTAAAAAGAAAACCCCAAATATATCTAATTTCCTATATGCTGTTTTATTTTTTTGTTTTATTCAACTCTTTTAAAAATTAAAATTCTACTTTGGTTGATAAAATTTAATATTTGATTTCATTCAAACAATATATTCCGCGTTTTTGTTTGACAAAATTTTTAATTTTTTCATCTAGTTGGGAAAATGGTGTAAACAAAACAAATATTTGTTTGCAAACTTTTCTTATCACATGAAGTCATTACCATTTCAAAACATGTATGTTTGTTCTATTTAAAATATTTGAATCCATAAAACATGATAATTGATTAATAACGAGGAGTTCGAGAGGATTGTCAACAAATTTAATCATATGTTTAGTTTTCTTGGATGTTGAATTTAAATATGTACGAGAGTCTGTAAAGACATAATTATTCCATTGGATTCTAAAAGACACAAAAGTATGATTTAGCTGTATGCAACAAAAGTAGATAAAATAATATTTTAGTTATAAGTGATAAAATAATAAAAGCATATACTTTGACTAGTCAAATTAAAATGAGATAAATTTTAAGACAAGTTGCAAGAAAAAAAAAATGGACATGATACCATTTTATTAGAGGGTTTTAGAACACAACCAAACACCTAGGTATGACTTTCTCTCTCTTTCTCTCATTTTTTTTGTCGAGTGATGTATAAAATTATTCCCATGAATTGTACTGTTTATTATACTTTTATTTCTTCTAAAACAAATTATAACTGATCATCTTCTTTCGAATTAATGATTGACAATAGACAAAACAAAAGAGAATATACGAAGAACTTATAATTATTTCATTCCGATGTTATTCGAACATTTTATTTGAAGAAAAAAATACAAGTGGGAGTAACAAAATTTGATTGTGTACTAAATCTTTTATTTATTGGAAGAGAAGTATAGAACAAAAAAGTTGAATTTTTCTTTATTTTTTTTTTCAAATGTTTGGATGGAAAAGGAAAAAGATGAGAGGGGAATAGCTGGCAAGGCAAGTTCTGTGTTAACTGGCAAAGGTACTAATAAATTGAAAGCAATCAATCCACTTGCTTGGTTGGTTGCTTTGATACCAAAACACAAACAGCTACAAGATTTATGGAGAAACCTTTTTAGTTTTTACTTGTCTCTTGTCTCTCCTACTAATCCCATGTTTTTCTGCTCACTCTGATAGCTTGAGAGGGTCTTGATAGTCATCCTTAAAATGGGCATCACTCCTTTTAAGAATAAAGAAAAAACCAAACTTTGGTGGGGTGAGAGTTTGAATTTGTGCAGAGATTTTAAAGAATTATATGCAATTTTGTTAGGGGTGAAATAGATCAATACCAAAGGAACATATCAAATTATGACGGGTTAGTCTCATATCTCACCCGGGCCAAACATTTTCAGAGAAGAAGATATCCTAATGAGAAAATATATCCCCTCTTATCTAGGAAATTAAAAGAAGATATCTGACGATCTTAGGAAAAAATATTTACTTAGATTTTGGTCAAATTTATGCCTCAACACTTTTAATGCAATTGATTTCTCTGAAACTTTTAGATTCCTCTAAAACTACATCGTAACGACAAAAAATATGTTTAATATGGGCAACTCGTAATTTGAATCAATATCTCTCATCTTTCTCTTATTGATATTTCTCTCCACAGTCCACACTTGTTTTGTCGCCAAATTCTATTTATACTCTCTCGCTCATCTCTTTACACACTTCTTTCATTGGGTAGTTGTGTTTGTGTACGCTTTCTATTTTATCAAGCTGAATATGGTAACTTGTAAAATATCTATGGTGATTTTCCACAACAATGTTGACTGTCAATCTCACTATCTTTTCTTTTTGTTCCATCAAAATCAAACTGGTTTCAGTCCCTCTCTCCTCTGCTTTTCAGTCTTCCAATTCTCCACGTTTCTCTCTTCAACTGGTAATGGTATAAGCATATTGGAGAAGTCTGGCTCTTTTATAGCCTTGTTTTTGCTCTCCTTTTATGGGTTTTCGTCTCAGAATTTGGGCTTCGTTTTTTTTTTTTGGTCTCAAATTGTGAATTTGACAAAACATGTCCAACAGGGCCATTCTCATTCTGTGATTTGAACTGAAAAGGCGAAGCTGTGACGATGGATCCGCAAATTCGCAACACATCCCATCAATCCTTTTGAATAAGTACTGATTCCTGAACTTTATATGAACTGTTATTGTCAACAACTAATTCAGAATTACAAACTGGGGAGTTCATAAAGATTTAAAAGATTAGATTTTTGGGGACTGAACCAAAAAAAAAATGGTGGTTATAGTGAGCGAAATGTAATTAGATTTAAAAGGTTGGAGTTAGATGTCGATCGATGCAGCAAGCAACGAAGCAATGCATCAAGTTCTTAAAATGAGAAGGTGAAAAAGAATCTCTTATTATGCAGGTGGGAAGAAGGTAGAGCTACAGTTTTAGAGGTTTAATAAATGTTTTGGATTTCAGTTTTCATATTTCCATCTGTTCTACATGGAAAATTCAGTCTACTTTAAAGGGGAAAAAGAGAATACATTCTCATCAATTCAACATTATCAAGACCAAAAGAAAAAATTGAAACTTCCTATCAGAAATCTAATAGAGCTGTAACAAACCCAAAAATAGCGAAAACTTATGAGCTAAGAATTGCTGCCCTTTCTTTAGCTCTCATATTGCCATAAGATCACCATAATTCCGCATGAGAAGGATAGATCCTGCAAACATTCCAGCTGCTCGAAGCAATTTCTGCAACAAAAAAAGGAAGTTCAAGTTAACGTTTTATATAACTGATGATATACAACCATACTTGAAAAATGTTGTGTTTTGGTACCAACAGTATAAGCAAAAATCAAAATGATACTTCTTCATAGAAGTGGGGAATGAGGATTAACAGTTAAGCCACGCAGAATTCCCATAAGCATGGTTTTTCTCTTCAAAATCTTAGTTAAAGATTATTTCTCCCAAATAATGAATTATGGCAGCAAAACTGCTATGTTACAACCAATTCAGTGGCATTGGTCTCTCTTCTTAGTGCAAAAGCATTCTTTTATTGCATCCAAATTCATGTACAGCAACAGCTATGATGCTTATTGGCATGGCAGAAGCAGAAGAAATGAAAGTCATCGTCAGATTCAGTCTCATGTTTCAGCTTTAATAAGATGGCATGACACACGTGCCACGGTTACATTACAAGAGATAAGATAGTTATCATGCATTGGCAACTCTTACCCAAAACTTGAAAGACGGAATAGATAATAGAACTTTATGCAAATTATTCAATTTGAATGAGATGGGAAATATACACAGAACCAACCAAAGCTTCTGACGAAGTTCATCAAGTTAAAGCCATGAATTTATAAAGTACTATAATTCTCATTTGGAATTTCCATTATTCAAGTCATAAAGTAAACCCAAATAACATCTCTTCCATTAGATCAAATCCATTGCGTTCAACCCTCCCCTTCAATCCTCTCAGCCAAGTACTAAACAAGGGCAAACCTGCTCCCGTTGGTAATTACCAAAAACCAAAAGACTTCTTTAATTTCTCTTATGTATTTCACAAGAGAAGAAAGAAAAGGTGGGAAAAAAAGATACTCATAGTTTAAGACAACAAAAAATTAAGGTGTGAAACAGAACGGAGCATGCAAATTGAGATGAAGAGAATGTTAAAGCTATAAATGAATATAACTTCAGAATAGCCCATCAAACAAGTAATTGAATATATGACAAAATGTCCTCAAGACCTATCTCCGAGAAAAATTATTTTTCTTCCTTAAATTTCTTTATTCTCGAAGCAATTATAACAACTTTTTAGGATAAATTAAGTATACTAGCGTTCGACTCTCAAATGCGCTTTTCCAGTAAAGGATCGCCATTTTATACTTTGATTCCTGAAACTAACAAGAGTCTCATGACTTCTTAAACTTTCTCAACTAATAAATAGAGTACAAGACATTGAAACGGATTAATAATGCGACAAAAAAAAAAGTTGTTGCCCAGTCCTAGAAATCCCACTAACAAATCGTGGGGTGAAAAAAATCCAAATTAAGAACAAAGCGACAGATTTAGAATTTAAATTGAAATTATTGGAAGAGTACCATGTTCAAGGCCCACTTTTCCTCGTCATGAATCTGAGAATTGAGAAACGATCTCACCGTCTCCACCGAATTCGAAGTTCCGGAACAGATAAAATTCTTCACCTTCTTCATCGAACTCGAAGCGTCCGCCATTGTCGCACAGAGAGGAGGGCGTATGAAGGCTTTAGGGTTTTGGTTTCTGAGGTTTGGTTGGGAGCCGAGAGGAATTGGCTTGTGGACTGTGTAGCAAGCTTACGAATTTACCCCTGTGATCTCGAAAATGATAAATAATATAACTTTTTATTTTTTTTAGTACAAAAATGTGGCGATGAGATATATGCTCGTTACTCACTCGGCTATCCTCACTTGGTAATATAACTTTTATTTATTGTATCGAAATAAGAGTTATATTATTAAGATAAAAGTTATATTATTTATTGTACCAAAAATATGTAAATAAATAAACAATGTAACTTGTTTGTTTAATTATTTGATGGAATAAACTCTACGAAGTTTTTTTGGTTGAACTTAAAAAAACGTATTTATTTTGTTTAAATAAGAAAAATACAAAATCCCACACAGGATTGAATCCTAAATTTATTTTTTTTTGTGTGAAAAAATGATTTGGTTGGGAAGGGTGAACTTTTTTCTTCAAATGAAGCACTTTTGAAAAAAAAAAATCCTTTCTAAATAAAAATATTGTCTCTATAAATTACTTTGGAAGAATAAGTCTAGAGTGCGTTTCTTTTTTAGTACACCATTTAGTGTGTTTCTAATTTTTTTTTCTTTTTTGATGATTTTAGATTACTAAAATGCCTGCATTTGGTAATAAATTTAAAATATTAAAAATATATTGATTTAAAAATACTTTTTAAAAAATACTAAAGAGAAAGTGATATATAAAAAAAATACTTTAAATAATTTACACTTTTAAATATTTGATTAAAAAAAGGTACATAAAAAAAATAATGATATCAAACTCACCTTTATGATCTTGGGCACACTTTTTTTTGCCATGTGATTTATCAATAAATTTTAAACTTAATTTTTAGGCACTAATTCCACCAATAAAAATAAATTACAGCAAATAAGGAAGTGATAATTTCAATTTTAGGATCAAGTACACATGCTTAAAAATTAAGATTTATCAACTGCAAAAGTCGTATTTGTGACCTATAAGATGTAAAAACCTATAAAAATTATAGATTAAATCTGACTCATGTAAGGTAAAAATGAAATTTATCTATGAGTTTAACTCCAGTAAAAATATGAAAAACTGTGATATTTATTCATTACCTTCCAAATCCTTATACCAACATTTAGTCTCTACTAAAAAGGAAAAAAAAATTAATAAATTATATCTTATTACCGGTACAACTTCAAATTCCCATCCAAAATTTTAATGGAAAGAAACAAAAATGTGGCAGAAATGAAAAATTATAAAATACCACAGTTACCGTACAATTAAAAAAAACTAAAAAATAAAAAAGTAATAAGCATTAGTGGAAGAAAACGTTCGAGCCACGTGGCCGAATAAAATGAGAACACGTGGATAATCCAATATCTCAAACCAATCCAACCACCTGGCTTCTCCATCATTCATTCCCGTCGTGCGGACCTCTGCAATTTTCCCCTTCAGCACTAACCATCACCAGCTCTGCAGTGCACACAGAGAGAGTGAGAGAGTGAGAGATGGAGGTGACATCTTTTTGTAGCAGCAGCAGAGGGATTTCCTTCGTCTATTCTTATCCATGGAAAACCAAATCAAGATTTGATAATCCTTCGACAGTTTCGCCTCTTCTTGTACGCTCCATGGCTGCCGAGAAACCTCTTCCTTCTGCTGCTAAAACTGTCGGCTCCAAGAAGGTCAGTAAAATCGTCTGTCCATTCTTTTTCTTGCTCCCTTTGAATCGCTTCAATGCTGTTGCTTAGAGGCGTTTTCGCGTTCAATTTTGGTTAATTCAAGACTTCGATACTGATTCGAAGCGCCAACATTCTGTAGATAAACTCGACGGTGTTCCCCCTCGGCGAGAAAGGGCCGCGGAGCAGCATCTCGCTGTCGACTTCACCGCAGATCAAGCTACTGACGAGGGTGGAGCAATTGAAGCTGCTGAGCAAGGCCGAGAAGGCCGGGCTGCTGTCTGCGGCGGAGAAGGCCGGGTTGTCTCTGTCGTCGATTGAGAAATTAGGGCTTCTCTCGAAGGCCGAGGAATTGGGGGTTCTGTCGGCGGCAACGGACCCGGGAACTCCCGGGGCGCTGCTGAGCCTCAGCCTAGGGCTTTTGCTTTTGGGGCCTTCGTGCGTGTATTTGGTTCCTGAGGACAGTGTTTGGGAAATCGTGTTGCAGGCGGCGGTGGCTCTGGTGTCCGTGGTGGGTGGCTCGGCGGCGTTTGCTGCGTCGAATCTGGTTTCCAATTTGCAGAGATCGAATTGAATTCCAGAGTCGGAGTTCTGCGGCCATGGGAGCTGTAACAATGGCACCGTCCATCGTCGATATCATCTTTCGTTCTCTCGTGTCGTCGTTTTGTATACTGCAATTATTGAATTCATCATTTTTCAGATTAAAATGGCGATATATGAACGATTCTATTCTGGTCTCAGTTTTATAATAATACCAATAACAGAGTATTATACAACAAAATTAGATATGCATTTTTCTTAAATGTAACTTTATTTTCTATAAAGTTTACTTCTATTTCTATAGTTTTAACCTTGAACGGTTATATTATGCTATTGTTCATATACGTATGGAAACCAACATATCATTTTAAAAACAACACATGGATTTCAACCTTGTGGCTACCAAATTTTTGTTATTAGTTTGAAACGTACCTTAACGTTTAAAATTTCTATTGAAATTATTATTTTTTAATATTTGTTCTCAAAACTACCCCAATTTTATAATTTGTTATTTCAATTATATTAATTTTTTTTAAACTTTACTGAACAAATGGCCCAGGTAAATTTTGATTTACCATCTAAGTTACAATAAATATTAGAATGAGGGCTAACTTGTTCAAACATATAGTTTGAATAAGTTCAAATCGCTGCCCATGTTGAATAAAAAAAAAGTGACAATGATTTGATTTCTTTTAATATTATGCCATGCTCACTTTCAAAATTAAACCTTTTATTTGAAAAGGGATTTGGTCTTGCGCTTAATTCAAATGGAGAATTATCATTTACCGGCACCAAATGTCGTAGAATTAGATGATTACATACACACGCAACTAAAAATATATATTTTTTTTCATAATGTGAAAATACAACTAATAAAATCAATATCATTTAGTGATATGTATCAACTTCATATTTCAAGGGGGCGTTCTCACTTATATTACAGCAAATCATACCATTTTTTTTTACTGGACAAATTAATTCATTAGACTAAATATTTTTATATTAGACATTTGGAAAATATGAATGGTTTTAGCTTAAATCCTTATCCAATTTCATTTGATTTGAAAAATAAAATTACTCAATAATAAAATAAAATTCTATGTATTAACTATCATTAGATATGTAAGAACTTCATATATGTATATACACGAAATTAATATTGTTTTGAATTTGGTCAGAAAAAATGTTTTCAAACATTGTAACTTATTATTTAAAAAATGATATTTTTTTATAAGATTAAAAAAAGAATTAATATAATTTTTCAAAAAAAAAAGAATTAATATAATAAACTATTTTATTTTGAAACTTTTAAATTACTTGAAATTGTTACACCTGAATAATTCCCTTATTTTCTTATCTATTTATCTAAATCAAAGTCTTGCTTAAATTACAAAAATAGTTGCACAAATTTGCAGCTGCAGACAATCCGTCGTTTCATCGGAACAAATTTTGGTTGCATCTCTGCGTGTGGCATCTCTCGTTCCCCAGTCACGATGGCGAAGGCTTCATCCTCCTTTTTCCAAACCCTAAAGCGGTATATCAAGAAGCCCTGGGAGATCACCGGCCCCTGTGCGGATCCAGAGTACAGATTGGCCGTGCCGAGCGCCATAGAGTACAGGGTCTTTTGCCCCGCCACTACAAAGCAGAAGGCCATCGTTCCTACCTCGAATCCAGAAACTGTCTTCGACATCAAGTATTTCAGCCGCGACCAGCGTCGCAATCTCCCTCCAATTAGACGCACCATCCTCAAGAAATCTGACGTCGAGAAGATCATGATGGAGACCAATTTCGAACCCGCTGATTTCCCCAAAGTTTATCTTACGGCCACGATCGAGGAGGATATCAATACCCATGGAGGAGGTTATCAGAAGTAGTGAGGTGAGTCTTTTCTCTCCAACCGCCGCTTCGGTATGTGGCGATCTTTTGGACTTAGGTTTTTTATAAGCGAACCATTGGTTATTTATCAAGTTTAATTCCCCCGTCTTCCCAAGCTTAATCTTCTTTGCACAATTCAGTAATACGTCAGTTGCATTAGTTGTGTGTTTGGGTGTAGAAATCATCCTTTTTTTGTTTTGGAAGGCATAAGTTATTTACAGATCATTGCCAATATTATAGATGGTGTGAAGGCTGAATACCTTGCTCCTTTATATATATTGGCGAGAACTGGACACTGCGAGTCTGGAGGCTTGAAGTGCTGTTGGCCTTATTTACGGATTTTTTTTTTTTTGGTTTGGCTGCTCTAATGCAAATATCATATGATATATACAACTTCGACAAAATACTACTTTAATTGCATGTCATCTGTTTCTTAAAGTGTTTAGGAAAGTGGAATCTACTAACTTTGCTGCTCAAATCAGATATGCATATTCCACTTTCTTCTCTAGTTATGGTGTTTGACTCTGGGAAGAATTCTGTCTCGTTAGTTATTTTGGGGATTTAACTATAAACTGGGTCTGAGCTGTCTGTACTGCTAACATAGGATATAAGGGTCATGGGAAAAGATAGAAAGATGTTTCTTGGTCCTCTAGTGGAAAGTATTAGGGATCAATCCTTCGCAAAAAAAAAAAAAAAAGGGGGAGGAAAATTCAGGTTGGAGAAGTACTAAGCAACAACCATTCTTAGATTAATTTGGTTAGTCACGAGTAAAAGGATAGAAATTATGTGTGGATGCATTGTTTCCTGTTCTATATAGAAATTTGGCTATTTGTTGCCGGGCAAGTAATTTGATGCTCAGTGTGGACTGCATATTATTTTCACCGTGGTTTACTCTATCCTTAGTGGTTACCATTTAGCTACGATGATTATTGTTGTCTTGTTCCAAAATTTTGTTTTTGGGAGGGGGGGCTGGTCGTGATGTGCATGGTGGAAGTGGTGGAGACATACAAGATGGATGGAGTTTGTATTATCTGTAATATCATGCTGAGACTCTCTGTCATATATTATGTTTTCTCATGCAGTATGTATTACATTTCTTTTGAATGGTGGAGAAATGAGATGGTTTTTCTTCTCTCCCAAGTTTTAAATATCTCTAAATGCAGAATAGCACAAGACATAAGCTTCAATTGCAGAAAATGGCATTTATTGTATATAAAGAAAAACTTGATATTAATACTATATTTCATTCAGAACATAAATATGACCTTTTGAATTTAATTTTATGAAGAAAATTGTCTTTTTATTTAATTGTACTACGAATTGTGGTTTGCGATTGAGTTTTCATTCCAAATGTATCGGATGTATTCTCGATTCTTGCTAGTAATGATTGTAAGTGCCAGTTTTCTGACATAATTAAGTTGTCCTTTCATCAGGTTTGGTGGGTTAGAATATTTTTATGGCACTGTTTATTCAAAATATTTGTTTGTTGCTGAACTATTGTGTAGTTTTATCATCTCAAGATCTGTCCTTCCTGGTCATTGTCTAATAATTGTGATGCCAAATTCCTGCAATGATCATTAATAACTTTCGAATTGTTGTCAGGTCCGTTGAGCTCTGGCAAACGGTCACTCCGGCATGTATTCTTCTACTCTGCCTCTCTTTCAATGGTACCCTGAGAGTGGTTTATTTAGGTATAGTTTGTATGCCTTGACCATACATTAATACAAAACATGGGGTTTGGCATCAATAAAGCATAGCTCCTCGAACTCTATTCAATTTGTTGCTTCTTTAATGTTATGTGCTCGTACTACAACCATATGCAACACTTTTGCACGAGGAAGCACTTCTATTACTCCTGAATTTTAGGATATTTTGCTTGTTTTATCCTAAGCATTATGTTTTTTTTTTGTCTTTGACTGCAACTAAAACAAAGCCCGGGATCTTAATCCCATGGACATATGAATAAAGAACTGAAGTTTCCCTTACCTTTAAATTTTCTTTCCATCACTCTGGTATAGAATGATCATTTGCATTCATGGTCTCTTGTATGTTTCCTTCCGGCTGCAGTTCTGTTTTTGACTCGGGCAACTTTATATCCTACAAACTGTATTCTTTCGGGGTTTAGGAACAGCTAGTTCATTTGGATCTGGATATGTGTTGCTCGTTCTTGAACCCGAATCGAGTTATGAGAAGCATTGATATGGGGGAAATTTGGTAGTTAACATCTAGGATATGTAGGAACTCTAGGATGACATAGTGCCTGCATAACCTTATAGATACTTCTCCCTCAATGCAAGATGCAGTTCATGATCGTTTTCGTTAATGAGCAAGGATCTTCTTCTTTATGTATAGTTCTTTATTTGGCTTCTTCCACCTTCATTTTCTCCCTTTTAGGAACCAATAGCATAGTTTTAACTAAGATTTCATGTGAAAATAGTATTTTTTTTAATTTAAAAATATAAAAATTCCTTGTTCATTGAAGTTTGTGGATTGAGTTAAAGAGCCGAGTTGCTGGAGCATAGGGTAAATTTTGAAGTAATTATAAATTCATGGGATAGATTTGTATAATTTGGAGTGGTGAAATTGAACTTATTTTTAACATACCATGTTACTTGTGTGTTTGATTTGCTAATTTCATAAACTAGGTAAATTTTAGTTATATCGACTCAGCCTTTTGAATCTTACCTCTTAAATTATATGCCTTTACAAATCACAAGCTCACTAACTATACAAATTTAGGGATTTGTAACCTTTTTTTTAATACAATTTGTGATGGGTTACACAAATGTAGGCTTCTCAATCCTAAATGATACAAATTAAGATTGATTAAATCTACGTTAAAGAGGAAATTTTGAAATGTATCCAACAGAGTTGAATTGTTGTCGTATTTCTTGATCGTTTGTGAAATATTATTGATCGAATTATTTATTTAAGAATAAGATTGATATTGCTAGCGAGGGATAAAAATATTATCTATACAACTCATTCATTGTTTGTAAAGATTGTGCCATGACTATACAAATTTGTCTAGGCTAAGACTATTCTATATGTGTTTATTTTTTGACAAATTTAATGCAATAAATTACAAGTTAACAAGATAAAAGAACCCAAATCTAATATAATCCAAAAACTTAAGTAAGTAGGAAAGCTTTAAATAACCCTATGTATATATAATTTGGTCCCTCATCTCACTTTGAAGTCTCTCTCCCTAAATTACTCTAAAGTTTCCTACACTATAATCTTCCATATGAAGGAGCTACACTTCTTAAAGGGAACCCTAATTAATTAAGCTTTTAATTCCCATGTTGACTTTAAGCAATAATATTATCAATGCAAGAAAATAATTCTCATTAGCAACTTGACACTTAATTTTCAATATTAAATAAACTTCATCATTATGTTAGAATTATTTGTCGTAGAAGTATATTTATTTTTAGCGAAGTAAAAGACACCTTCATGAAATGTCAAGTATTTTATCTTTTTTATTTTTCTTTCTCGTTTCAATAGCAAAAGCCATTGATGTGAACAACTCATTAACGGCTCAAATCTCTTCTTATCTTTGTTTGTCGCCGTCAAGGAAAAAAACCACTTTTCTTTTATGAGTGACATGTTTAACTTTTCATTTATTGTAGTGTTTTGGCAGAAAATGCCTTATATCTATGTATTAGTAATTTAGTTTATGAAACTCAAAACTCCATTGCTTCTCCCTTTTCTGCTAAAATGCTCTCTCTTTCTCTCTCTCCTCTGATATGGGATTGTTGAAGTCTTGAACCCCATCTGAATTCAAAGGAAAAGAGAGATCATTTGAAGAAATGGAGGCCAAAATTAGGAACAGGGCATCTTCAAGGCAAGAAGGGCCATGCCTAAGGGGCAACCCAAGAATTTTTAGAGTTTCAACTTTGTTTGGAGGGAAAGACAGGCACAGCAAAGTTTTCACAATAAAGGGGTTAAGAGACAGAAGAATTAGGCTTTCAACTCCCACTGCAATTCAACTTTATGATCTACAAAACAAACTTGGCCTCGGCCAACCCAGCAAAGTCATAGATTGGCTTATTGATGTCACAAGATTTGATATTGATAAGCTCCCACCTCTCCAAATTCCAAAAGATTTTGACCCAAATGCCTCTGTTCTTTATCAATCTTCAATGCTTCTTCCTCAGGTTTGCCATTTTGATGTTGCAGTGAAAGCCAGAAATGGAGGAACTGAGAGACTTTTGGCACAAAAGTTGTCTCCTTTGGTCAATCATGCTTCTTTATGTTCTCTTCAAAGCAATGCCATGGATGAAAGCTTTTGCCATTTTGAGCCTTCAAGCTTTCCATTCCCATCAATGGAGGCCAACCCAGACTCGTTTTCCTCCTCTGCTTCTGCTCAGTTGCTGTTCTGTCCATTGACAACGCCATCCGAAGTCTCTCCTAGCAGCTTGATGAAATTAAGAGTGAATTTGAGATGAGTTTTGAAGGGGTAAATCAAACTTTTAGCACGAAAAAGTAGGTAATTTAAAAGTGTTTAACAGAAAGGAAAGCATTTTTTTTCCAAAGTCATTTCAAGTATCTTGGGATGAATTCGAGTCATCAATCGCTTCAAACTCGGTCTCGAGCAGTAGAGTGCGGTCCTTTTGTTTTTTGTTTTAATTTTGTTTTGTTCGCTTCTTCATGCAGGTTTTTGTTGAAAAGTTGATGATGAATGTCTTATCCATTTGAATTATGTTTGAATTCACTTGTAACATTTTTTTTTATTTGCCATTATTTTATCTCGGAAATGTTTCGTCTCTTAATATATATGTAATGTAATAATATTATGTTTTTTAGTATAACATGTGGGATGAAGGATTAAACTCGATTTGAGATATATGCCAATTACCTGTTAGTTATGATTGCTTGCCTGTAATAATATTACATTAAATAGTCATCGAATGAAAATTTTATAACATAATAAAAATTAGCCACAATTTGTTCATTATATATATATATAGACCAAACATTGAATTAGACATGTATGACCAAAACCGTAGAAAATCTCTTTCCATTATATTATACAAAAACAATACTTACTTTTTTTTAAAAAATTAACTAATATTTTATGTCGACTTGAACATAAAAACATATATCTGCGGTGGAAAAGTAGCGGGTTTAAATTTCCACCCCACGTGTAATTTTAAAATAGAACATTTTATTAAACAACTCACTCATCAAATTGCCCTTAAGGCTACATGATCTGGCATGGGCATTCAAAGCAATCTCCAACTAATAAGGTAGATTTAAATGCCACCCTACTAACAAAATAATAATAATAATAATAAACAAAAATCATATTAATTTTATGGTAAAAATTATATTAACCTTTAAAAAACACATTATATTAACCATTCTYAATTGGTCAACTTAAGAATTGAAGTGAAAAAGAGACAAATATCAAATCTCACAAACTAACGCCAAGAAAAGGAAAAATAAGCATACAATGAATTTAAATTTATTTAATAAAACACAAAGAATAAAACTACATAATTTTCAAAAAAGGGTAAAATGAAATTAAAAATATTTGATTATAAAAAGATCTTTAATTTAAAGTGTGTATTAGATTTTAACAAATTTAAAACGAAACATACAGAGGGTTAATGGGCCCGGTTTAGGCCCAAGGTTATTTCTGGAGAAAGCGAGAAACTTGGGCCTATTTAGGCCCAAGATCTTGCAAGAGAAATTTACAAAAAAAACAACGGGCTTAAGATTACGTCGAGAAACTTGGGCCCTATTAGGCCCAAACCATCTCAGTGAAATTGGGGAAAAAAAAACCAGCCCCCGGCGAGGATCGAACTCGCGACCTTTCGCTTACGAAGCGAACGCACTACCACTATGCTACGGAGGCAATTGTTGATGATTTAAATCTATCCTATATGTAAACTATAAATAAAAAAAATTCTTTCCTCTGTCCCATCTCAAATCGTATAGAAGCTGCTGCAGTTGAACTTACTTGAAGTTTTTCTTCGCTAAAATATAAAAAATCTCTCAAATTATGTAGACAAGAAGGAAAAGGTACTTTGATTTGATTGGTTAAATAATGTTCTGAAATTATTATTGTCAGCAAATAACTTGTTATGTAAATCATTTTTCCCTCTAAACTCTCTTTGATTGTGAGTTGAATGAGTTTCCATAATCATTCACCATTCTGAAATCTTCTGCTCAGTGCTCATAGTTCATAGCCAACCTTCTCTCTGTCTGAGGTTTGAGTTTTTGTCATATGGTTTGAATATTTTAAGATGCTGTTCTTGACAATGAGATAGTTCATAGGAAGAAGAAGGGAGAGGTGGAGAAACAGTATCAGATGCATGCATATATTGATTCAGAACAAGAATATTCATGGTTTGAAAAAACTTTTGCACCATCTTTACAACACTTCTTAACAATTAGTCACAATGCTTCTCAGCATTATATATGTCATAAAAAGAAAAAAAAAATTGAAAGTTCCATCACTTTGAAAGGAAAAATCAGATAGAGGTGGAAAATGTTATAGAAGAAGAAACTATCAAGTAAACAACTGTCTTCGTCTGCCTGACTTGGCGCGTAAATGAGCAGCCTCAACGTATACAATTTCGTCAACTAAGTCTTTGAAGATCAATCTTTCAATGTCTAAGACGACGTTGGAGACGTCACCAAATAAATCTGTCCAACTCTCGGATCTTTGCATCACATCCTCCTTTAAGATGCTTTTCAAACCATCGTCCTGTTCTTCGAAGTTGCAATCGGGTTTTTTGGTTTGGAACTGTTCTATTTCGGAACATAACTCCTTTAGAAGCTTTTGGGCACTAAGAGTTTTAGTTGCTAGTTTCTTAGATGTCGTCCATGGCTCAGGCGATGCAGCAACAACAGACAACTTTCTAGCAAGAATCTCATTGACAACATCAAAAATGAGTTTGCGATGAGATTTCTCCTGGTTCAGTTTTGAATCTGCAACCTTCACAGAGCAGCTGTCATCCTTTCTTAGCAAACTGCTTGTTTTTGTTTGCTCCAAAACAAAGAATAACTCGGGGTTGATCGGATGACCGGAAGGGTGGAGTTGAAATGTTGCCAAGCCAGAGCCAAGGTCCCGAAGCAAGAGGCCAGATGCTAACAATATTTCAGATATGTATCTGTTATCTGGATCAGTATTCTCACATAATGATGCAATGTAATCTGTTTTTGCTTCATCATAATGAGAGTTCAGGCGCCTGAGCTTCTGAACCAAGTTGTCGATGTTTTGCAGTTTCTTGCGGTTGATTTCTGCAGTAAGACTGGGCTCCACACTGTTGGATAAGATGCCATCCTTGGAGCTCCATTGGTATTCACCACAATCTCCAGAGCCCAAATTCCTACTACCTGAAATGTAAGCATCAAACAATATTAGAATTGTTTAACTTCTTGTGTCATATCCCACTTTTCACATCTATTCTTCAACTTTAGAGGAATATGTCATTGGAAAACTGGGATGGTGGTACAGTGGCAAAATTGTTAAATATTCAAATTGATTTATAAAAGATTGTCGCTATTAGTGATAGGTTTTATCACCTTTGAGGGCTTTTGATATCTGCTTAACAGGAGATGATTCCTCATCTCTATATAAAGAGGCATCAAGAATGGAGACTGGACTAGGATGTTCAGGGGCAGGAGTTGCAAGTTCTGCCTGCAAGCCATAAAAATCAAACCTCAATTGGAGTTCTGAAACAATCTAATATATGTATAAATTAGACGCTGTAAATGCAGGGGAATAAAAAATTTGAAAATCACCTACATTTTCCATTGAATGAGAATCTGAGTACTTTGAAGCCTTCATTTGTAAAATCTGGCTACCATTAATTGCAGGAAGTTCGCTGCTGGTGACTTCTATATCCGTCTTTGAGTCCAAGGATAAATTACTGTCAGAGAGTTGGGATATGTCATCACCCTGGTTGCTCAAAGTTCTTGATTCATTACTTATCTCACTCGATTGGTCATCAATTTGGGACACAATGGAGGATTTCATTCTTGGTTTTCCAACAGGAGAACCTGAATCTGTTCCTTGTCTGGATTTCCTTCTGGTTTTGTTCGGGTCGGATGGAGGAGTAGGTGGTCGAGATCGTCTGTCCTGCTCAGCCTTCTTATGTTGCAGTCTTGGGCTCACAGAACCTGAGGTTTTTATTGAACTTCCGGTGTTCTCCTTTGGCAAATGTTGATGCTTTGAAGAAGAATGCGTTGGTCTTACATTTTTTTCATTCTCTTTCTTTTTGGTGGAACTAACACCAGAGTCCCCGTGACTATTTTCAGGAGATATATCTTTAACTGCTCGGCTACCACCGGAGTTCTTTTTACCATGTGGGGATTTATGAATCTTGGGGAGACCAGGAAGGCCATCGATTTGAATAACTGAGGAAGCTGGGATTCCAGATTTTTCTATAAGTTTTGCCGGTTTCATGATCACAATTGGAGATTCCCCACACCTGGAAGAATCAGGCCTGCTAGTTGTTGCAGCCTTTTGGTTCTTTTGCCGACTTCGATCACTGATCAACCTAGAATTAACACTAGCACTCTCCCGTTTTGGTTCATTGTCTCTTTGACTTCCATTGTTAGAAGCTTCCTCTTCCTTCCTAGTATCCAAAACCCCCTTTGATTGCATAGCCTCAAGGATCTGTTTTAGAGCTCTAAGATCTTTCCCTGATTGTTTGAACTCTAAGTCTTCCAATCGTTTTTCAATTTCGCTATAAACAGAAGGAAAGGAGTTAGATGATCCAGCTAACCCTTTGGCATGCTTCAGAGCAGGTTTATGAAAAGCTCGGCTTCCATCTGGCTGTCTCCACGGTGCAATTTCTACAGGAAACTTTGAATTTGGGATAGGTTTCATAACTAAATCAGAATTCTTCCATCGTGGTGAAGTTGGGCCTTTCAATGTGTTCCGGGGAGAGTCAGAAGTTCTGATTGGCCTGATAGAACTTGTGCCCTCCAATGAGCTAACAAAAGGGTCACCTCTAACCAGAGTATCACTAGCCAAGGGTGAACCTGGAAGTGCTTCTAATCCCATTAACTTCGCCACAACGCTCGGGGGATGCTTTCGAGATCCTGATGGTTGTTGTGGATCAGTAGATTTTTCACTTGAGCAATCGCTTCCGTGCAAGTTCTTTGAAAGTCTAGTTGGATTTGACACAGATTTGGAACCTTGGTTTGAACTCTCCCTGCTGTCCAATGAGAGTCTTGGGAAGTCTTTAAATTTTGGAGCTGACCGAATGGTATCTCGTGATTCAAAGGATAATAGATCAACCTCTCTTCCATCATAAGAAAATCGAGGAGCATCTCTAGAGAATGGTTGCAAAAATCTATCTTTTACTTCGTGAGACGGTCTTTCATGTTCTTCAACTTCATTGTAGTACCATGGTGCATCTCGAAGTTTAGCAAGAACTAGAAGAGACTCCTTCAGATCAATAGGCATCTTTTGTTTCCAATTTGTATCAACTTTAGAAGCCCCATCAGTTGATTGGGGTCGCTGCAAAGGTCTTGGAGAGTCTCTATGCTTCATAGAACGACTCGATGCTTCCTCATTGGCAGATGTTTTGACCGATAACGTTCTAGCTTCCCTATACATAGAATCCTTCACGACATCTCGAAGATCAAGGTGTTGCCTCCCTACACGCGGAGAGGTATTTGACGGGTTTGCTGCAGATTCCCTCGAGGGTGTTCTAGATAGAAGTATTTGATCAAAGGAGGAAGCTTGCGATTGAGCTGTTCTGTTGTACTCGCTAGAGGACAGGGAAGATGAACAAGAGGAGAAAGAGGCTCTTGACAATTCTTTATTGAACCTTTGTCTCTCATTGAAACTCTCATTTGGAGACAGGTCCTGCAAGAACAAGATTCAAGATTTAGATCCAGAAAGAACTCAAAATTGCTTGCTGTGATTAGTTCAAATGCTTAATCATATTTACAATTTTGTAAACCACTCAGCTTAGAAATGGTAGAGAGTAATTAGAAGGCTTACGACTGGCGATTCTCTCTGAATGATATTGTACTCTTTTCCTGGGTTGCCAATATTCAGATGAGAAGTGCCTGCATTGGACATGATTGAATATGAGTATACAGCCCAGCATTGATGATGCACCCAGCAATGAAGAAAAATTAGGCAGATTTGAAACTAAATTGGCATGCTATCAATGGGGCATACCACTGGATTTCTAAGTAGTAACCATGAACTTGTTGGATGATTATGGAACTCATTCAGAGTAGATCAAACAGAACTCATCTATCCGAAGTTTGAAAATATAAGCTTATGGGATCATCATTAGACACTTGAAACCAGACTAGACTACTTATGACTAGAGATCGTGGACCACAGAATGTCGTGCCCCGAAATTTACGATTTTAAAGAAATTGAAGGCTTTAAGCAATATTTTAATCCAGAGCGTGAATAACAGTGAAGGTGACAGATTAAGCAACAAAAGAGAGAGCAAAAATCCAAAAGTTCAATTCACTTCCTTCATCCCCATAATAAAATAAAGCAAAACAACCCTCAAGATATATACAGAAAAAAGTGGCGTCTTCAATTCTCAGAAAAAATATGCATTGGAACAAGATGCATCAAAGTGATCAAAACATCAAAAACTATTGTTCTTAGGATGCTTGAAATTTCTGTGCCAAACAGACAACAAATCAAAGCAAATCGAGATAGCGGAATACCAGGAGGAAGCCGCTTGGGCCTCATATGTCTTCCACTGAGTATATGCTGACGATCAAACAGCTGAAAAATCCCATTCATGCATCCAATTTGCTTCTGCAGATCTGGATTTTCATCAGCTAAAGAATGCAGAAGCTTTGCAGCCATTTTCAGGTTCTTCTCTTCTAAAACAAACTATGCCCCTTCCCTTAGCTCAATCATAGATAGAACCAAATACCAAAGAAACCCAAATCTAAGGCTATTCAACAATATAATGACTAGTTCAATGGATATTCAAAGCAGCTCCTTAAACCCAAAAAGAACCCCATCTCAAAAACCTTGTTTTTCTTTAATTTCAAGAAAAACAAAAACCTTTCTTCACAAGGAATCGAATCTCGCTCCCCATTTGCTATTGAGTTCTATGCAGTTCAAAAAACTAAAAGAGGAGGATAAAGAACTTCCAAGCCCATGCCCTTTCATCAGCATCTCCAAAGAGATTCTCCACTGAAATAAAATTGCTTCTTGGGTTGTATGTAAAAGACTGTAATTTTCAGATTTGCAGCTAATTCCAGCTCCAGAAACACTGCAATTTATGGCTTGACCACCATTGAGATCACAATGTAAGATCCCAATCCCAAAAAAATTTCCACCCAAATCCAAAAATGCCCTTCTGGGTTCCCCACCGATTGCCTGAATCTCGATTCCTTTCAGCAATGAAGAAGAAACTACCAAAAGAGCGAACCAATGAGTCAACGACGAATGGCTATGAGTACAAAATGCAGAGTCGCCCAAAATGGCGAGGGAGGAAACAGAAACAGAAACAGAGAGCTAAAACCTGTGCAGATTGGCGAACAAATGTCAAAGATTTATCTTCCAAGAACAAATGTAGGTACTTTGGCTGTAACTTGTAACCTGGAAAATTGAGCTGAAACAAACCCAATTGGAGCTGGCAAGAAAAGGGCTTCTTCCTTTTTTCTTTTTTCTTTTGTTTTTTCAGAGGAAGAGAGAGAGAGAGAGAGAGAGAGAGAGAGAGAGAATGTGGGTCAGATGGTTCCTCACCTCCCAATCTCACAAATCCAAGTGGAATGGCATACTGGGGTGGGTCTAGAGCTGTCTACATGTGCATGTGAACTTGTCAGTACCCTCCAAACGGGGGGGGGGTGATTTTTACTAGAGAGCAAAAGGAAAGAAAAACCTCCATTAGAGAGCAAAAATAAGAACTCTGTTGAATTAAATCCTCTTGACTTTGTCCAACTCTCCCTTTCAAGTTTTCAAGTAGGCTACTACCCTGAAATGCCCGCAGCTGATGATACTCTTAAAATCCAGATGACTTTAATCTCAGCCTTATCACTTGCTAATAAATTTGAGATTTATGAGTCTCTTTGGTTAACTCCACAAAAGTCAAAAACTAGCTTAAATTCTATCACATAGTCTACTACTATTTTCTTTTGTTTGGTTTTAAAATTTGGTCAAGGGTTTGAGATTTTTTTTATTTACAAAAACTAAATAACAAAACGAATTAAAACACGTAGATGGAAGTAATGTTTGTGAGCTTGATTTTTTAAAAAAGATAAAAGAAAATAGAATGATTTTCAAGACCATATATTATTGACGAGACGAGAGAATGAATCATTAACTTTTAAGAAGGTAATATATGTTTTATTTATAAAGCTGTGCTGATTGTGAATATCAACATGATAAGGTAAAATTAGCCTATGCCTATGTATTTACTTTTTTCTTTTTTTTTCTTTTTCTCTCTCTCTTTTTCCTTTCTTAATCTGACAAGTTGCCTAGATTTTAATTGTTATAATAAAGGGGATCATTAGGTGGAATTAAGAATGAGGGAGTAGTTCAATGATTGTAGAAATGATTTATTCCGACTAAGCCAATGTAAAGTATATTCAATTGGATGATAAAAACTCCCCTGCATGATAAATAAATATTAAAAATAAGAAGTTTTTTTTTGAATTAATGTACATAATGGGAGAAAAACTATGTTTAAACTTAATTTCTTGCTTTTTGATATGAATTTCTATATACTTATAACTTTATGTATAATAATAATAATTAATAAATAAATAAATAAATAAATGTCAACACTTTAAGAAGGGCAACCAATGGAGATCTTCCTCTTAAATATTATTAATTATTTATAGAATTAAATAATATTTAGACAACTTTTGATAGTTTAATATAAAAAAAAGAAAAAGAAAATACAAATTGGCAGGGCATCATGACATGGGTGCCATAATCTCCTCACAACCTGCTAAAGTCTCTTGGTCGTTGTCAAATCATTCATTTTATTTCTTTGGAGATATTGTCCGCTTTGGTATAGTCCTCACGATTTTACTTTTTGTTTCACCTAAAAGATGTTATACCAATGAAGATAATTGTTCTCTCTTATATACCATAGATCATCACGTTCTTTCTTAGCAGACTTTGTTTGTATTACCCTTACAAACCGAATATAGATATATATATACTTTTCGTCGTGGCCCGTGGAGATCTCCGTTTGAGTCCTCTCACGTATAATTTTTTTTCCTATGACCTAAACGGGGATGATAACATGAAAATTCCTTATCCCTACCCCATTTTTAATTATCTTTTTAATTTATCATATATACCTATAACGTCCTAAATCTAAATATTTATATGTCAAATTTTATGAGATATTTATGTGAAGTAATTTCGTTCCTGCCCCCTCTCAATAACACTCCTACGTGTATACAATAATAATGAAGCATAAGCATTGATATAAAGACTTTCCTAATCATCCCCAAAGTAGCTAGATATATTACTGGCTAATTTCCAAGTATGCTTTTCCCTAAGCACACAAATAATTTTCCACTATTTTGCATTACCATTTTTTTTTCCAATTTTTATTGTTAAATGTTTTTTTCCTCTCCAACTTGATATATATATTATGACGTGGAACAACTTATATACATAACACACACAAAAAGAAAAAAAAAACAATATATAAGTTTTCTTTTTCCGAAAGGAAAACAACATATAAGTTAACTGTAACTTTTTTCCCTCTTTACTTTTAAGTTAAAAAACATATAAGGTTGGAGATTTAAACCTTCAATCTTTTGGTCTATGACATATTCTTAAGTATTACTTGAACTATGTTTAGTTTGACAACAATAACATTAAATTAACTTGACACCAAAACGTTGAAAGTTATGTTATTCGGTAGGAGTTAGAATCATAATTTGAGGATGCCATACATATGATTTTCATAAAACATTATTTGTTTGGTACTAAAAGATTGTGTGTGGAAATTACAATAATGCAAATGAAAACAGACACAAAAATGTGCAAGCTAGCTAGACAAACACTGATATTTCTATTGATGTTTCAAATTAGGGCAAAATGAAATGGATGAAAGTGATATATATAGAGAGAGAGAAGGTAGAGAGGGAAAATGCAAACCCCACATGAGATACCAAAAGAAAGAAGATGAAGAAGGCTGCATGGGCATGTGGGATGCCTTAGAAAGATTAGGGCAACTCACCAACTAACCAATCAAAATATGATTTGGCCTAACCCCATGTTCTATGGAACAAGTGCACTATATTACTATTTTTTATTTATTTATGTTTTATTTTTATATCTGCAAGTGTCCAAGTCAGTTTATCCACATTTAGATTAATGGACAACCGCTTGACCCTATTAATATTTGATTGTCAAAGAAACACGTAGGAGATTACTTCCTAAGTTGGTTGTCGTTAGGGATGGTAACGAGGCGGGGAATCCCTGATTAGAGATGGGGTCCCCGTGGAGAACCTGTCCCTGACCGTATATTTTTTTAAAGATTTATTAATATTTTATTGGACTTGAGGTTGAGCTTCTTTCCAAACAAATTATAAAAGTAGTATAAAGATTAATAAAGATTAATATTATTAATTTATTTTATATAAAAATATAAATACTAATAAAATATTAAATGGGGCAGGGTTAGGGACGAGGCGGAGACCTCCCTCGTCCCCTCCAAGAACCCGATTGGTATCCCCGATCAAACTGAGGAATCCCGACCCGATCGAGTCGGGTACTCACGAGAATTGACCCAATGATATTTTTATCATCCCTAATTATCATTCTGGGTTACGTTGAATCCATTCCTTTTAAATATTTTTTATTTACTTGGGTCCTTTGGACCAAAATGCATTATATTTACTCATTGCATTGCTGCATTAATTTCCTTCACTTTTTCAAGCCTCTCTCTCAAATCATCAACCAATAATATTTTATCATCTTCAACATCATTTGCTTCATACCCCTCTCAATGAGTGGAGGAATTATGTTCCCAACAAGGGTGGGGTATTTTAATACCCTACTACACAACTACTACCAACTTTAATTAATTTTATCAATAATTCCATCTTCATGATATCAGAGAGAGAGAGAGATAGAATTCTAAATTATGCGTATTGTTGCAATTTAGAGAACAATTGGAGCTGATCTCTCTCTCACAAAACTATATAAAGTACCCTAAATTGAACAATAATTCCCATGGAAAATATCACTTTTTTTTAGTATATATTGTAGAAAATAAAAGGGTTTTAATCATTTTTATGTATAATAGAACATGTATTACAATCCAAAATGTTTTTGTAAATTAGAAATGATTAGTAAAGGCTCTCTCACTTTATAATGGTCATGTAAAAGAATGATTGATGAAAAAATGGTGCATGATAATAATTTCAATTGAGTCACTAACATGTAAAAATTGAAATTATTAAAGGAAAGCACATACTTCATGGACTTTATGGTCATTTTGAATTTGGAAATGAAAAGAAATTTAATTATCAACAAAACTATGATCCATGGCATTGGGAAAGGCATATCTTTAAAGGGATAAGAAATGGGAAGCTTGGAACCACTCCCTTTAATTTCTCCCATAAATTCTATTCTTTAGACAAAAGTTTAACAGAGAATAGTGTCCAAATTAAAAGGTCCCCTCCCTCTTCTGTCGTTGACTATAAAGAGGAGTTCATATCAAACTTTTCCTACATTAAATTTCAACATTGTATTAATTTGGGTCACTCTGAATTTCCATATACTGAAAAAAAAACCTTTAAATTATTCCACTTGACAAATAGTCGGTTATCGAGATAAAATGAATATCTTTTAATCAATTAACCTTTATCACATGTCGTCGCTAAAACTGTAAATTCTTGTAGTGCCTTCTCTTAAAATTATATTGGGTTGGTAGGAAATATTTTTAATGATTGATGAACATAATTGAAGGTTGAAATTGGGCAAGAGACTTGAGTTGGCATGGAGGATATGGTGCAGTTGGTTTGCCAGACCATCTGAATTCAACAGCATATTTTGCTGCACATGATCATCAACTATAAAGCATATACTTTGTATCACTGTTTCTTGCAACAAAATAATTAGGCTTTCAAATAATTTAGTTATATAGGAGAATTAACTCTTTTAATTTATATCAGCAAAATTAATAAAACAATAATCAATAGGGTTAACTTGACTAACTTAAATATTGCTCAATGTTGAATTTATTACTGTCATCTTTTATACAGGCTAGTAAGTTTCAACCCCCCATCTTCATTATTTGTAAAAAATAAAAATTGGGTTAATTGGATTTTTCCCCAAAAACTATTAAAAAAAAGTTTTTTGAAGGGTTTTTTAGGCAAAAAATTGAAAAAACTAAATGGGTAGGGTGGGTTGGTGCATGCCCCAATTGAAGAGATGAGTTAGCCTTTGCTTAAAGTTTAAGGTTCCTATGGGGTTGGATTGGAAGAGGGAAAAAACTGCTCCCAACTGTAAATATATAATGTCAACTACCTACAACGTTAATCTTTTGGTCTAAATATTATTTTCATTTTTGCTTTAGTATTTTTACTTTCAACGTTCATTTGGTTCGTTCATTTTGGTTCATGTACGAATATTTCGAAAGTACGAGGACTAAAATGAATAAAAGTTATGAATGAGAATCCAAATGAACTTTTTGAAAGAACTTAAACAAAGTACAAATATATTTAAATTTATGTTATATTATACAAAAGGAAATATGCCCATTTCACGAAGGAAAAGAAAAAGAAAAAAAGAAGTGAAAGATTCTTCTTTATTTTTCTTAGAACAACAAATTAGAGGTAGAGAGTTTGAACCTCCGACTTCAAGTGAAAAATTAGATATCAATCACCGTTGAATAGAAAAAAAGCAAAAAGAGTTTTCAAATCAGACATAAATGATATTTGGAGCATTGAAGTAGTTTGGTGAATTGGCGGTTACAAACAAACTCCAATAACTAAATACCTGCCTCCTTGCTTTTATTTCTTATTTATTATTATAATTACATGACATGACTTATTTTTCTTCTTGTCTAACATTTATAATTTTAGATATTGTTTGGAGTTTTTTAACTTTTTTATTTTTTTATTCTCTCAATTCTTTGACATGCTCTAACACCCAAACAATTTTTTCAATTTTGATGTGAGTGATGGATGTATATAATATGTTCGTAGTATATTTTTAAGTCATGAGACACTAATATGTTAATCTGATAATTTTTTAACCAGATTTTAATATGGAACCAATTATAAAATTTATTAAAACTTAAAGAAACTAAAATAGAATTCTTTAAACTTCAAGAATCAAATTAGAAACAAAGATGAACTACATAATCAAAATAATATCATTCTTTTTTTACATCATAGTGATCTAAGAAATACCCCATGACCCTGCGAAATAAATTTTACTAAAAAAAGGTAAAAGTAATTATTATAAAAATAGTGATTGTGTAAATAAATAATGCTAAATGACAAATTGTGTCTAATTTTAATAATCAATTACAAATCATGAAATCACTTATTTTATAACTATTATCAATATTATTGTATTATCTTTACCGTATTGATTGATCATGAAACAATAAATAATAGACCATTATTGAAATAATACACCATGATAGAGACCCATGAGTTGACTATAAAATTAACCACACTATATTTCATTCATGTTTTTGTTTTAAACTAAGGAAAATTATGAATCAAGAGAAACTAAGGTTAAGAAATTCATCGTTTATGCACCAAAAACCCTTCAACAGCATATATACCAAAAGGCTACAATGCCCTCTCAAGTTTACCTATCAGTTCCATTTGAAAGAATTGGTATCGTCCCGATCGTTTTGGCGCTCGACAAAATATATGATTCGTCGATAAAACTTCCAAGACAGGTTCTTTTCTGTAATGGGACGTTGACCAAAAGGATTCTGTTCGACATATTTTTGAACGTTTTCTGCCACTGATAAGCCTTCCAAATAAACTCGAAGATCGCCTCCAGGTCCTGGTATGAACCATTGATGGTAAGAAATTATTGGAAGTAATGTAATTTAACAAAATGGTTAGAAAAATACTTTTAGTCTCTATATTTTCAGCTGAAATAGTGAAAGTATAATGATTTAACTTATAGTATATAATGATTTAATCTCTTTAATTTAAAATTTCTAACAATTTAGGCCCTACCCGGTAAAATTTATCAAGGTATAGCAAACTTTCTAATACATTTAGATCAATAAACCGCTTAGGAATTAAATAGGTCCATAAAACTATAGGAACTAAATCATCACGTAAATTGACACTTCACCTTGACAGGATTTTACATGGTAGAGACAAACTGTTACGAATTCTAAACTAGGGACTAAATCATTACTATAGTATAAGAACGAAATCGTTACAGATGTAAAAGTATGACCAAATTATTACATATTAAAAATTTAAGGACGAAATCGTTGCTAAAAGTATTGGAACAAAGTGTTTTTTAACCTTTAACAAAAATATACTGATAAAGAATTGGGCAGCAGTAGTAAAAAGAATGAGAAATGGAAATATATTCCATCATTTCAAAGGAACTGTCAGAATTGAATTTTGTGTCAGAAGATGACATGCTAGAAATTCAAGGTCAAGACATGCACTATGGATGGAAGAGCATGAACATAGCATTATCATGTCAAGAGCATTGTGATATTTTATAACTGGAAGAGCATTTACCTAACGATGTATCGGCAACATCCCTAAACCGATACGTTACAGGAAATATTGCAGTGTTTGCCTACACGATAACAAGCACCCGAAAAAAAATGAAAAATGCCTGTTAGCAATAGCAGTAGAATGGAGTGCATAGAAGGGGATAGTACACAGCCTCATTCAGAAAAGGAAACAAGAAAACAAAGATATGAGAGGAGAGATGAGACATCTAACCGGATTGCACAATGCCTTGTGTGGAGAATCATCCAACAATAGAGTGTTTGATGCATTAAACTCTCGTGGCTTAAGGTATTTCCACAGCTTTTTAATTTCCTTCAAAACTAGAGGCTTGTGCATGTTCTCAACGGTAGAGAATGTGGTATCGGTACAATGTGATTGATCCTGTACAGAGCAGTGTCAGATGGCCAAAAAAAAAAAACCTGCTACCAATGATTTTACAGAAGACATTACTTTTAGATGAGTGCACACTCATAAAATGACTTGACATTTGAAAAATGTGTATGGATGAGGGAACTGAATGATCGAACTTTTCCCAAAACCTGCATGACCCTCTTAGGTCTTAATCAATAATTATGGTAGATAAATAAATAACTAGTTCAGGGAACAGTTCTAGTAAATTCTTTTTCATGCCAAAGAAATGGTCCCCTTGTTTTTATATTGAAAAGAGCTGTCAGGGGCCTTGGCACACACTTCACAGAGGTTTCCTTGTCTCACTCTATATGAGGTGCCTCTCTTGCATCCATGCCTATGCGCACTTTTTAAATCCATGAAAATACTCTAAGAGTCTAAGGGAATCATTTTATCGGAGGCTAATCTAACCGATAAGATAGAAAAGAAAGGGTCTGGGCAGGTTTGTAGAAGAAGAAACGACTCTTAACCTTTTTAGAAGCACCACAGGTTTCACAACTTTCAGCATTAGCCCAGTGTCAGACCTTCATATGAGACAATTGTGAATCAATGTACAATCATAAGCCATATGATAACCAATTTCAAACACATTATTTCCACTTCACATTTCAAGAATTACGATGAGAAATATTATATGATTGAATCAAAATCCACCCTCCCCCCAAGGAAATATATTTATATATATTTTTGCAGAATGAAATCGCCAAGCATTACTTGGATATGTCATATGATATATGATACTGAAAGTGGAAAAACAAGTAAAATAAAAATAGAATAATAGCCTTACCCAGCAAAAGAGTAATTTTTGTTTTAAGTCTCCCATTAGAAAATCTATCACCATGTCAACATTTCTCCTGCAAATTAGCATAGTGCTACACATTCAGGACAAAAGCATGTGAAAGAGTAGGCTACCTCAATGAAACGACAAAATGAAACATACAGAGCACAAAATTATTTACAATTCATAATCAGACAATGCAGAAAAGGTAAAGTGTAAAGGCATATGAAGTTGTTAATTGAACATTACCGGGTTCTTGATGACCAAACACCCACCTCGAATCTTTCAAAACAAAACTTTATAAAATCATCACAAAATGGCCTCTTGAATACTGTCAGAGAAGAACAAGCCAATTCACTATTGATCTTTTAGGAAAAGTGAAAAATAAAGATACGTAATTGTCAATTGTCACCTGCTTTTTGTCCTATTATTATATCTGGCTTATACCCATAAGGAACGTAACAAATGAAATCTGCAAGCAGTCCATTTACATCAAGAACAAGAAGCTTTTTCCTTGAAGAACCAATAGAATCTCCTTTCTCTGAAGTATCCAATACCAACAATGGAGCGTTCTCTTCAATAATAGCATCCATACTGATGCTTGTTTCACCAGAAGCTGAGAAACATACAACTTCTTCTTCTTCCTTCACAGTATCAGCATTTTCTTCTTCAGGAGGCATGCAGGAAGGAGTTGATATAATCTGCTCCTTGCTTGTTGAAGTTTCATCATCATTCTCCTCCCCAACTGTACAGCAAACAGAAGCTTCCTCCATGGCATCTTTCACAAACTTCTCTGAGACATTATTACCACATGCACCATTTATCTGTTCTATATCTGAAGTTTTCAATGAATCATCCCTCTCATATTCCTGCTCGTTACATGGAAAATGATAATCAGAGTCGGAGGCTTTCTCTGTAGAATGATGAATTATACATGCATCCTTTGTCCCATCTATCATTTCCTTGGTCAGTTCTTGGGGAACAATGGCTACGTTTCCATGATCATCGTGATCTCTCCTAGAACTTGGATCTTCAGAGACCCTAGAGTCTTCTTTGTAAGCATTCATGGAACTCGGCTCTTCCATTTCAATACTATATCTAGCAACATTTTGTTTTACATCTACTGTATTCAGGATAAGACTCGCAGAACCATTTATATTTTCATGCTCTGTATCCATATCCTTTGAAAATTCATGGTCATCGTTATGCTCCTTTCCATGAACATTTCCTTCCGGATTACATATCACTGGATGAGATTGTCCTGTTTCAGATTCCAACTTTGAGCATATAATGATCGTGGCATCTGGAGCTGGATCATTTTCAGACAGGATATTATCCATTGAAGACGCATTTTCAGAACCAGAACAAACACTGCCCACATTGTTAACTTCAGGAGCAGTATCAAACTGTTCTTGCTTTCTCTTTTTCGTTTTGTGCTCCAAGTCTCGACTTGTATCAGACTCTGAAATATCCATGACCAATATTTCCAGATATTTTGCAAAATCACGTGCAATATCCTCTAAAATGCAAAATGGTAAGTTCTCTAAGAACTCTTAAAGTATTCCCTCGCAGGAATCTTCTCCTACCTGATACATATATAAAATATACAGTCATCAAAATCAAAATATCTCCTTTCAAGGCCTAACAGAAGATATTAATTATTGAGAAGAAATGGAGCCTAACTTCTCTGGACCTTTCTTCCTTTCCTAGCTTAGTTCAGACCTAGAATAGGGTTGTTAAAAGTAAAAAGTTCAAAGCACAGAAGCTTGCCTAAGATTTTATTCCTTTTGCTTCAGAACTATAATAATTAGGCATATACCAAAAATGGAAAGAAAGGAAAAGATCGAGGTGCTGCTTCTAAACTTTCACGGAAAAAAGCAGGACAAAGTTAATCTTGAGGTTCCTGACAAGCACAATTGCAGTTTTTTCCTTTCTAAAACTTAAAACTATACCAATTCATAAAGACCCGCTTCCTTATTGACATGAAACAACATAATTCCTCACTGTTCAGTAAAAAAACAGAGTGCCAATAAGCTCCGAAGCGAGATGCACAAAATGGGCATAGCCAAACAGATTGAGAACAAATTGAAGTCAAAATCAACAACAGTAACAACTAAACGAGCAAAACTCAGATAAGCTAACAGGCAGAGGAAAGATAGTCTACATCTCAACTGCAACTACAGCAGCACAAGTCAAACCCATATCAAACAAGAAACCCAGTTGAATTCCCATCAAAACCTGACCCAGCAGTAAAAACTCAGCATGAAGATTAGGTAAAAACGAGAGAAAAAGATAAAGACTCAACGGATCGAACATGAGATCGATCGAAGAGGCAGATGGAACACGCAGTAATTGGCAGGATAGAAAAGAAAACCGTGGCATTGAATGTCGTCTGATGGCAGCTCAAAATCTCTCTTATTTTGATGGATGTAGCGCCGTCGTTCTTCTCTGGGGCAGCCCATTTGCGTATCGGCGGCTCACTGAGCATCAATCCTCTCCTCTGATTTTTCATTATCAAATTTAAATAAATTATATACTTCTCATTCTCATTCTCATTCTCCACATTTATAATATTATTATTCAAAAGAGGTCCTAGGGTTTTCACTTCAACTGATAAAGTCTAATTATTTTAAATTATATATAGTTTCACTCTCATTAAATTTTAAATATGGTTACTTTCCCATTTATTAGAGAATGATAAAAAGGAGAAGAAACAACAAACATGAATATAAATAAAAAACGAAATATAAACACAAATTAAAAATGACACAATAATTTCAAACTTTATACTATTTTTGAAAAATAATATTAGTCAACTTTACAACAACGGCTCAATATAGTATATTTATTTATTTTTAAATTTTATATTACAAGATAAAAAAGAGATTCAAACTTATTGAAAATTACTAAAAAAATATTACTATCTTTGTGCCATAATTTCATCCAAATTTGGGATGAATTTATTATTTCATTGAAAAAAAGTTTTCAAATATAATTGAAAATATTGCCTTGTTATCTTAGTAATTATAGTTTTATAGCATATCAAATCCCATCTCATCAATTTGTATAATTCATATTAAATACTTTTAAATTCATCTCATGATTTAAAAAAAAAAAAGAGAAAAAAAAAGATGTCAAATCAACCCTCCCCGGCTTATCCAGGCCAACGTTTAATTCCAGTCGTGAACGAGCTTCTCATTGTTTCCAAACAGATTCTAAAGATGATCTCCCTATTTCATTTGCATTTTTAATCCATTACAAAACTAAAATAAATAAATAAATAAAAAATAAACATTGAGTAGAAATTTAATCAAAAGGTTAAAAAAAAGGCTCCAATGGATTGGCATTAGGCAGTGACATATATTACCTAAATCAGAAATTATATAAAAAAATCATATAAAAACCAATTAAACCTGGAGAAACCATTCAGCTTCTATACATTAAAAAGAAAATGCAGAATGAGGGAGGGACTGTGAAAGAAGTTGATGATGGGCATTGCTGCATTGAATCTGGATTGCGAGTACGAAAATTCTTCCGCTATTCAGAAACGTCCGCGGCGAACCCGAGCCCAGGCTATGGCTGCAACTGCAGCACCCCCCAGGTGGGCAGATCCTGAGATTTGGCTATCATTCTGCACAGATCAAACATGTTTCATATATTTGTCTGAGACTTATTTCCATGGATGGAAAAGATTAGTTATTAACTTAAAACAACATCATACCTCTAGTATCCTCAACATGTCCTTCCCAATGAGAAAAATTCCCTGTAATGGAAGCAAAGGAGGACTATTTCAAGCTATTTCATGGTGAACTGTGAGTAGTTGTCCTATTTAGAGTGGAGCTTACCAGTAAGATGGCAGGAACGGGTATAAAGAATTCGAGATAGAGGGTCGACTTTGGGAAGAGGAATATATCAAGCAGCATGATAGCATTCACGGCTCCGCTCGCACCCTAAGTGATCAAGAAAAATGTAGCAATGATGGTTCAAGTTCTAACAAATATTCTGATGCTTGAAAGTCAATGGTGATCGGTACAATGTAATGTTGAAGGAACAAAGCATATGGTGGCAAAAACAATTTACACAGCATATGGTGTATGAATATTTCAGAAAAACAAATTTCGAGTGGGAACGGGTTCGTTAATGCGAATATCTGGAGTCTTCAGTCTACTTCTACAGTTGAAAAAGTAACAAACTAAGTAGAGAACTAGAAGGATTTCTGGAAGCATACCAATCCTTGTGCCCGAATCGGGTCCTTGCCCCAAAATGGCCGGTCCTGTAGAAAGCAGAAAATATACAATGCCATCTAAGATTCAGTTTGTAAAACAGTTGGCAAATAGCCCGTGTTAATATAACAAGAAAAGTTCTGTCGAGATGGTTTGTTCCATTGACAGCTGAACTTCTCCTCTACCATTATGAACGCACAATTGGAATCAGAGTTTTCTTAACTACGTGAAATATACCAAATGAAGTCTTGTTTCTAGTTTGATTCATCTGCATAATACACGTCTAAATTAAAATTCTTATGTTACCTTTACATCTTATAGACACAGTTACATCTCTGCGACCAAAGTTCTGCAAGAGTCCTTGAAATTTAAATGAAAGAATTGAGCCCATACATAGTAATTTGACGGAATTTTCATACCTTTGAGGACGATGCTTGAAACAGATGGTGCACCAAGTAAAATGCCGACCCACCAATTGCTCCAGCAAGATACAATCTCAACAAAAATTCGGAACCAAATACTCTACCAATCTGTTAAAAAGGGGAAAATATAAAAGCTCACACAGCATAGATCAAGTATCATTTCTAGAAAGGCTGAGGAAAGTGTCAGATGTAACACTAAAGTGTTACTATTATGTTCTGGAAGAACCAAGGCAAAACAGAAAGAAAATAAAAATGATGACTCAATAGAAGTTGGAAGAAAGATAGTCATACGTTCATCCCGAAGAAGTAGAGTCCAATCATGTTGGATACTATATGGCCAACTTCAACGTGACTGAAAGCAGAGGTTATCAATGTATGCACGCGGCCGCTTCTAATATTTTCTACAGAGATCTGTGTTGACAACATTTAAACATTGGAGATATAGTGTTACCAACAGAGAACAGGAGAATTGAAGTTCCAAGCTTTGAAACTTAAAACTTGCAAAATTTGCATCAAATATTTTCACTTTGACGCATATATTTCTCAAAACATGTTTATCAATCTGTTATCTGAAAAAACAAAAAATGAAAACTGCTAATGATGTTAAGCTGATCACAACTTTTAGGGGCCATTCATCTTGAGAAATCCTGAATGTCCATGTGGTAGGTATCGCAAATTCCATGTTTCATTTCCAAGAAATGTAGGTTATTAAGCATCTTGGGGGTTTGGGCATCCTAGATGCCAATGGGGTGAATTTGGATACCCATGAGATGTGATGGGTTACGATACCAATTCCATCGAACATCCTCTTTTTTCATATTAGAGAGGTATTGGTAGAACAAGTTGGTCATTTCGTTACATTCATAGGGACAAAGTGTTGCAAAATAAACATAGCTATCAAATATTTCCAGTCATCTCCACAAGGTTGTCATGAATATATCCCACAGAACAAACATTACTATTCTTGATTTCTAGTAATGCAAAGACCTGAATATCAAGATTTCTAGTCTAGACATTATTGATTCTCATACATCCTGTTATCCTGATTCCCTGATGAACGATACTAAGCAAAATGGGAGTTGAGAAGCAATTTTGAGGCAAGTCATTGCAATTGAGGACTTACAGTAAAGTTTCTAGACATAAAGACAGGATCGGCAATCCGCCAGAGGAGGAAAACAGCAACATTAGCTATAATCAAGCCCAACACCACATCATTACTCGTTAGCCTTTGAAACCAGGATCTTCTGCAAAAAGGAGAAATGAAAATAAGAACTTCCCCACATAATCAATACTGTTTATCGGAGACCAAGTATCCTCCGCTTTGTTAAAATAAGTATAACCCTTTTAAATGAATTCAATACTAAAAGATCCACTAAGCCTATTCAAGTATAGAAGGTTGTATTAAGTTATTTTGATAAGTGAAATAATAACCAAAAGTAACCTAAGATAATAACAATGCTAATCCTAAAATAATAAAGAAGGAAGCTTCATAATAGTAGTAGTCCAACTACAGGGGACGCCTAGAAAACAATGCTAGTGTCCAATGAAACAGGGAGCCTCGTGATGTTATCCCTCTAATAATAACGATCAGGTTCCACAAACTTTCAAGAACTTCCAATATCAAAGAATAACAGTTTGTCTTTCAAATTCTCAGACGTTTCTCTAGAACATCTTTCATTCCCACATCACTACACAATACCCAGATAACATTTGCTAATAGCTACAGAGAAATTGGAGTGGTTTAGCTTATTTGAAGAAATTAGAAGCTTCACATCTTTCCTCATGCCATTTCCAGTAGTGATCAGCATAACAATTGTTTTCGAAGTATTTAGACTTCCCAACTGCTCGTGCAATCGCTCAAGTTAATCGTAGTACATAATCTTATGTGACGGTGAGGCACACCGTTTGCAACTTCAACAGGACAATGCAATTGGGAAAATTCGAATTCACAATTAAAAAAAATGAAAGTAATTGAAAACTATACGATTTAAGTGCTGAATATATTGATTCAAACAAGGTCTTCAGCTTCGAATTCATTTGTGTATGTCAGGAGTTAATTTTATCATAAAACAATCAAAGTCGCAAAAAGAGCAAACACATTACCTGCCACGCCATTGAAAATCAAAACCTGGTTTCAATTGAAATCTCAGTTTCGAAAATTGAGCTCCCGTAAATAAAAACCTCCTTTCTATCAGACTCCTAATTGACCCCTTGAAAAGGGTGTTCGAAGAATTTAATAAGAATCGCTTTCCGACCACTGAGACCGAGAAAAGCCCATGAATTTTCTCCGCAAAACTTCGCTGCGAACTCCACGAATGCGAGTGATCCTGAAGTGGGCGACTGATGAAGGAGCCAAACAGGTGGTTTTGGTTATGGGTTCGCACTAGTGTGGCGAAAGAAGTGCAATTCTTACAAGGGCGAGAGGTCGCAGTGGAGTTGGAAATTCTTGATGCAAGTTTAAGAGAAAAAAGTTTGTTCATGTTTTTCTTGATTATGGCCTACGAGGAAGAATTCCTTCCTTCAGGAGTTCCTGAAACAAGTTTATGCTTGGAGTGGGTGAGGCTACAAGGGATCTATAAAGAGGGAAATGATACAGCCAACTTTAAATTCTCCATCTCTCCTTCCAAAAGATTGAAAATTTTCAAGTGAGTAGTATTGGAATGTCACAAAGTAAGCTTTTTTCGTACCACCGAAGTGGTATGCTTAGGTTTGCAACTAAAGTCACTAAGATAATGGTGGATCATAAATATATACATCATTTTCATCGATAAGAGATCTTTCGAGTAAAATCAAAATGAAACAATGTCATATATAATAGAAATATGTAAAAGATCTATTGCTCTAGCATGGACTATCCAGTCAATTTTATATTTATTCATATTATAAAATTTTTTAAAAAAATTACCTCTCTAGGTCAAATCATCCGCCCACATTTATTGCACTAAAAAAAGAGAAATTTCACCATCAATGGGTAGGGGAATAAAGTGTCTATGTCTCGGTTAGTTAGTATATATTCAAATATACACATAACCAGTTAATTAGTTAAATTTCAATGGTAAGATATTTGTAATATGTGTACGTTAGGCATTTAGAATTACTTCATTCAACATTTCAATTTGTAATAGAAGTAGTCAACATGAATATTACTTTCTCTTGAAGTTGAGATTCAATCCCTTCTTTGTTGTCCTAAAAAAAGAGTTGAGGAAATTTCAAATTTATTAATGATGTTCTTTCACTTTCTGTTTAATTTCTGTTTTTGAGTATTCTCAGAAAGTTTACACAGTTCTCTGTCAACTAAACAGCATTTTGTGTTAGAATTACATAATCCTGGAGAATTTCTTGCTGAGCTGTTGACTGTAAGACCTTGGTTTCCCACTATCAAATGTAAAACACAAACATCTTTCTTATAGAAAAAGAAAAACTCATAACTAAATGAAATAGGAACTTTCGGAGTTTTGTGGAAGAAGAACAGGGATTAAGCTTCTTTCAGTCATTGAAGCAAAAATGATTTCTGATATGTAGATTCCATTTGCCACTTATGATCTTGTATCTTGCAGTTGCCTCTTCACCAGTGCAGTGTAGACACCATCCCTGCTAAGGAGTTCGTCATGTGTTCCGCTTTCGACAATTTGACCATCTGAAACAACCGCCACGATGTCTGCTGTTTTGACAGTAGATAGCCTATGAGCAATGACTAGCACGGTCCTGCCTTTCATCAAAGAATCCATTGCATCCTAAAACGCATCCATTGATGAGAACTCAGAATGATAAATACGAAATCGGAAATGGGGTGCTGAAAAGAAAACCTTTGAGTTTCTAAAGGACCAAACAAGAAGAATCCACAACAGACCTGTACTAGGTGTTCACTTTCAGCATCTAGAGCACTTGTCGCTTCATCCAGAAGGAGAATTCTCGGGTTCATAAGCAGCGCTCTTGCAATAGCTACTCTTTGTTTCTGACCGCCCGATAGCCTTACGCCGCGTTCTCCAACATGGGTTTTGTACTTTTCAGGGAAGTTTGATATGAAGTCGTGTGCATTTGCCATTTTCTGTGATTTCAGTAGTTCAAGTTAGACAACAGGTTTGGCCTTGAAGGTTTCTAGGAGGCAAAAGGACGTGAGATCTTACAGCTGCATTTTCTACATCAGTGCTGTCAACTTTGCCATCTAAACCATAGGCTATGTTCTCCTCTATGGAGCAGTTGAAAAGAATAGGCTCCTGGCTGACTATACTGATCTGCCAATCGACAAGTATTCGATCAAAGTTTAAAAGATCGTACAGAATATGATCTTTAATATGATATCGAACTTACCCTTTTGTGTAAATGATCATGTGATATCTCTACCAGAGGAACCCCATTTATCAGAACCCGTCCTTTAGTTGGATCGTAAAATCTTTCGATCAGGTTTGCTATTGTGGTCTGTGGCAAACAAAGAAACATACCCTATGTTAGCAGGCTCCCAACACATATATTAGCTCTCATTCTTTTAGTTATAATCAGTACAGAAGAAACAAGCATCAAGGAAAAGAGAGAAAATTACTTTTCCACCACCACTCGGACCAACGAGAGCTACTTTGGAGCCAGGCTGCAGTCTTAATGTTATTCCCTGTACCCAATGAACTTGTTATAATTCAATAACACTGCATAATCACCAGAGAACTAGAATTTAAGATAGTAACTAAATTACCTTCAGTACAGTGTGATTAGGGCGGGACGGATATGCAAACCAGACATCGTCCAACTCGACTTCTGCATCTTCATCGCTGCATTACATTACCAAGTGTAATCATTTTGCTCCTTTAGAAATCAACATAAAATTGATCCGAACACTCCCATTCAAAACAAAGGAGGTCATTTCATTTTCAACTTATAAAAAGAACAAAAAATGAGCATACCCAATAGGGCACTTATTTCCCGAATCTGTCATTGTCGATACACGATCCAGAAGCTGAAAAACTCGTCTACTAGCTCCAGCAGCTTTCATGGTTACAGTATACAATCCAGACAACCCAGATACGGAGGTTCCAACTACAAAGCGAAATAGTTAACTTTCTTGTTCACCATGGGAAAGTAAAGCTCCATAAAATATGGAAATTTTACCTGTTAAACTATAAAGGATGAAGGATGTCAGAGCTCCTGGGGTCATGGACCCTTTGATTGTCAAACTAGCCCCATATATCACAACAATAATAACAGATAAGGTCGATGCCGCATAGAGACCTCCAGAGAATAATCCAATAACTTTCTGTTAAATGATAAGATGGGGAGTAAAAGCTGTGAGCTTGCAGAAACATAGACACATATACAAGCTTGAAAAGATGTTGTTCACTTTCAAAACAGACTCACAGCTTGTTTAAGTCCAAGTTGCAATGTCTCATCAACTTTCTCAGAGTATCGCGATATCTCATAGGATTCTTGAGCAAAAGATCTGACGGTTCGTATGGCACCAAAAGATTCCTATAAAAAGGCATAACAATGATTTCTTTACTCTAGATTTCATCATGTAAGATAATGTCCAACTTATTTTCACAACCTGAAATTTTATACCTCAGCAATTGAAGCACATACAGCAGCTGCTGCTTGAGTTTTGTGAGAAAGTTCACGAAGGAAGCGACCGAATTTACGAACAGCAACAGAAATAACAGGGACAACAACCAAAGCCAATACTAGAAATGATAGACCATAAAACAATGAGCATATTGGGACTCTAAAACCTGCATATTAATAGCTTCAATGTTCAAACTCTTACGTGTTAATTTCCAAGAAGTTGAAAACATGAAGGTCAACCCAATTAATGCAGTAGATAGATTTCTTAGGGCCTCAGAGAGATTTGTAGTTGCTGCATTCTTAATGATTTGGGTATCCTCAGATAGCCTACTAAGAAGTTCTCCTGTTCGAGTAATGTCAAAGAAGGCTATTTCCTACAAAATTCAACATTTTCCAGAAAGATTTTCACATTCTAAGAAAAAGGAATACTAGTCAGACTTTTTAGCTTTTTCTTCCCCTTTTTTTCTCATTGGGGGGTGTTACCTGATTGAGAAGATGTGTAAACAAATTCTTCCTTAAGCGAGCAACAACCCTCTCACTAGCAGAAGAAAATAACCAAGCTCGAATAGCTGAGCATACTGAACTGAAAATCACAATGAATTATGGATAAGTTCTTGAGTAAGTGAGTGACAAAAAATTTCTTAGAAGCCATAATACTGGATCAAAAATATAATTTAAATTAACCAGAAATATGTTCTAAATAGACTTCTAAATGGCAGACCTCACAAAGCAGATCCCAATTTACAACCTGAGCTATTAGTCTCCCCTTCTAACTGGTTTAGGATTTGGCAAGCATAACACCATGGCAGTTTTATATACAAGACAATGACTGCACATATCATGCTTAAGGTTAAAAAGTCTAAATGTTCATACCCAACTAAGACGATTGTTGTAATGTATACAATGGTGTTCGTGACTTCCTTCAGAGCTCTGCTTTTCTGTTCGGGTGTGTCAATATCTCCAGATACAATGTCAATAATCTTTCCACCAAATTTTGGCTACAGGATCAGCATTTCAAAGAGTGTTATCAAGTAGTAAAATCAACACTGAGTTCATGGACATAATTTCGCTTTCAGAGCTATGAAGAGATAGATAAAAATTAAAAACACAAAAAATGCATACTATCAATATACTTGACGTGGAAGCAATCAGAAGAGCAACGGTAGCAATTGTCAACTTCCCCACTTCAGGCTTTGCCTGCAATAGAATTTAGCTGTTGAGAACTTCAAAGCTTTTGGCAGGAAAATTGATGACGGCTTCTGCCAACAAAAACACCTACTCACTTACAAGTGAAAGTACTCTGCCAAATCCAACATTTGCAGGCTGAAATTTGCAACCATAGTCAACATCAGGTAACAAACACAAAAAAACTAGTTAAGGCACCCTTGGATAACCATTTTGTTTTATGTTTTTCTACTCTAAAAATTATACTTTCTTTCCTTGCAATTTATTTGGTATATTTTTCATCTTTTTAAAAATACATTTGAGTTTCTAACCAAATTTGAATGATGGCATGTGAATCGCTGGAACATGTGCAATATACATCTAACCCAATACCGAAATTTTCATAAGGAAATTAGAGCAAGATACTATTGAGATTCAGTTAAGATAACAAAACAAATAAAGGTGGAACTGTGTTTATTAGCTTAATTTCCAAAATAGAAAACCAAAACTAAATGGTCATAAAGTTAAAAATCCTTCGATCATAATCTTCACTTCAGTGAAGATCTAACAGAACCCATTACCGGGACAGCATCCCCATGCTCCAGGTCAGTCAACTCACGATCTTCCAATGGGCTCTTTCGCCGTCCCTGTAAAAAGGATGGAAAAAACAATCAATGAACACCCACAGAAACATAATCAACATTGGGACTCTATGAGCAACAGTAACAATTTATTCAGAAATTTCAAGTCCCATAACAGAAAAAAAAAGGGAGTAAAGAAGAGAAAGCGTTTCATTCACATAAGAGCCAAATCCATTTCTCCACGAACTCCATGGAAACGAAAATAGCTTACCCCACGATCAAGCAGCGGAACTCTGTGGCTTCCCATGACCCTAATCGTTGCAAAACTGTCAACAAAAAGCAACCGGGTAACAAAAACTTGAGAAATTAAGAACCGGCCAGCGACGGGGAAGACTGGAGTCAAGTTTTTGTGGAGTTTTTGCAAAATCCAAAAGGCCCAGAGCTTTGAATTTTATATGATTCTCTGCTGACTAAACTTGTGGAAAACTTTGCGAGGCCACTTATCCGGGCAGCGGTGTGATGAATGGGTGATTCGTTCACTTCCGTCCGCAAGATTATGGGAAACAGACAAATCCCAATTCCCTGATTAATCTCATTGTTCGATTTTCCCAGTGAAGGCTGTATTATAAATTCTAATTTCTACAGCTTAGGCATGTTTGTTTCGCCAGAAAATCAAATAAAATATTAGAAATCTGCCTCGATTAACTAATTAAGTTTTTAACATATTATTGATCGTTTTCTTCAAGAATCAAGATTACCATAAATTGTTTTATTCTAAAAAAATGTTAAATTTCGTTGAACAATGAACAGTCTCAAGGTATACTTAGTTGGGTTCGTTCATTCTTGAACAAGGTCGCTGTTCCCTAAAACATTTGCTTTCAATTTTTTATTTTTTAAAATTATACTTAATTAATATTATATATATATATATATATATATTTTGCTTTTTGGAAAGTACCGTTGAATTTAGTCAAACTTCGAAAATAAAATAACATTTTTTGAACAACTTCTTTTGTTTTCTCTTTTAAAATATGTTATATAAGACAAAGAAATAAAAACTTAGATAGTTATGTTAATGAATAAATGATACAAAATACTAATTTTAAATTTTTTCTTAATATAAATTTGTGTTTAAAGTTTCATGTTACCTTTGAATTGTATATGAATATAATCTTAATTAATTTAATCTTAATTAATTAAATGTAACTCAACAATTAAGGCACTTATCTCCGATCAATAAATTATGAATTTGAATCCCAACCATCCATGTTGTACTAAAAAAAGTTTTTAATTAATTACCAGTTAGGTCATCGATTATATAAATTAATAATTATGATGAAAAATTATAAAAAATAAACACTATATTTGAAATGACTTTTTAGAGAAATAAATAATTTAAAGAGACAAGGCTATCTAATGAAATATTCCAGTACTGTTGTTTGATGACAGCCCAAGATAATATAAAACCAGGCCAGAGTTGGGCCTTTTTTGTGGAGAGAATTTGGGCCTTTCTAGAGCATCTCTAGGCAGAAAGATCATGTGGACTGGGCTTGATTTGAAATAATGGACTCTTAAAGCCCAATTCAAAAACTGCACTTCCATTTTCCAAGTTAACCAAGAACTCCACAAATTAGCGACAGGAAAATTAATATCTGAATTGATCTGAACATGATTTTTAGATACACTTCATAAGTTTTTTTTTTCTTTTTCTTTCCGGGTGCTACATTCATTACTATAATTTATAAGATTGACCAATCAATCAACAAAAATAATATTTGGAACAGATTTTGAGAATATTTAAAGGTGGCAGGTATTTGAATGATAAAAAAAAAAATAATCCTGTCCTACATTGTCAAGATTAGATATCTAAAAAAAATATAGAAGGGTAATTATCAAAGTAGACCAATACTAGTCAACATATAACATAATGTTTAGTAACACTAAATAGTAAAAGAAAACTGAAATAATTTGTCACCTACCTGAGTTTTATCATAGGATTAAAAAAGTATAATATTCATGAAAAGGAAACCCTCAAAGTCCCATAATTAATAAATAAAGGAAATGAAAGTTTGAAAGTGTAAATTGGAAATGGGAATTGAGAATAACTAATGATATTTTCCCTTGGAAGCTGTAAACATGTCTCCAATAACCCAACCATTTTTGAGCAATTGAAACCTTAAAAACCCAACACAACCTTTGCTTTTTCAATATACTGTTCATTTGATGTTGCCTAGCTAAAGCATTTATTCAATTGTTTTCTCTAACTTTTCTAGACAATAACTAAAATCCAACTGTCTTTTTTCAAGTTCACATCTACATCTATTTTGCTTTAGTAGATACATTATACCTAATTTAATTTATTAGACACATGAATGAGAAGTAATTTTTCAAGTCGATTTGATCAATATCATAGTTTAATTACCTTCATAAAACAAAATCATGGGATGCTCACATGCTTGTACAAAATATTTATCTTTTCTTAAGCTAGTTTTGGATGCGTCATACCATCAATCTAGAGAGCGTAATGTATCACTCTATACACAGTTTCTCTAGCTATGAAAAACTATGAAACTTACCAATTTCAAATGCTTTCTTAATTAAAAGTTTGATCTTTATCCAAATTTGAACTCATTTACCCTAATAATTTCTTACTCGGTAATTAAAAAGTTGCACGTGATAAATTAAATAAAATCTCCTTAATAATTGAAATTCACATGTACTTTGCGAAAAGAGCACGTCTTTCATCTATTATTTCTTATATACATATTTCTAGAGAATACCGACATAGAAACAACTCTATCGTATTCTCATCTCATCTTGACATTATCTTGAACTTGATCGTTGGAGTTACACAACAAAACACTATTTTATTATTTTGCATACAGCTAGATGTATCATCCCTCCGTCGTGAAAATTTGTATTCATAAACACAAGAAATTACATAAAGTAAATAATGCACAAATGTTTTAGGTAATTTTTGCAAATGTTTCAATACACACACTTTGAATAGATTGAGGTTGTAGGGTGTTTACCAAGTCAAAGAAGCCAAATGTGTTTGGATTTGAAAAGTTGGTCTTGTTTTTCACATAAAACCAGTTGAGATGTCTCAAAAGATTCCAACAAGTTGACCTGGTCAAAGATCTTTTGCCTTCACCAAATTAATACAATACGTAATTGCTTTGCTTTATCAATGCGTTGTCCACTAATTGTACCTACATTACAACCTTTTTCATCGTTAATTTCTAGGTAACAATCCTAATTAATTAGGTACCAATGTTTCAAAATCTCATTCAAAATCAGCCACATACCTTAACCCGTTAAGTCACTAATTTTCGATTAAAAAATTTCGAGTTCAAATTCTCATCTTGGATGTTGTACTAAAAAATCAATTTCTTCATTTTAATTTTTAAAATTAAATTATAAATTTAGTCCTAATTCATATTTTAGGGTTCTGCTTTAAAATATTTATACCATATCGTCCCTAAATTTTTATTGTTGTGTCTATTTAGTATCTATACTTTAGAAACATTATAAAAATTTCCAATGCATTTTTATCTGACAAAATTTGATCCGAATTTGTAATTCACAGGCTAAAAGATTTATGTAATTAAACCTTTTAAAAGTTCAAAAACTAAACACCAGTGAACTTTTTATACTTTCTCAGCTAAGATTAATTCATATATATTGATTATATTACAATGGAACATTGAAAACATCATCAAATAATAATTAAAAAAAAAGGGCATCCCATTCAAGTTAGGAGCCAACTTAATTAATTTAATCTAAAATTTTCAAATGAGAATAGGAAAAAGAGTAGACTTTTGTGTCCATAAGCTGTCGATCTTTCCCAGACATTGTTCAAAGGCTGTCTTTGGTCAGCAACAGAGTTGACGTAGAGCCATTGTAATCCAAGTATTAAATGTCTATATAATTCAAATTTCCAAGCACATAAACTAAGATTTAACCAACTCCCACTTGCTAATTAAGGTAATTAATTCATGATTAATTAACCAAAACAACTTTTTTTTTTCTTTTATAACATAAACACATTGGATTCGTGATTTTACCTGTTGCCAAACAGACCCAACATGTTGAAACTCTCATCCATCTTCCTATGTTTAAAAACCAAACAATAACAGCTTTTATGGTCGAGATTATATATTGGCATAAACAAAATAGATTAGATTTTTGTTTTTTTCAATGTAGCGTTTTGAATATATTCTAAATTTTTTTTAAACAAAAATATTCTAAAAAATTAATGTACTTTTCAACAAAATTAATATATGGTAAGTTTTGTTGAACATTTAAGATCATAAATCATCTTTTTTTTCCTTTTCCCATTTTTTCTTTTTAATTTGTTTAGATGAGGCTCTAGAAAATTAAACCTGCACGTGAAAATATGGTGTTTGGATGCTAAATGAAAGGAAAAATCTTCTGAATCTAATATTAGAAGATCGAGAAAAAAAGAAGAAACTATTTATAGGCTTTTTTTTTTTTATGCTATGCAATAACTCCTTTTTTTCCCTACTTTTGACGATCTTAGTCATTTTTCGAGAATTATTATTATTATTATTATTTTGGAAAGATGATTTGTCATTACATCAACTTTAATTTGACTATGATTGTTAAATGCATTCTTAGAAAGTATTTGAGACTGGAAAATTTGTGTTTGGATTTAAATAGGAATGGTCTTAATACAATTTAAAGTAAATCATTTAGGCTCATTTTCCTAACCATTTCATTTTTTTTTTGTTTTTTTTCCTAAAAACTTTGTTTATTTGCTCAAAATTTCTTTGATATATTTTTCACATTTCTTAAAAACACGGTGAACTCTTAGTCAAATTTTAAAAACATAAACAAAATTTTTAATTTTTTTAAATGGTAGTTTAGGTTTTGAAAATATTTTTAAAAAGTAGATAACAAAATAAAAAAATACATAAATGAAAATAGTGTTTAGAAGCTTAACTTAAAAAAAATTAAGAAGATGGATCTTAATATTTTTGTTATGTGCATGAGATTTTGTTTGAAAATATTCATTATTTAAACTTTAGTTATATTTCCTTAAACATCAACGAAAATAATACTTTATTGAACTTTAGTTTTTATCAAACTAATTAACTCATACTAAATTTTGAATATTTATAATAATTTGAAGAGGATACGATAAACTGAATGTATAATAAACATAAATATAGAATATGATGCCTTATTATTATATTTAACCAATAATGAGTCCATATATTGTAGGGGTGAAGGAGAAATTATAAGTTGGGAATGGCTTGATTTGATAGTTTCCAAACTTTGTACCTTTGTTTCACTTAAATAAACGTGATTCTAGATTAGAAACATTGGATTCATAGTATTATGGCCATAATTACGTTTTTGTGACTCAAATTATTTCTTGTCAAATATGAAATGATTAGGGCTTAGAGAAGAAAAATGAGGGAAAAAAAACAAATTAAAGAATAATCTGCTTTAGAGGAGAGATAAAATTAAAGGAAAATAAGAGAGATGGAGAATATGATTGGAAGACAGAGAGAAAAAGGGTATTAGCTTTTTGTGTGGAAAAACAAATGCGTTTTGTACCATCAACTTAAAAATGAGACAATTAAATATATTTAAATAATAAATTATAAATAATGAATGAATAAATCACCATTTCACAGCATAGTTTACCTCGGTATAGTTTAATTGTTAAGATATATTGTCTAAAAGTTCAAATTTTCATCGACCTATATTATTAAATTAAAAAAAAAAGTTAGTAGCGATCTTGCTAAAGATTTAGGAAAATATTTCGTTCAAATCTTGTCTTTACTACAATTAAATATTTGATACTAAGAGAGAGAAATGTAAAAACAATAACTTTTATAAAAATTAATAAGTTGTCAAAATTTCAGTGAGGACAAGATTTGACATGCAGCCAAGTATTTTTTGAAAGATTTAATCGATTATTAACTTTTTATTTATATTTATTATTTATTATTATTTTGTCTATTCAAAATTGACCCTGCAACAGAAAAATATACCCAAGGCTAGCTAAAGAAATATCTCGTTGAAAGATGACAGATATTAACTTGCTACCTAACTCTCCTTGTTACCACATAATTTTATCTTATATATTCTTTGAAATAATATTCCTTCCAAATACAAAATAAATTAACTCATGGCTATAACTTTCCTTATGTTGGACGAAAAAGTAAGGTATAAGAATTATGCTCCAAACATAATTCAACTGGTTAAAATAGAATTATTATTATATGTAATTCAACTGGTTAAAATAGAATTATTATTATATGTAACCGAGACTAAGATAGAATAAGTTTGAAAAAGATTTTTTCTTTGTAAGAAAAAAAGTTTGAAATGATATATTTTAGCCCATATTAAATTTTTTAATTGCAATATTCTTTGCCTCCAAGAAGGCTCAAACTGCCTGGCCAGCTCTCTATATATACTGTTAGGCCACGCATTTCGTCTTCACCAACCCCTCGCTCCATCCATCCAATTTCTCTCTTCTCTCTCACTTCTCTTTCATATCTCTCTCCATTTTCAGGTCTTTTTGTATTTTTTTTATCTCTCTCTTGCTGATCTTGCTCTTGAACTCCATCGATCTCTCAATAATGTCTTTGGAATACGAGTTTCTGTTGGTTCCTTCATCTGGGTTTGGCTCAACAATGGCCAATCTCCATCTCTTGCTTTTCTTTCTTCTCTTTGTCACAGTGTTTGCCCTCTGCCTCAGCCCCGGTGGGCTGGCTTGGGCTCTGATTTCAAGGCCAAGGAACAAACCCATCATTCCTGGGCCTTGTGGCACCCCTTTTCTCGGTCAAGCTTCGGCCTTTACTTCTTCTCTCACCCATAGAGTGCTTGCCAACCTCGCCAACACCTTAAAGGCGAAACCTTTAATGTCATTCTCAGTTGGGTTCACTCGTTTTGTGATCTCCAGCAACCCCATCACTGCCAAAGAGCTCTTGAACAGCTCGGCCTTTGCTGATCGCCCAATTAAGGAGTCGGCTTACGAGCTTTTGTTCCATAGAGCAATGGGTTTTGCTCCCTATGGGGAGTATTGGAGGATTCTTAGGAGAATCTCAGCCACCCATTTGTTTAGTCCTAAGAGAATTTCAAGTTTTGGGGAGCTGAGGGGGATGATTGGGGCTAAAATGGTGGACCAAATTGAGAGTTTGATGGAGAAAAATGGGGAGGTTGAGGTGAGGAAAGTTTTGCATTTTGGGTCGTTGAATAATGTGATGGGGAGTGTGTTTGGGAGAAGTTGCGGATTTGGTGATGAGAGTGAGAGTTGTGAGGTTGAGGGATTGGTGAGTGAAGGGTATGATTTGCTGGGGAGTTTTAATTGGAGTGACCATTTCCCTGTTTTGGAGTGGCTGGATTTGCAAGGGGTGAGAAAAAGGTGCAAAATTTTGGTTGGGAAAGTGAATGTTTTTGTTGGGAAAATCATAGAGGAGCACAGAATGAAGAGAAGGATTGAAGGAAATTATAATGGAAATCATCATGATCAGATCATCAGCTCTGGGGATTTTGTTGATGTGTTGCTTGATTTGGAAAAGGAAAACAAACTCACTGACTCTGATATGATTGCTGTGCTGTGGGTAAGTACTTTTTTTTCTTTTCTTTTCCATGTGAAGTTGTCCAATATCTCACTCTCTCTCTCCATATATATTCTTTGTTTGTTTTTATGGTGGATGCAATCTTCCACTAAATAGGCATTCGTACACATTCAAGAACAAGCCATGGAAAAAGTTGATCATGTCTCAAGAATCAGAATCATTTCTCTTTTTCTTCTTTTCCCATTATTTCTTGTGTTAATTGGGTTTCCCTCTTGATTCTATTAAGAAAATGGTTAAGCTTTTGAGCAATAATTTAACATAATTTTGGATTCCGTTTCAGAATATCATTTCTAGCAGTGACTTATTGTAATCAAATTTTTGAATTTAGTGGTAGTTTTAACAATTTGAAAATTGTAGGAGATGATCTTTAGGGGCACAGACACGGTGGCAATTCTCTTAGAATGGATACTAGCAAGAATGGTTCTTCATCCTCATATCCAAGCCAAAGTCGAATCTGAAATCGAACGAGTGGTTGGAAATAACCGAAATGTTTCAGATTCTGACCTACCAAACCTCCCCTATCTCCATGCAGTTGTGAAAGAAACCCTAAGAGTACACCCACCCGGGCCGCTCCTCTCATGGGCTCGGCTCGCCATCCACGACACCCACATCGGTGACCACTTCGTCCCGGCTGGGACGACCGCCATGGTTAACATGTGGGCAATAACACACGACGACCAGGTCTGGGTCGACCCATTAATATTCAACCCCGAGAGGTTCATGAAAGAGGAGGTGTCCATAATGGGGTCTGATCTTAGACTGGCGCCATTTGGTTCAGGAAGAAGGGTTTGTCCTGGTAAAGCCATGGGGTTAGCCACAGTCGAGCTCTGGCTCGCTCAGTTGCTTCAGAGCTTCAAATGGGAGGTGGGTCCTGAAAATGGAGTCGATTTATCTGAATCTTTGAAGCTCTCCTTGGAAATGAAGAAGCCTTTAATCTGTCAGGCTGTTCCTAGGGCTAAAGCTAAAGCTGGTTGAGTGATCACAAGAACTTTGGTTGTGGGGTTGTGGGGTTGTGTGGTTTCAGTTCAGCCATGATTTTGGAGTTTGTTGCTTATGGAGATGGATAAAGAACAGTAATATTTTGTTTAAAGGGGCTTATTTTATGTTATAAATGTGTTTGCTTTTTTTTAATTAGGGCAAAAGTTTGGATATAAACAGGTGTTGTGTGGCTGTTGGGTTAGTGACCTTGGTGGCTGTTGTGTTATGTGTGAGTAAAACTTACAAATTATGTGTAATGTAATCTGTGTTTTCATGGAGCTAGGGCAAACTCTCGTGCAAGTGTACACATGTTTGTATTGAATAAAAATGTGATCTATTTGTTTTTGTTTCCGTTAGATTTGTAAGTAGGACCAGCAAAGTTCCACATTAGATAGGGAAGTGAATAATCATGACTATACAAGATAGGACAATTATGTCGATTGATATGAGATCTTTTGGATGAAACCAAAAGCAAAGCCATATCGTGAGAGCTACGCCCAAAGTGAACAATATCATACCATTGTAATTTTGTTATCTAATGGGGTCTTAGATATCGAAGTTATGTATTTTGAAAGTCTAGAAACCAACTATTATGGATGGGCTCATTAGTCCTAAGAGACCAAGGTAAATGAAAAAAAAATTAGAGGAAACGAAATCAAAAATCTCAATGATGGCTACCTACGAACTTTGTAATTATTAAAGGATCAGACAGCTGTCGTGTCAGATTACTGTTAATAAGATTGACGATTAATGTAATGAAAATTTTGATTCTCTCATCTATTGATTCACATCCCTTAAACGGATCCTAAATACTATTTTTCTTCAACAAGAACTAGTACGCCTGTTTTAAAGCTCAGAGTAAAGCCGTGAAAATATTCTTAGCCAAAATATGAAAGGATAAAAGAAATGAAAACAGATCACATTTATTTAACTAATTAATGGCAACCTAAATCTCAACTAGATTTAACATAATAATATTATATCATTTATACACACATTTGCCACATTAATTGGTTCACAAAAAATAAAATAAATTATATATTCCCTTTTAGTTTTTCCAATCTCTCCTCTCTTTATTCGTCCTTGGCATATGATATCGGTGCAACTTTAACCCCTTTGAATAGGCTTTTGAGAAGGTTAAGAAACCACACATATATCTCTCTGATTAAACTCTAACTAATTAATATTATTCTTTGGATTAAATGGAATAATTATGTGAGTAAATTTGACGTCAAGAAAAAAGTATATTTAATTACAGAGAAACATATATATATGAAATCATTGAGGAATGAGAACCAAAAGCAAAGTAATAATATGATATGTTCCCCCTTTTCTGTGATCCAAATCCCTCCCTTCTGCACAATATAAATATATATATATATATATATATATATATATTATATCTAATTTTTACCCCCATAAGTTTTGCTGGTGAAAAGCTCCACTGCTTTTTTCCCCAAAATTATTAAAGAATTATTCTGGGAATTTCTTTGAATTATATCCAATATAAATTCAAAAGCATTTCATGTATCATTTTTCTTTTTCCTTTTGTTTATGTTATTTAATTGTTTGGATACTGCTTGTAATTTATTCCTAAATGAGTGCAAGCTGCACTGCACTACAAAATGGCATTTTTTTTTGGTGATTCCCTCTCTCTATATATAAATACATGACACATGCATGCAACATTTGAAAATGTGGGAACATGAAGTTTTATTAACATTAGAGGCCATTAATTTGAGAGAATCCTTTCAACTATAATTCCAAGGGTGAAAAGATATTGTACATATATATATATATAGATATAAAAAGATATATATATTATCATGACTTATTTAATATTAATATAAATAAAAAAAAAATAGTACGATGGAGTGGAGCACATGAAGAAGGACAATTGGATTAACGTTGTTTTAAAATCAGTGACATTTGGAAATTTCAGTCATATGATTAAGTAATTGTGAAGAGAGGAACAAGGTATGTAAGATTTTGATGTTTAAAAAGAGGGTTCAAATAAATATTTGGATATGATTTTTGATTCGGAGATTTAGAGATCTTTGGGATATATACCAAACTTTTGGGTATGAATATATATGTGTTAATAAAGTCCCTTTGGTAGCTCAAGTATCAGTTTCCAATGGCATAAAATCTACTTTTTCAGGCAGTATTAAGTGTTAAGTATGCTTAGATTGGTTTAAAGGAATATAATGTAGGGTAGTCTAAATTGATTCTTTTATATATTTTATTAATAAAGTTAATATAGATCAATACTCTTACATGATCAATATAATTTTTTTTTTGAGTTCGACAACATGTACGGTAATTAAGATTTTGAACCTCCAACCTTTTAAAGCGAGGTATATGTCTAAGTCATGGCCAATTGGTATATGTCAATAAAGACAAATATTACCTTGGATTTATTCTAAGTTAGTTGAGGCATAACTATATTAATTAATTTGATTTATTCTAAGTTAGTTGGGGTTTTAAATTTTCCCAAAAAAGTATTTATACATTTGTAAGGATTCGATGCAGTGGAAGATATATCGGAGTTATAAATCTTATTGTTAGTATTTTTTTTAGTACAATATGTAGAGGTAGAGATTTGAACTCACGACCTTTTGGTGTAAATATCCTTCCTTGAATAGTTAAGCTATGCTCAAGTTAACCTTGTTATTAGTATTTATATTCATATGGATCGCAAATTGATGAGTTTTTAATATTTCATTGATATTTATATGGATATCAGGTATATCACAATTGATTCTTAATACTGATGTCGAACCCTCCCATTTAAATACATCGATGGGTATATCGAGAGTACATATCATAAGATATTTTAATCTTTGTGTGTATTTGTAGCGTATTTTCAACCACTCCAATTAATTAAATTTGTAACTTTTAGGTGTAATATGATATCAAATACACGGAAGAATAAGCATATCTCAATTGCTTAAAGACATATATCATCAACCAAAAAGTTAGAAATATAAAGTGAATCTATTCATCTTCTTTTAGACCCATTCAAAGGGGTCTTCTTTCAACTTGCAATTAAGCAATATACAAATTAATATATACCATGCTCATGCTCATATTCATATGATGCATGATTTGGATTAGAAACATTCTAAAAGGTAAATAAAAAGCTTGGCTTTTCAATACTATTTTTTGAATGGAAACTTTGAACCAAGCATAATCAAAAGAATAAGAGGAGCCCACAAACCTTTTCCAATTTTTTTTTTAATTAAAATTTCTTTGATCATATGATTTCTTTCAAGTATACAATCAATTGAAAGCATTATAAACCCTAGTTAGCTATGGCCTGGAAGCCACACAGCTACAAAGGGGCAACATATGAGCCAATCATCCATCTCTTCCACCACTCTTAATTACACACAAATCCCCCATTTTCTATTAAATAAAGTTTCTGCCTTATTTTAACTTACTTTTTTAGCAAAAAAATAAACATTTTTTACATGGAAAAAAAGGGCCATTCTTCTTCATTTGATATATTGCATGCGCAATAAAGTGGGAATGTGGCAGCTTAGTCATAGTGTTTAAGTTGCTAATCATGTTATTAAAGCTTCACTAATATATGGTGAACTTTTTATTTGCTTTGTTACATCACAATGAGAATTCTTCTTGTATATATCTTCCAAGTTATTCACCGTATATTAAACCCAAATTGACCATACGAATATATTTTTTTTCCCTTTAAAAGTAAAAAATTTTGGAATTAATAGAGATGGGTGGGATTCACAGTCATTGATTGGGAAATGCCATTCCAAATCTCGATTCCCATCTTCAAAATTAAAACAGGAAACAAAAAGAAGAGATTTTGTGCTTAATATTTATTATATAATAAGGATGAAATCCAAATCTTTAGGGAATTTAATTAAGAAATCCATATTTAGGCTGCTTCAAAAAGGATTGATTTCATTCTTTGAATGAAGTTGTGGCCTTTATGGAAAAAGTTGGGGTCTCAGCACACATAGAACATGATTAAGCCTTTTTAAGCTTTTGTGGGATGGATTAGTGTTATGAGTTTCCCACTTAAATTTTAATTTATAGTAATATAGTACATTTACCTAATTTTTATAAGAGTCATCATCTTCACCATTATATATAACAATCATGGCAAATAGTGATAATCACTTTGAAGATGATTGAGATGTGTGAGCTGAGACGACCGATCCATATTCATTATATAATGTGCAAAGTGCAAACCACTCTATCTTTAAATATTTATATTTATATATATATTTATATAAATCCCAAAACATGTCTTTTGAACAAATCCATTCGTAGTCGCTACTTATTTTTTTAAGTGCGGAAAAGTATTCGCTCGATCTCATGGAGTCTCTGGATTACATCGGTTTAGAGGTTTCAAATTTGAATCTTTGGATGGATTTATTATAAAAATAATCTTTAATGTCTCTTAGGTTCGAACTTTGGACAGATGTCAATCGTATTTCAAATATAGAACAACAACGCTAAGTAGGTAAAATTACTATGTTATCAAATATTATCATTATAATTTATAATCAATACTCTATTAAAGTGGTAAGTTGAAGTGTCTGCTTGAGCATAATTATTTAAATTATATATCTCTAAATCAATAGGGGTCATGAGTTTGAATCTTTCCCTATATGTTGTATTAGGATAAAATTGTAAATTCAGGTGAAAAATGGAAAGGTAGAGATATTCACAAAAATAACAAAGTTTGAATTAAACTTGAACTCAAATGTAATATAAAATATGGTAAGGAAAATCAATTTTATGCCACATTTCAAGAAAATGAAAATTGTGACATTTATTTAAATATATATTAACTTTATGTTACATGGTGTAATTTCTGGAAAAGATAATTAAAGGAGGACATGGGCCAAGGATAGAAGCCTTTACTGTGCTAGCAATAATGGAGACAGGTTTTTTTTAAAACATAAATGGTACTCAATAATTATAACCACAAAGACCAATGATTAGCTGCCAACCACATAAACTTTATTCTAATGCCAAATTAATTTTATTTATTATTATTTTTTAATTTTTGTGATGTGTACACAGAAAAAGGTGTCTCCATTGAGCCTATAATCTTTTTATGTTTGAATTTTTGCCCTAAAATATGACAATCCCACGTTAAATTTTGCAATGTGTATCGTCACAACATTACAGCTGTTGTGGTTTGTAATATATTTTTGTTTAAATCCTTCTTTGTGGATGAATTGTCACATTTTATTTGGTTTGATCATTAACGTGTTAGTAGTGTAACAGGATTTTTGTTAGATGCATGATGGAAATATAATCGAAAACATCAACGAAAACAAAATTTGATGTCAAGTTCATAAATAAAACTAGCGTATTGGAAAATATAAGATCAAATTAATCTAAGATTTAAACCTTGATAACATGTTTTAGTAATTTTTAATAAGTTTAGAATCATAAAGTGTGAATTTGAATGGCACGTGTTTAACGGTAAGTTTATGATTTGAAAAACTAGTATGTAGTATGAGTTTATAAGTCTCTAAACTATATATAATATGAATTTACAACTTGTGAAATTAACGAACTAATAACTTAAGGTAAAACAGAGGCGCATTTTAGACGTAAATTCAACTTCGTCTATGCTAGTTTTTTTTAGTAACTAATAGAACTATAGGGTCATGATTCCATTTTTTCTTTTTCTCTGCTTCTTTTTTATTAGGGAAAGTGAAAGTAAATTTAGGGAAACAAATCATGTCAATTAAAGTAAAAATGGATGGTAGAAAGAGCATGAAATCTAGTGGACACTTGCAATATATAGTGCGACAATTCTGTTAGGACTTTGACCACTTCAAAACATAAATAAATAGAAATATAGTTCCAAAAAAGAGGACCTATGGACATATTCTTTGTTGATATAAATTTTGCTCACCACTGAAATAAATTAAGGACATATTCGAAGAAATTTTGACTCGGACAGAAATGTGATAATCGTGACAATTTATACTATTTTATTTTTCCTATTTCATTCTCCTGTCTCTACATTCTTCCAAATGAAACTGGGTTTTTTATCCTAAATAAAAATGCATGTAAGAAAGAGGAGAGAGCTAACATATAATCTTAGACAACGGAGGGACCAAAGTTTTACATGATGATACGTGGGAATTATTGTGACAAGAAAAAAAGTGAAACAGAACATTTGAAAGTACAAATACCAAAATAGAAGTGGAAAACATACTAAAATTGGATTTAACCCTTTTAAATCAATGTTTAAGCTAATTTTAACAGTTATAAGCAGAAGACATCCAAAGTTCTGTTCAAATAAGGTAGATTATTCAATGCAGACAAGACATGTACTTAATTTTTTGCTATTGAAAATGACAATAAGATGAACATGTTTTAGTGTGATGGGCCCCCTGTAACTTGCTTTAATAGTTAAACAGTATACATAGTTTAAGGAAAAAAAAAGTAGTTTCTAAATTTAATTCAGATTACTAAGAGGTCCTTGACCTTCATGAGTTGAATGTGCAAATCAAAATAATTATTGGGCCTTGGCCATTTATACTGTCAAAGCCCACATAGCCCTGACTTACTGGGCTTTGGCCCATTGATTAAATAGAGAGTGAGGGCCCATCACAGCAAGGAGGCTTTTCCATCTCTTTTCAAGAATTCATGAAATAGAGTAGTGATCAAGATTTAATCTTTGCCTATTTCACGCATTATTCAGTCCATCTTGGATTGGATGATGGAACAATCCTCATTCTTTTCTCTGTACTGGAGACTGGAGACTGGAGACTGGAGACTAGAGGGATTCCTTCCAAAAGCGTATCGATTTATCGGTCCCGCAGGAAATGAAGGCCGACTCTGTTGGTGAGTGCTCGAGCCACCGGGGCACGCCAACGTGGTTCGAGGGCCACCTTGCTACTCTCTCTGCTGTCAGAGCATCCCAAATAACGATCTACAAACATTCAAATCTTATCAATTCAGATCCAAAACATAGGCTAGCAAAGAACATCAATGTCACAGTTTTGAGGAGTGAAAACAGAAGCAGGATCTACCTCATTGCTCGGCTCGTCTATCGATAGCACAAATTCCTCAGTATCATTGAAGACAGCCTAATAAGAAAAAGATTGAAACTTTCAGATGGAAATGAGAACGGTTGTTCATCAGAATCTTGCTATTACAATATTGAGTATTTTCTTTAAAGAATAGATCATAGAAACTTGGGTTTTGGGTTTGGGATTGGGTTTGTGTACCATAGTTTCAATATCAAGGGGCTAAAAGATTTTCAAATATACATGCAGATTGTAGTCCCAGTTTTGGTAAATCTCAGGAGCTGGTGAACTTTATAAGAACCAATATAAAGGCTTTTCGTCGAACTGAAGCATGAGGCAACATTTACGGTTTTCAACCATAACTAGAACCATGAAAATGTCATAAAGATGCAAGTTAATTGACAGATGACATAAAGCAAAAAAAAGCCATTTGAAATGAAACCCTCAACTGACCTGACATCTCAATTGCATATGGGTAGCTCCAACATATTGTTTGACCAGTCTCCCCGTCCCCACATCCCAAAGCTTTACAGTGGAGTCCTTCCCACAAGAAAGAACGAACCTGAGGTATCGATGATCAAGTCACTGAGAAGAACTCCAGAAACCAATAAAAAGATTCAATATGTTCTCTCTTAGTATACTTTTCAAGTCACTGATTGTCTGAAAGTAAATCAATTAAGTGAAAGATTGTTGCACCATTTCAACAGAAACTTCTATATACTTGACAAACCATTATGATTGCGGCTACACTGATAAAATTGTTAAGAGTTTACAGCCACTATTGCAAGCTTACCTTTCATCTTTTGTAAATTTTGCACTGGTTGCCTCAGCTGCGGCATGTGCACTGGCGATTAGGCGGATACATTTAGCACTAACTCCATCCCATAAACGAACCGCACCATCCTTTGAAGCAGTGACATACATACTACCTGTTGCTGAATACCTGACCTGTATGATGATCATTGGAAAGCTTGAACTGTGAGAGTTCCATCTAATAGGATTTGTATTGCAGATAATTTGAAAAGTCAAGTTCATAGCACCTGATTTATGGCTCCATTACTTCCTATTTCCGGAACATTTGCAGATAGAAAGCACTGAAAAGTATTGACATCATATAGGTGGGCAATGGGATGATCCGTTCCTGGAGTTTTTGCCCATGTCAGTGACTAGCCCCTTGAGGTAAAATGAGGCCCCTTATTTGGTTTCATTAAATTTAGGTCTAGAGACTATAGATAGTTGTGGTGAAACTCGGACAGAGCCAGTATGGCTGTATGAGTAGGACCAAAAGCAAAGCCAAAACCGAGTTGTTGGTTTTGGTGGGTGGATAGCTTGCTCATCCAGCCCTCTATTGCAATGTTTCGTTCCTTTTTAATGGAAGTCTTTTCATCAAAATAAAAGTCAGTGAAACGGGAGGGAAAGCTAAAGCTTTCCAATAGAACTCAAGTTTAAGTTACAATGCAATTTAATTAATTTTTAACAACAAACAATAAGTACTTGCATGCTTTCAAATATTAGAATGCTTAAAACAGTTAATATATCACTTAATGTAGAGGAAGAAGACGATACCTGCTAAAAGATAATCTCCTGAGGGATGAAGAGATATAGAACGCACGTTATGGGTATCCTTAATGACAAACAGAGGAAAAAGGAAAAATGTAAGAGAATGCCTTCTGAATAAAAAGAAGTAAAATCTGCTGCAGGATTTGAAAGCTGCAGACAAAAATAAAAATTAAGATACAAGCAAAACCTGGATAACTCTGAATGCTTTCTTTGCAGTCAATTTGGAGAAGTCAAAGAATCTAGAAAAGCAAACGCATTGTACGAAATTGCAAGATTAGCTGTACTTTATTTACCAATAGAGTAGGTATCTTCAGAAATAGAACTATAAGCTTACAGATGGCAGAAGACAGACATGACTTCTTGATCACATTTAGAAATTCTTGATCACATTTAGAAATTTGGTAATCGCAAATGAAATAATACTAATGACAATAATAAGGTACGGAGCTATATGCTCGTGCATATGACCTCAGACACAACAGGATCAAGAAAGAACCATACTTTATTGTGTGATCTTTTGCACCAGATATAAGAACAGTATTCTGAGGATGAAAATCCAAATCATTTATTGGCTGCAAATAATTAGGAGAAAGTATCAGATATCACTTATCAGTGGAGTAGAAAGGGGAGAAATCTCTCGCCACTACAATGATGGAGAAGAAAAATCTTATTGATAATACGGCAACATACGTGAAGTTAGAATAATGATGAAGAAAAGAACAGTGTAAAGAACTAAAACCCTATTACTGATACAAGATAAACTATCCATGGTGATAATGACCAACTTGAGGGTGAAAACTTTAAGATGAAGAAAAATCTCCGGAAGGAAAAAACTATCAGCATAGTGTATTGATTTTATGAATGTGATGGACTAACTTGAATGTGATCATAAAACGTCCTTATAACAGGTCGGACAGGACCATCTTTTGCATCTGGCAGCATCATTTGCTTGATCTTTGCCACCTTATGAGGAAAAATGGCTTGTTAGTCAGATTCCATATTGATTGAAGTATCCCATCGAGTAACTTTAAGGTAAAGCATCAATACCTCAAACAGCTTTATTGACATATCCGCACTTCCAGTGGCAACAAATCTCCCATCAGGACTGAACCTTGCACATCTGGCAACATTCTAGACAAGTTTAAGCCATAAGCCCAGCAAGAAGATACAACAATCAGACCCAACCGTACATAAACAGATGCAGTAAATATGACAATATTATAAATCTATTCCTCCAGTCTAATATATATCTAATATGCATACGGCATACCATAATCGATAGATTCTGTCCAGCAAAACGAGATCATGCTATTGAAAACAAGTATAATACCAAGTACAAGTATGATATCCTTTCAAGAGGGTCATCTTTCTCTCAAAATCTAAGCCTTACCAATGCCAAACTTTAACAAGAGTTTACCAAATTTTCAACGAGCGTCTAACAATATAAAGAAAGTGTTACTTTTAGATTAATCACCTTATGTTCCGAAAGATGTCGAGTCTCATGCTTTGGAAAATTCTTCGATGACCCTTTTGTATCCTGCACAGCGCTGTATGGAGGAACCAAAAAGAAGAAGAAAGAGAAGGTTATTGAAGTTCCTCTGCTTTTCAATTCATAAGTCCTATACATGAAACTCGAATGAAGGACACATTTAAGCCCCTAGATAATCAAGACTTATAGCTCATTTGTAAAAGCTTTACAACCTGAAGTCGATGGCAGAAGTACGAGAGGCCAGTGCAGACCCATATGAAGTGGGCACCGATGAACCAAATTCGTACAATGCAGAAGCAGAATTCCCCCTTAACGTCTCATCTTTCTCCACCGCAAGACCCTGGTATCACCTTAATACAGAAACGCCCAGTAAGCAACCCCAAACTCAAAAGGGCTGAAAGGGGGCAGAGAGAGAGATTCTAGGAAGCAAATTCAGACCTTTGCAACAAGCTCCATAAGTTTATTACGCGGGACATCAACATTCAGAGGCGTCATTGTCGCAGAAGCAGCAGCACTTGCAGCCTAAGTAAAATACCATAGTTTTATAACTTATATAATACTGTTCCCTCAAGTACCAACACAAAATTACTTCCTTTTGATAGCTTCAATAATATTTTTCTCAGCAAATGGAAACAGAGACCAAAATCAAGAAACAAAACCTAAAATGAGTTGACCCAGAAGAGGAAAAGCTTGCCTGGGTGAGGTTGTGGTCGCGAAGATGAGCAACGATGAGAGAATTGAGTTGCCTATAAAGCTTCCCATCTTGTAGGGTCTGTTCGAAGCTGCCTTCCATCTCCTATGAAGCAGCGTCACCACCGCTCTTCAGTTCAGCACCCTCTATTATAACTCCCTGTTCCACTGTACTTTGGCAAATTCCACTGTTCAGAGCCCCATCAGAAGAAATATATGTTTTGTTTTCTTATAGTCATAGGCACAGAGGCATGTTGTGGTTTTAGAAAATTGAAGATGAATACGAAATAGAAAAACGTCTTATTAGAGAAATTGTAAATTCGGGACTATGGGATTTTCATCGTAAATTTACAATTACGATGGTAGGGATGTTCGGAAAATATTCGATCACCCCAAAAAAAATTCGATGAATCCAACATAATTCATATTGGTTTGGGTTGAATTATAAACTTGTTTTGATTGGGTCTGAAATTAAATAAATAAAAATTTTGTAAAATGAGTTTGTTCAAAGTTCACTTAAAATATTTAGATATTACTTTAGGACGACTTTTGAAACAAAATTTTAAATGTTTGTCTTTTTTGTATGAGTAAATGTTTTTATTAAAAAAAAACAAAATTTAAAGTTTTTGAAATAAATTTTATCGCCACATATTTAAACATCGACAAAAGGATTTTACTCAATATTATATAACGTGTAAATAAAATTTTAAGGTATTAGTATTTTTTCTTATACAATACTTTAAATGAGTGACTTGAATAACTCGAAGAAATCCAACTCAAAATATTTATGATGTGGTTGAATTTACGATTTAATAAAAGATTATTTTAGTTGTATAAATTTACAACCCAATAAATTGAATTGGGTCTAAAAAATAACCCGGTCCACGAAGACCCTATATTCTGGAGATTGTTTAGAATTGAAATTTAGGTTTGGAGTGGAGGATCTGTCGGTTCAATTGAATCAGTGCATCTCGGTTCAATCCAGTGTTGGATGAACCGAGACCAAGCACAAGCAGTGGCATTCTCGTTATTTACTTTCAACTCTCGCTCTACCATTGCCAAGCTACGATTTTTTCTGCTTCGGTGCCTCTGCTGCTTCATTCAACGGAGAAAAATGTGACTTCTGCGATGGCAAAAACGAGGGCTACCCATTAATTGTTTTTCCCTTAGATTTGATGAGGTAAGATTTATGCTTCGGAAGCTCATGCTACTTTGCTCTCTCGATTTTCTGGGAAATTTTCTCTGCTTCATTTTGGCATTTGCGAGTTTCTGATTCTCCATTCTGCGTCTGGTTTGTAGTTTGTTAGGATTATTGTTACGCTTCTAAAATCTGAACTCTAGTTAAACGTAAAACTGGTTTAACTTACTGCTATTAAACAACTCATTGTTTGCTAGTTTGAATCATGAATTTGAGTTTTCGACTTCAATTTTTTGCGATGTGATTGTTTGCTAGTAACTTGAGAGTGGCTTGAAGTAATGAAATCAATCGATTTTCACATACAATGAAATTTCAAGAAGTACATAATTCTGATTTCCTACTATTGACAATATAATTGGATCAAAGTTTTGTCATACTCAGCGATAATTGGCACCTAGCTCGAACTGAGAAGTTGTGAGTTCGAAACCTCTCCTCCACACATTGTACTAAAAATTGGATCCAAGTTCTATTGGACCGGATTATACTTTCCTGGGAAATGGAACTGATCTTCTATCCTTCCTGCGGAACTTCAGTTCTAAGATAATACTATAAGGAATATAGGAAGCAAAATGCAAGCTAGTGTTGACAATAGAATTGGATTTGCATTGGCTGAATTGGGCAGGAAGGGGTAAGAATCAGGAAAGGGCATCACACATTCATCACCATCAAAGTAAACTTTTCGAGGGAAAGCCCAACCCTGTTCAAATGTAAATGTTGAATCCTTCTGAAGAATCATCTCTGAGTGAACGTTTCCATTTGGCCCTGCTTGTAGCAGCACATCATTGACATATTTGAAGCCGTAGAACAGAGCTGTGTCATCTGCACGTAAAAAAGAAAGAAAATCCAAGTGAATGACCAAGAAAATATCTATCCAATGAGGTTAATTTTGTAGCCAAGTATGAGCTAATTGTATAGAGTTAAGATACATACTCTCAGAGATGAAGGGGGTGAGTGGCTTGTAGACAAAGCTATAAACCTCCATTGTGTTGTTGAAATTGGGGTGCTGGACGACAAGAGTCCATTGTGAATAGTTAAGTCCATAGTTGAGATTGCTGATAGTTATCTTCACCCGCCAATATCCCTTGTAATTCTCCTTAACATGCCAGTGAACTTGAGTCGGACAGTTATGTCCCGTGCACTGCAGCAATGGAGTAGTATCATTTGTAGGTGCATTCGATCCCGTAACGCTTTGAAGATCTGATTCGCCCCTGCATCAGGCTCCACTCCAAATGATTGCTGAATAGCTATTAACGGACAATTTGAAGAGGGATTAAAAAGGTGTGCATTCTTACAAGATACATTCCATCTTGCGTTGGCAGCCACAAGCACATGCTTTACAAGGAGTGATTTTGGAGTTATAGAAGGATGACATGGAGACACAGCAGGTTGGCGTTTCAGAAGCAAGGAACTGCGAGTAAGTGCATATCACATTCCAAGTCACTGCAAAAAAAAAAAAAAAAAGAAACAAAAGGGAGTTGTATGATGGGAGGCTATTGAAATGTGATAATGTGGAAAAATAACTTGTGGTAGATCTCTCATCCCTTTCAAAATTCTCATGAATTCTCCCTACCTTTGGAGTTCACTAGCAGTAAGTGCACATAAAACATGGATATTTTTTTTATAGTTTGGTGCAGTTATGATATTTACTCAATGCATAAGTTTTTCGACGACCATCAGATGAGTAGAAAGCTGACTTCGGAGCAATCTTTGCCTGGCCACATGTGTAACCTAGCCCTGGACCATACAGGGTGAAATTCTTGGGAAGTTTCACTGTTGTATTTGAACTACCAGAGTGACCAACAGTCAACTGAAAGGAAGACACAGCAGATGAAGGATCTTGTCCCCAAGATGCCAAAACACCACCTTTGCAGCACATAGCGACCTGTTTGTTGTAAGGAACACCTGGAAGCAAGTCAACTACTGTTGGATCTCTTTTGCAACTGTGTGGTATAGTTTCTCCAAATGTGGAACAATCTCCTTGATCAGTAGCTTCAGCTCCTTGTATGGACCAGATGACCTCTTTCTTTGCCCATACCCATCCCAAAGTCCATCCTGGGCTCATGATATGTCGATACATCTGATAGTTGGTTATCGTCACCGTTGCCTGGAAGTATGATGTTATTTGTTGTAGCACATTACTCATCAACCCAACCATATTTCATTAAAAAAAAAAAAAAAAAGAATTGTGTTCACTTTGAGCTCTTGTTTGAATCTGTATTTTATAATTTTTATTCCAAGTTTAGTATTGTTACGATTCAAGATGAAGATGTGAGAGTCCTATTAGGGGTATAGGAGAATATTATTAGTTGTTAGTGAAGGGGTATTATGGTAATTAGATTAGGGTGAGTTTGTTATGAATAGGAGTAGGAGGGAGAGGAGAAGGATATCTTGGAGAATTGTATTTTGGTAAGGAACTTGGGAGAGTTCTTTGGGAGAGAGATAGCCCTCTCGAAAGGCTATCGGTACATGTAATTATTCTTTGGTATTGCATTATAGTGTTCTTGTTAGGTTCTTGTATTCGGGTACCTAACAGAAGAACATGTTCCAATCCCGATTCGATTAAGTTGGAGATAGCTGCTATAGTAGAATATAGTTGCAGCTGCCTATTAAAGAAGAGACTTACCCCGTAACCATCTGCAGTCCAATACATGACATCCCATTTGATTTCAATGTTTCCATTCGGGTCCAGCGAGTCGTAAGCCACTAGAAAAACAAAGAAAAAGATCAGCATGAAAGAAATTGGAGCAAAGGAAGTCTGTTAGTATTATTACATCTTAGTGATAGAGTTCATTAGACTGTAGCTTACCTGCCAGAGAAATCAAAGATATAAAGAAAGTGGCTGATAAAGTTAGGCTTGTGTGTTTATCTGAAACCATTTCCCAAATTTGGAAGAGACTTTATTTACAAACAAATGAGGGGTGGAATTGTATGACCCAAAGGTTCAGAACAAGCCTTATATACTGCATTTTGGGCCATTTACATATGTTCTGTTGCTGATCAGGCAGTTTGAACTCTTCAACTCTATTGCAAACATCACTAAGATGTCGATTACTCATCGAGACTACATCACCGCTCTCAGAAAACTTAACCACAGAGTACTAAACTAAAAAGAGAGGAACACAGACAGAAAAGGAAGAGAAGTCAACCAGAGCTCACCATTTGTTTCACTTTAAATTAACATTTGCTTCAGCAAAGCTAGGAAAAGGAAGGTATATCAAGTTCCAAGTAGTATGTTGATAAAAGACTTTGGTTACAAAACAAAAACAATTTGAACAAGTCCCACTTCACCTTCAATTGAATACATTTGTATGGATATTTAATGTTTGAACCAATTCAAACCATTGCCAAATGTCAATAACTCTGTAGAAATTGGCAAATTGCTTACGTACGAAGGTGATGGAAGAGCATTCTATTAGCTCCATTTGGAACAACATATCATAAATTCACATTATGCCATTAGCCAACCATATGATGCTCAAAAGCCAGATATGTTCTAATTTAGTTCAACTCCACCTTATGAACTTACAAGGTTCTTAGATTAGAAAATATCTAGTTCTCCAGAGATGTTAGAGTTGGCACAATGAGGTTTACTGTATTAGCCTAGTTATGACTTGTGTGAGGAATACGATCTGAAGCCTAAGTTTATATTTGATACATTCCTAGACTAGAAATCATAAAATTTCATTCAAACTTCTCAAGTGAGTCACATATCTATTAAAAGTTTCTCGAAAGTTTGGATTTTTTCTGAGATGATGACTAAAAGGGTGGATCTTAGTTCATAAGAGAGTTGGAGATCTTCAGCTTTGATCCCATCCACCCATTTCCATAGACTTCCTGGAGATGAAAACATCACACATTGCAATTCAAACCAGAAAGTGATAGCTCTTTGGACCTACCAAAAATATTTTGGTAGCCACCTTTTTTTCCCAAATTTTTCCTTTTCAAATATAACAACTATTTTTAGAATATATTAATCATTGTAGATTTCTTTTTGTCATAAACTATTGGTTGGCTTCATAATAAGAATCAATCCATTTCCAACCTTAAAGTAAGATATGTAATTGATGATTTAGCTAAAATATTGACCGAAATAATTAGAGTAATTATTGACATATTGAACAAAAAACTTGCCTAGATTTTTCTTACGAATACCATCAAAATATTAAATAGACCAATACAAACAAATCGTACCTACGAAACTAACTGCACAACTTATTTCATATTTTTTGTGCCATTTACTATTTTAAAAAAAATTGTTGTTTCTTCAATGTTTAACTTCTGCAATACTCTATTTACGTATTTGGTTTGAATTGTAGTACACTAAACTGAAAAAGAAAAAATAAAAAAAAAACTTCTATAATACTATATATATTTGAACAAGTGGAATAGTAAACTATATCTTTTTTTTAATGGTTAAAAATACTATTTTGGTCTTTTTACTTCTGGTTTTTGTTCTTTTTTTTTAAATATTCATTTTGGTTTATGTAATTTCAACTTTAGTTCATTTTAATCGGTATATTTTTAAAAAGTGATTATTTTGATCCATCATAAAAAAATATTTTAAATAAAATCATGGTTACATATCAAGAAATATATTGAATATAATATCGTGTTGAAATTGTGATGGAAAAAAATAGAATTAAAGAATCAAAACAATTACTTTAAAAATATAGAAATCAAAATAAACCATAATTAATTAAAATAATCTTTCAATAATGTAGTTTTACGGGAGGGTGAAGGCATGGACATGTATACAGTATATCCAAGGAAATGACGGTGTGGGCCAACGTTACACTTTTTTTTTTTTTGCCCTTTTTTGGGCACATTGATTCGTGAAGAATGAGACGTTTAATTATGATTTATGAATGGGGTTGCCTTTGCCTAACTTTTTTCTCCACCCTACATGACTTGACGTTTTTTTATATTTCTTTTTTCTTTTTTCCAAAAAAGCCTCACGAGTCTATCACCTTTTTCTTCTTTACTATTTCTTTGGTTTAAATTTTGAATCCATATTTGAATACTTACATCTCATCTGGAACAAGAGGATTATTTTAGTCTCGGTAAGTCGATAACTAAATAAAATTTCAATAGTCTAACATGAACATAATTCAATGTTAATTGCTACATATTCTTTCTCTCGAAGTTCAAAACTCGAACTTTCACATTCTCAATTTGAATACAACCGTTGTTTAATTACCTTAAAACGAGGTCTCAAACTTAATTATGATTGTCTTATACCTAATTTTTTTAGTACTATTATACCTAATTAATATTCGCCAATTCAATACTTTGAAAAGGAAATGGTAGACAGGCAGAGGTACAAAATCTAGCCCTCTCAAACTTTATTATATTTCTAATTCAGTGTAAAGTTTAAATTTTTATTTTAGTTCGGCCCATTTTCATCAACTTCTATATTAGTGACTAGAAAAAGATTTTCCATATTCTAAAATTTTCTAGCCATATTTATATGCCAATCTTCTAACTTCTATTATCTTGCTACTGAGTCATGAAAACTACTTTTTTACCTTTCGTTTGGGCAAAATGTTCATCAATAATAAAACAACTTATTGCAAAAGTTCTTATTGGCCAACATTTTTCCAAAACTGAGGACCATACTTTTAACATTTAACCATTAGTCAAGTTAAAAGCATAAAAGTGAAACCATTCGGTAGAAATTTTTCTAGTACTACAGGAGTATCTATTTGTTGAACGGTAAAATACGACCTACCAAATGACACATTATACAAGATCATATTATGGACCTACCATTCTTGGTTCGGAAGTTAAACTGACGTAGTCGACTTGGGGAACTCAACTAGAGCTATCCTTATATATAAATTGGAGCTCTACTAATAGTCAATGCTAGGGCTTATGACAAACTATCTTACACACATCGTCTGTAACCGTCTAACTAATTCTAGAAACTATGTTAGTCATGGGATCCACCTGCAAATGTCTATAAATAGTCAATCATATTTATAATTTAATTCTTGGTATTGAAATTATAGATTAGAATCATATTAATTTGAAACGTCAGTGTATTTTTCATCTCTTTAAAATCTTCCTCACTAGTCGATCAAATTAGGTAAAAACACTATTTTTTTTATATCCACGCTACAATTTTATATTCGTAAGTATATCTTTTAACATGGATGAATCCCTCATCATTCATCAGATTCTTCAAATGATACTGGTACCGAGAATTTTCCAGCTCAAGGCATAGTAGTGGAAGCGTCGTGGAATTTTTTCATGACAGAAGTGTCAGATGCTCACGTCGTCGGTGCGCCACGTGTACGGCCGCGATGAACAAGATGACTAGCTTTTATTATTCCTGTCCACAGATTTTTTTCATATCGTACGGCAGAGAGCCACATGGATTCGCCACCGGCGGCTTTGAAGGAGTCAAATTGGGACGGTCGGCCACCACCTAACCAGAATTTGTCCTGACACGTCACCTCATTACCCCCATTTAATGCCGATGTCCACGCTGTCCTTTGGGTTTCTGCCACGTGTCCACTTTGAACCCTAAATCCACCTATGATTTCCACTCAAAATTACCTCTTTGTTACACCAATGTTATCAAAAGATAATATAATATAATGTTTCATCAACAATAATCTCTCAGATTAATTTTCCAAACTTCAAATTAAAATACTTGGGTTTTAAAATTTTTATCATATTATATGGTCCGTTGATGCACTTGTCCAGTTTGTTTCCATGTGATCGACACGACTAGGTTTTTTTTTTTTTAAAGGTACCGACACAACTAGTTTTTTCTTATAGCATGTGTGTAATAAATATATTATTTCAATGTTAATTATTAATTTTCGTCCCACATGGACATGTAAGGATTGGCTAGATTTTCTTTTATATTATTTTCTTCCTCCTTTTGATTTATAGTAAAATATTTTACTTGAGCAAAAAATTATTAGAATTTATGGGAGCAAATTAGAGAGAACATTTTTAAAATCTTAATTTTTTTACTTGAGCTTTTAATATAAAACAAACTAAATAGGGGCATTTTCCTTACTCTGTTCGTGTGCTGAACAACAAAGTGAAAGGATAGAACAAAAACTTACCTAATCATCATAGAGTAGAGTATTTTGTGAATTTTCTAGAAGTCAAATTCTTACACTCAGCATTGATAAAAGGACATGTCTATGTAGGACCGGTCAATTTATTATTTCTAGAGAGAGAAAAGAAGATATTAACTTGTTTTGGTGTCTAATTTTAGATGAAGAATTAGCTAGGTTGATCGCATATGCATAATGAAATGGTTGAAAGTATGTGAAATAACAACAACTAGGAGAGCATGATTGCAACTTACTGAAAAACAAAAATGCTAGATATATACTAGTACGATACCTGCCAAGCACACTCCAATACTAAAGTTAGTTTGAGTCCCACGTTTAGTAGAATTTAGTAAAGTATATACCTTTATTAATTTTTATCGTCATATATATAAGGGATGAAATGCTACAGGTCACAAGCTACCAATAGACCACATTAATCTTAAAATTTCAATTCATAATGTACCAATTACTCATAGTTTTTAGTAGTGACTACTATAAGATGTCTAGAAACTAGTTGCATTACATAATTTATATGTACTATGAGTGGCACCAATAACATTAGTACTATGATTAGTAGTACAAGAGTAAAATAGAACAGTAAGACTATACATTAACAAACTTCTACATTAGAACATCAAGTTTCATGCTTGATGTAATATTCTAAAGAAAAATCCGGACCAAATGAACTAAATTGGAAAAGAAACATGCAGCTAGAATGTGAATTATGAGCGTAGAGATGAGATGAAGCATGTAATCTAAAGTTTGAAAACGTATAAAAAACGTATAGCAGAGTTGATGCGTTTACTTCAAAATTGAAAACTGAATAGTCAATAAATTGGACTCTACTGTGTCATTCAGTGTGAACCTGAACTGTTCAAAACACCTCTTCTTCCACGCGCGCCCTCTCCCTCTCTTCTCTTGTGACGACCCACCGATTTCCCTTCAAATATAAACCCCTTCCCCGCAACCCCATTTCATTTCAAGCTCAAATTTTCAAATACCCCTGTTCATTTCTCTTAAAACCGACCCAAATGGCTGATCCCAGAGTTTCTCCGACGCCTCTGCTGAAGGATGAGCTCGATATCGTCATACCCACCATCCGAAACCTCGATTTTCTGGAGATGTGGAGGCCATTTTTCCAGCCTTACCATCTAATCATTGTTCAGGACGGTGACCCTTCGAAGGTCATTAAGGTCCCAGAGGGGTTCGATTACGAGCTCTACAACCGGAATGACATCAATCGGATTCTGGGTCCTAAAGCTTCTTGCATTTCCTTCAAGGATTCTGCCTGCCGCTGCTTCGGCTACATGGTCTCCAAGAAGAAGTATATCTACACCATTGATGATGACTGCTTTGTGAGTCTCTTCCCCTCTTGATTTCGGATCTTTTCGTTTTGTTCTTTCTGTTCTCTCTTTTACCCTGCTCGGGCTTTTGGATCTTATCTGATTTGGGGGGTTTTTTAAATGTTCTCTGTGTAGTAATTGTTAGTCTCGGAAATGTTGGTTTTGCCTTGCCCTGCTTAGGGTGTGTTGGTTAAGTTTTAGATTCTTGGATTTGTGAACTCTCTGCTTAGTTACAACTGCGACATGCATGATATTAGCAGTGTCTTTTGAAGATTTAAATACTTTGAGAAACTCGTCCGTCGGAGATCTATCCAGGAACTCTCCCGACATCATAAATCAATTTAGAATTTTCGAGTGTAGTTGACTAAACATATGGATCTGCTACATAGTAGGCAAGCAAGTGGTCTCGGATTGCTAGAGCTGGAATTCTGTCAGTTCTATCTGATCTATGATCTACAAGGTCTGGATTTGTGGATCCATGTGTAGATTTGTTAGTTCTTCTATACGGGGTGTTAATGTTGAAAAGAAAGTCTGTTTCATATAAATGGTGTCGGGTTTTAAACAGTTCTTCTATTTCCTGGATCATTCCCAATGGATCTGAGGTTTATTCTTGGTTTTGGTCTGCAGGTTGCAAAAGATCCATCCGGCAAGAACATCAATGCACTTGAGCAGCACATTAAGAACCTTCTTTCCCCGGCTACACCGCACTTCTTCAACACCTTGTACGACCCCTATCGCGAGGGGGCAGACTTCGTCCGTGGATATCCGTTTAGTCTCCGTGAGGGTGTCCCGACCGCAGTGTCCCATGGCCTGTGGCTCAACATCCCGGATTATGATGCACCCACCCAGCTTGTTAAGCCTCTTGAGAGAAATACAAGGTATAAATTTCTTGCATCACACTAGAGTTCAGCATTTACTTACCCAATTATCATAAGTTGATTGGTTAGCTGTGCCATAGGTATGTAGATGCAGTCTTGACAATTCCAAAGCCAACCCTCTTCCCCATGTGTGGTATGAATCTGGCATTTGACCGCGAGCTGATCGGGCCAGCGATGTATTTCGGTCTCATGGGTGATGGTCAACCCATTGGACGCTACGACGATATGTGGGCTGGCTGGTGCATGAAGGTACATTGTCATCCTTTAACCAGATGCTTATTTCGATCATTTCCATTCTTGTTTCCCATGTCTTGCAATACCCCAATCGAAGCTGATCATACTTATTTCGGCCGTTGGATTACTAGGTTATATGCGACCATCTAGGGTTTGGAGTGAAGACGGGATTGCCCTACATTTGGCACAGCAAAGCAAGCAACCCATTTGTGAACCTGAAGAAGGAATACAAGGGAATCTATTGGCAAGAAGAACTGATTCCATTTTTCCAAGCTGTTAAGCTCCCAAAGGAATGCACCACCGTGCAGGAATGCTACATTGAACTCTCCAAGCAAGTTAAAGCAAAACTCAATGGTGTCGATGAATACTTCGGCAAGCTTGCCGATGCCATGGTCACTTGGATTGAAGCATGGGACGAGCTGAACCCATCAGGCGGTAACAGTAAGGCTGCCAATCTGCCAAATGGTGCCTAGGACGGAGTAGCTCCCCAATTCGAGTTATCGATACATCTCGGCAGGTTTCACCATCGTTACCAGGCTTAGCATGCATTTGTTTCAAAACTGAGAGTATTGGTGTAGAAGTATGGTAGAGAATGTAGTAAAATTCAGTTGTCAGTATGAGCCTAGCCACAGTAAAAGAAAATGATTTCATATTTATATCTTTTAATTTGATGAGCATTAGCTATATTTCAAACTGGGATTGTTGCTGGGAGATTCAAATGATTATTTAATTTTGTTGAAGAAATTTGGTTTATTTTGTTGGGTTTTCCTTTGATTGGAATTGGAATTTTCATCTTTGGATTTTGAAATGGTAAAAAAAAGTGCATGTATAATCTACCCCACCAATACCAGGCCTTCATTTCATTTTATGAACTCGGTTTGGTGGAAATGATGAATTTAAAATTGGGGTGGATGTCATGATTAATTGAGATTCCCTTTTTCAAATTCGAACTGAAATTATTAACATCCAGCTGTTAGTGTTCTGAAGATTATTGGAATTTTTTAAATGGGCTTGTCTTGTTTCGATTATTGGATTTTTTTTTCCTTGTTCTATTTTCATCTTTTTTTCAAAATATAAATAAAAATATTATTTATAATTCTTGACTTATAAAATGCAGATAAACTTTTTAAAAGAAAAAATTAAATATTCAATTTAAAAATTAATTTTTATATAAAATTTTTCTTTTTTTAATTTAAACTTTCAAATACCAAGAAACGTTTCTACATTTTTTAGTACATGTTTCTATTTATTTTTTAATAAAAAAGAAAAAATTAGTTATCAAAGTTCTATCTTTTATTTTTATTTATTTATTTATTTTTGTTAGAAAATAAGAAGAAGCAAGAATATTACCAAATAAATCTGGCCATATTCTTGGTGGGCATGAAATCGAAAAAATTCAAAAATTGAACCGCGCATGCTCCTATCCTTTTCGACTTTGATTCCTGCAGTTGCATTTCGTACAGGGTGGAGGAGACAACTCAAGAAGCAAACCCCGCAAAAAATTTCTTCAAAACAGAGAAAAATCCAAGTCCTCCCTAAAAATCTTTAGCCATACCTTGAAATTTGATTGCTCTTCCCAAATAGACTGGATGAAACTAGTTTTAAGATTAAAAATATATATATACTGTAGGCATATGCAATGAGAATCTTAAATAGCACAAATGTCTGCATATTAATCAAAGGGCAGATCCCTGAGAACTACAATAACTGTGTGAACTAATTTTACAACGAAAATTTTCGGGATTCGACTAGTTAGTCACAAAATAAAAGCATCGATATTATGGCAACAGCAACAGAAGACAAGGTTAGAGGTACGAGATAGGAAGATTATACAATTTATTCTCTCCTTGACTAACAAAATGTACCATTGACTTGGGTGTGATGGGTTCACCTCCTTGCTAGACCCTCACGTCGTCGTCTCCTATGCAGAGTCCTGTTTCAGAAGACACGTTCGGTTTCAGTCAAAACTATAAACAATCTAACTCGATATGAAATCTAACAGGAAATCTTGCCCAGCCATGAACAAGAGCCTAATTCATGTTTGTAAAGAGAAGGGTGGTAGGTCTTTCACTCGTTCTTTTAGTCATTAGATGAGTGAAATGAAAGGACTATCAGAAGTTCCTTCTAGGAAAGCATATAATAGAAGTACGTCATCTCACGACTCATTATAGATAAGATGCAATATGTATGAAATTTGATCTCAAGTTTAGACCAACATAGAGGTAACTTAATAACTTTAATGACAGCTCACTCTGGCGGGCCGGTCTGACCCGATTCTTGTTATGAATTATGATACTGAACCTAAAGACAGAATCTACACTTCTACAGAACATTTGATCACTTACAAAGTCTCCATGAACCTGAGTTGGTCATAAAGAAACACTGTCATAACATAATAGGCAAAAGCAAACATGACAACATAGAATTAGCAATGGTGATCTTAGTAGATTTGTTGGGGTATTCTCCCCCCAGCACTATTGTGATGAAACTTCTGTTCTTGTCTAGCTAAAAAGGGAAGTCTACTCATTAGATTACTTTTAATTTGGACTCCTACTTTATTGATCTCACTGGTCTTGACAGCACAAAGAACAAGGTAGTAAATGCCAGTATACTTTCCTGATGATACCTTGTGACTGCCATTGTACTTGTCAATGCTTGAACCGACAAAGGAGAACCCAAAACCGAACGAGTATTATCAAAAAGCAACTATCGCATTTCAACAAGAAAAAGAAAAGACAAAGATTGGGGCCTTAGAGATCCTATGTCCCTATTTAAGCCAGAAAAAGGAACTAAAAAGGTTGATAGTGAAGATGGTCAAGAAGTTCCTATCTTCTCTTTTAAGTGCTCAGCTTTGTCTTCAGGTGATATAGAAAATGAAAATCTATTCTATTCCACAGAGAGCAAGTTTTGGCAGAATACTTAACTAAATGAAAAAAGTATAACTTTCTTCTTTATTTACCTGCATGGAATGCCTTTGATGTTCCACTCGCTGGAGCTGTGAAGAAAGTTGTAGCAAGTCAATAGTTGGAGTGCGTTCATAGGAAAGATTAGCCTTGGGTAAATCTGATCTATGGAGAACCCCATCAGGGATCTGAAAGGTGACAGTTCGATCGCTACTTTCACACGTCAGTATAGGACCCACTTGAGCTTCACTCATCCCCGAGGCGAACTTACTCGAAATCCCAGTTGAAGAAGCCTGTGAGCTCACTCCCATGAGCTTTTCGGAGAGTTCACTCATGCTGTAATTCGATTGACTCTCGGACATAATGAAAGCACGAGGCATGTGAACGATGGATGGATGGCTCGATGCACTTTGTGATTGAGATGACAGAAGAGAGAGAGCACAACCAGAGTCCGGAATTCCAGAAAGTCCTTGGATGGTTGATGCTGCATCATAAACTCCAAAGTCTTCGCTTGCTAAGGTAGTGTGGTGGAACAAAGGATGTGTGTCGATATGGGGGCCTCCCACATTTTGCGAATATTGGCAAGTTGTTTCGCTTGACATGTTTCCTGTAGGTGCTGTACTAGTTCCATTATCTTGAAAAGGAGGAATCTGTACTTCAAAATCATAGGGAAGTAAGGGAGATTTCATATTCAGATGCCTGTTGTTCAGTGAAGTTGCAGACATAGAATTATAATCATTCTTGCCCTCAACTTTTACACGCTTACTCCAATCATTTGTTCCAAACTTCTCTGGATAATAAAGACCACTAGACAGTATATCTTTGCAGATAAATGAGGTTGCAGTAAATGTTTTATCCTGAAATCTGCTGTCTCCAATACCTGAAATTTTCAATGATGCGGTGAATATTAACAATGTTACGTGACTAGATAACAGCATGGGCCAAAGACAAGGCCATAGGATTCACTGTACTGAAACATAAAAGAATTCAATATGCTTAGTGCTTTCAAGAAGATGAGACTAAAAGTAGCGAGTGGTCACTGAGAGAAACTAATATATGTATTTAGATAAAGCCTAGATATTGTGGTTAACAAATATAGTGAATCGATAAAGATTTTCAAAGATACTGTAAACAACATAATCAGATTCAAAGGTACACCTAGAATATCAAAACAAATAGATGAAACACGTCAACTAGATGTTGAAAGCATTAAAACAGCAAGGCAATTAAGAAGCACATGTTCCTGATGGAAGGCTGTCAGGAATCTTTGACTTTGAATCTCTCTAAAACTTTTGGTTGGGAAATAAATTAAAGCTGTGCAGTTCTCATTTTTTTTTCTCAGGGAAAACCTAAAAAGATAAGTCATAGCAGATATGTGGATGACTTAGTCAACTTTTTGAGGCTTAACCCAAATGAAATGCAAGCTGCAGCCAAGAATCCTGAAGAGAAGCAAAATGGTTAGTTTGTCAGCTTTCAACGTTTGCATTGAAATCATGTTTGGGATTGATTTCAAATTGATGAAAAACTATATGGCAATATAAAGCTTATTCAAGAAGAACTCTAATACCAACTGGGGTATGAATGGAGGGAATGGACAAACAAAAGGCAGGAAATTTTAGAAACCAAGAAACAACTCAAAGGATGATTATCATCATCACCCAAGTAGTTAAAAGAAAGGATTGAGCACTTGAATGACTCATTACTCTAGCATTCACCAAATGGATGCATGATTCGTAAGATAAAGAATCTTGAAGAGTTGCCCATCTTTTTCCGAGTTCAATCTTGTCAGCCCAATAAGGTATTAAATTGATATAGGATAAAGTTTTATTTCTGTTCCAAATTCCATTTTAAGCTAGAACTCTGAGCTTGTTAAATTCATCAGTAATAGGACATGTATTAATTCTTTTATCCACCAACCTTAAGCGTCTGGAAATTAGTAATCATATGGTATTTGACTACTGCAAATATGCCATGAGATGAGTACCCATGTATCCAAGAATTAAAAAAAAAAAGCTTGATTAAAAATTTTCTAGGTGTGGTATCAGATGTGATTCGGTTCGGTTCACACCCATGTGAACATAAAAGCAAATGTTAGTAAAACCTCATATACAAAAAATTCATCTTCCAAACCAGACTTAAACAAAGTTCAATTAAACAGCTGTAACACTTCACTTTCACTTTTTAAATGTGGTTGTTGGCTCGAATGATCCAAATGAAGCAAAAAACAAATAACGACAGTTAGAACAGAACTATCATAATTTTACTTCACTCCCTCCTTCCCACCAAAAAGGGGGAATAATGCATGAGAGGGTTTTAAAAAATAGGTTCACAAGAAGGGATAAAATGAGTGGTCCACATCCGACAAATAAAAAAGTTCATAATTCGTCAATACCAAGTAGGCATAATCTTGAAGTTTAATTGTCCTCTAAAGATGGAAATGATATTGGGAAGCTTCACCTACTGAGATTTAATATTAGTAAAAGCAGTAAATAAAAAATAAAAAAGGAGAATTTTGAAGGGCTTCACAATGATCAAACCTACCCTCTCAAGATTAAAAAAAATAACAAGTACAAAAAAGAAAAAGAAAAAGAAAATCCATGTTCATATGACTAAGTTGTGTATTGGTCCTAGAAAGAGACAGTGAGATAGAAAGATGGAGAGTTTAAGGATATGGAGAAATGAAATGACATATGCTGTAATACCATTATATGGTTGAAGCAACCTCTGAGCCCTTCCCGAGTGAAAACTGACTTGAGGCTTTCTTCGGCGTTCATTATGGCCTGCAAGACGCTTACGACAGCTGCGTTTACCATCATCAAATTCCGCAAGCAAATGAAACCTGGAGGTAAAAACAAGTCCTTAATCACGAAGGGATCTTAATAATAATACATAAATGATAAAACAAGGTGACGGATCAGGGTAACATATGGCTTAGTTGATGATAGACCCATCATAATGAGGAAAAAGCAATATCAACTATTCATAGTTGAATTAAAGATAAGAAAAGTGCACACTCCCCTCTTATGATTTCACAAAAAGACCAAAACGGCTGTTGGCTGTTAAGAACAGAATCATGATTTGAGGTGATTCCATGGGAGAGGTTCTGTGTAAGTATAGTTTTGTGGTGCTTTTGATAGCACTATTCATCAGTTGGAAAAACAATACAGAGAAAATGAGTGAAAATATAACCAACCTGCTACATTGCTGACAAAACCTCTGTTCTATGCCATTTACAATAACTTTTGCAGTCTTAGAATGAACGTCACAAACTTTATGCCTCTTGTGGTAGTCTTTAGAGGAGCTGAGATCCTTGTTACAGCCATAAACTTGGCAAAACGCAGTCTGGAAATTCACCCCTTGAGATCGCATTTTCTTCTGAGAAGTTGATGACTCAGTGGAAGACGAAATTGCAGCCCTCTTCGTGTATTTGGAACTGTGGGCATCCCCTTGATCAATAAATCTGCCAAGCTTCAAATCAATAAAAGATGAATCTCGATTGTTAGAGTCCACAATGGAGCCTGAGAGTTTTGAAGTGGACTCCTCTTCTCCAAGAAGTGGATGCGAGGTGGGCAAAACGAGATTCAAGTTTCTCCCTCCACCAATTTTGGTATTCAGGACATCACTGACAGAATCATCAGGTAATTGTTTCCCAACCATTTGAGGAAATTCCAGTTCCCCAAAGCTCTGATTCTCCACATGCTGAGCACCTGAGAGAAGCATGTTGTCCCCAAAGTTACATGGGTTCTTGAATTCCCAACCCAACAAAGAATATTTACTCCTCAGAGGTGAATTAGTGGTTGAATTTATCTCATCGGACAAAAATCCCTTTCCTTGAGAACCATAGTTCCACGACTCCATTATACAGCAAGATCAAAGCCTATGAACCTTCAAAACAAACCCACCTGAAAAAACAGGCCAAACACCATCTTCTTTCAAGTGAACTTCTTAAACCCAATAAACCCAAATCGTAAAAAGGGTTTTCAAATCATTAACAAACAGAATCTAGGTCACATTTATAACCATCAAAGTAGTCCGCATAATCCCCAGATGCTTCCCCCCTCCCCCCAGAAGCATAAATAGCAAGAAAGCCACAAAATTATCTTCCCCAATCAACCATCGGTTTGAAGCAATCAATCAATTGGGTGCAAAAGAGAAACCCATCATGGAGAATCCAGATACAGACAACTGAAGTGCACAAGACGACAAAAGAATGTCTGAATTTCACGTGAATGGAAGAGCTCGAGAGACAAGCAAGAATGCTCGGCTTAGTGAAGGAAGGAATGAAGTTAGAGGAGCTGCAGTGAGAGATAGAAATTGAAAGAATGGCTCAGGATTCAAGTGAAAAAAAGAAACAAAAAAAGGAAAAAAGCTGGGAAACGGAGTTAAAGTTGCCCCCAATGATCGGAGAAACGGAGAGAAATAGGGGCGCGGTGGGTTTGCAGAGTGAGGAGACCTACTTTAACTTTAAGAGCGAACAAAAACATTGTTAATATACTTTGGTACAAAATTGGCAGAGGTAGAAAAATCAAAAAGTGGGACTGAAACTTGCCAAATCCTTGGGGGAGTGCTGAACAAACAGAGGGGATTAGAATAATGAACCGCCAATGCCATTCAGACTTTTAAAGTTACTTTCTTTTTCTTTCAAATGTGCAGATATTTCTTTTGGTCACTGACCCTTTCTCCATCCCCACACCATATTCTTCATCAATATGAAAAAGATGGTATTTTTTTTGCCAATCTAATCTCTGACCATTAAATGAGAGCATGATCAATATTGAACAAAGTCTAATTATGACCTGCCCACATCCATAGGAAAAAGAGAGGGAAAAGAAAAAAAAAAAACAAAAACTAGGTGCCTAACTGAGTTGCTTTTGAGAATTGACTATTGTTTTAGGATAAATATGAAATTATGGCATGATAATTCCTTTCAGCCAATTATGTACCATGCATTTGTATACCACATGTATATTCTTTAAAAATTATGTAGATTGCAACTTAGAGTACGAAAAACGAAATAAATAGACATATCAATAAGACATCAAGAACACCAACAAAAAAGATCGAACATTCAATCCGTTTGAAATTTTAATTTTTTGTCCCAAAAATAAATCTTATTAAATTATTTATTTCTTATTTCATAGAAAAATCTACAACTTCTAAAAATGGAGATTTTTGTTGAAATACAAAGTCAAGATAACATGAATTAAGAAAGTTGTAAACAAAAATTTGAGTTATAAATATATATTTAGATTGTGCAAACTTCTCCTCTAATAAATTTGTTGTTTGTTTCCATATCAAAATTAATTTACAAGTTAGCACAAGGATGATATATGTGTTACTCAACTTCTAACACTGTTGTTTATAAATAGAAATTCATTATTCTTTTAGAGTAAGCTCTTTTGCTCTAAAACCTTACTTTTCGTTATCAATCCAAATTTTTGTGTATTAGTTATTGATCTTGACCGTTGAAATGACTTTGATGAAGCATAACTGGTGTCAATGTTGGATAATTTTTCTTGTTTGCAAGTGAAATTTTACTTTGGTGATACCGCTGCCACATCTTCTAAAACAAATAATACAGCGAAAGAGAATAATTTGTAGATAGTATTCCAATATCCTAATTATTTGTACTATTGCATTTGTCACTACACTATTTTGTTGCATGTGTCTTGTAGTTAGTTTATTGTCTTAGTTTTGATAGGGATGTTTTTTTTAAGATTCAATTTTTCTATTCCATAAAGTTGCGGTTTCCCAATATAAATAATCTAATAGATCATCTTATTTTGAATGTCTTAACAACACGAACACGTACCCGTTCTAATTGAAACCACAAAATTGGAAAATATAAAGGGAAAAAAATGCAATGTTAGCATCAATATGATATTATTGAAGACACATGCTATTAAATAAAGTCTCAACAACCTTTTGGAAAAATTGAGGCACTATTCATGCATGTGCAAGTCATGTGCAACACATCACCATAAGAAAGTGTAAATTCAAAAGGCAATCCTCCATCACAAAGAGATCAAAGCAAACAAAAAAAAAGTAATAATAAATAAATAAGGAAAGAAAAAGCAAGACTTTGAAAGCAAAATCAACGCTGTAGAAAAGCATGCAATTGCATTCATCACCAACATTAAAGAGTTGACCAAACCAGTTATTTTGGAATGAGAAGAGATAGACGACTCATTTTAATCAGGAGTGATTATCATCCAAAACTTAAAAAGCGAATTATATTAATAATAATTAATATCACGCCTCAAACAAATCTCACATCTCTTTTTGTTTCTAATTAAAAAAAAAAGAAATTTAGAAGATCGTAGTGTTGGTGTCAATATTTCATGAATCAATGCACGATTCATCTGAACTATCATAAATCGGTCTAGCAACCGTTAGACCAATGAAAAAGATGGGAGAAATAGTAGTTAGTTATCTATTACGATCAAATTTTCTTGAACGCTTACAGATATTAAAATAATCGTATGATTTTTTTTTTTTTTGGGAATGTGTATGGACGAGAAGACAAGCACCCACTACTTAGAAACTTCAATCTCCATCCATGCTTTCACATCCAAAATGGCACTTGGCAAGTTCCTGCCATGGTGTGTTATTGGGCATGGGCTCCATCAATTAGCATCCTCTCATCTTGGTGGGGGTCACTGGTCAACATCCTTTGATTGGAAAATGGGCCAATCAGCCAACAGGAACTTTCCCTCTAGTGGATTCATCTAAGCCCTCCATCCTTTTTTCCTTTTCTTGAATCATTATATTGATAATAATGGACAAAACTCAACTCTTTAACCACGAAATTGCACTCAAACATATAGTAGAATCCAATGAGAAAAAGACATGTAAAAGAAGAATGAACACTCGGACGTTCAGGTTAGTAATTCAAATTGAAATTCATGGGTACCTATAAGTCTGTTTATCCAAGATATATATAGGCGGTCAATAACTCGATGTTAACCGTCTACGATGCCCTCTCCAAAGGTCATGGGACAGGAAGTGGAGTGGTGGGAAGTGGGTTGTTAGAGTGCTGCTTCCACACGAGATAGTATTAACTTTTGTTTAGTTGATTAATCCAGGTTTAATATGGTTAATCAAGCTTTCAGTGATAGAGCCCAAAAAAGTAAGGAGTGTGGAAATTTGACATGATCTTGTAGTTCTTGGGGGAAAAAAGAGAACTTTTTTCTTAATTTTTAGGCATAATGTGGACAAAGCATTTTGTTGTTGGTGTGTAATTATAGATATCCATATGACAAACAAAGCCTCATGGTGTCCAACTCAAGTGCCAGCCACCTTTCCCAATAGAAAAAAGTTCTGTCTTTTAGCCAACCACTGGTGGGCCATCCCCATCTGGTCCCACAGGGCATTTAATTTTTTCTTCTTTCTTTTTCTTTTTTCCATTTGCATTATTCAAAATTGATTATAAGGGAAGAGAGTTCAATCAAAATCATTGTTGTTTTTTGCAGTTAGGAATCTAATTAATGGTCCTAATTAAACAAACAAAATCCTCACCTTCATGATTGAATATCCCAAGCTAAGATTATCCAATATCTTCCGCTTTATTTATATTTTCTTTCTCTTTTTAGTTAACGATTGGGTTGTTCAACCAACTTCTTACGTAAATACATATATTAGTAATATTTTTAATGCACAAACGAGATGAATTAAGTTTTTAATCTAATGTACATAAAAGTAAAAATAGACTCATCAATTGGTTGGTGTGTAATGCAACTTTTTCTTTTTATGGAATTGAAATATTTTAAAAAAAAAAACTGTTAAAGTTTGTATATCAATTAAACTTTATGAGTTGAGTTGTTGGTAGGATGGAAATTTCTTTTTTCTTCCCTCAAATTTTGGCCATGTTTTTTCTTTTTTAATATTAAAGAAAAGAACCAAGAAACTACAATTGGATTCTGACATGGGTAAGGTCTCTCAATTTCTGCAGTTCTGAAATGTTGGGGCAAAGTTGGAAGGAGAATTGCCTCTCCTTAAATGGACCGAAAATCCAATAATATTACATTACCATTTTTTTGTGTGTGATCTATATACGTTTCTATCATGGGTTTTGTTTTTATAATTTTTTTTATTGTACCATTTTTTTTTGGGTGTGATCTATATATATTTTTAAAACCAACGAAATAAAGATTTTTTATTTTTTTTCCTAATAACATAAATAAAAGCATTATTTTATCATTATTGATTTATAAAAATACATAATAAATATTAAACACTGAATATAATCTCATATTTAATTTAAAAATAAAATCATATACAAAAATTATGAAAAACAAGAAATGTTTTTTTTAATAAAAAAAAAAGTTATCAAACACATTTTTACCTTTATTTATTAGGCCAGTAAAAACAATAAACAATTCTAATGAAATCTTTTATTTTAGTTCTGCCTCATGCCATCATAGAAGAAGGTAAAATATCTGCTTCAATACTAAGTCGCAACATTGGGTTTGTTTGAAAATGACATTAAACAACATTACACTTTCAATTTTTCAAAACCAAAGTCCTTTTTTTTTTCTAATACTAAAAATTTGTCTACATACTGTATTTTTCAAAAAGTTTTTGAATGAGTTAAAAAAAAAACACACACGCACACACATCCAATGGGCACAAGATCAACACTTTCTTTAAACCTTGAATTTTGGCATTTAGGATAAGGATAGAAAATATGTTTCCATATAATTTTAAAGTATGATTCACAACAAAAATTGAGGTTAGTTACCTTTTTTGATATAGAGAAAGATAAGAAATTATAGTATATGATGATGTATAATTGAAGTGATTTTTCTTAGTTATAAGGGGCAAAAAGGAAAAAAAAATGAAAATGATGGTAACTTTATAGATTTGGAAAGGTTTGGAATTACCCACTCCATGAGGTGTATTATCTCCCATCCCCTTTTTGATTTAACATCAACTTGAAAAGGAAGTTTTACTATTTTACTTTTACTTTTACTTTTAGGCATTCCAAAGTTACTCCCAATCACTCATTCCTTCATTTTTATTTGTATGTAAAATTCTTATCCAAGGTTTTTTTTTTTTTTTTTTGGTGTGAGGAGAGGGAGCATGCTTTCTCTTTGATCTTTTTTTTTCCTTTCTTTTTTCTTTATTTCAAAATGATGTCCACTACCTACTCCATTGAGAGGTCACTCTCAAAGTGGAGAATTTCAAAGCAAACTTGGTTGGGGGATTGGAAGAGTGAAAGTTTTGATCAAGATCTCAAAGTGATATTGGAAATATTTATAGGAGAAATGAATGGTAGGAAAAGAAATCCAACTAAAAAAATTTATTTCGACCCTACAATCATTCACTATCTCATCAAATCATCGATGTCACGCTACACGAAGAGTTGATTGGTGCAATTTTGGCTTTGGGTTTTTTGATTGGTATAGTTTGGCCTATGTCTATGGCTTTAGAAGCCATGGTTTTAAATTTTTTTAAATTCTAAAATATTATCATGTAGTTTTAGAAGCTTTTAAAATATTCTAATTAATAAAGGATTATGACAAATTTAATGATGGCTTGTCATTAACTAAATTTTTGTTTTGTTTTTTTTTTTTTTTTACCGTATGTTTAAAACTCACTCTTAAGTACCATTAAGGATATTTTCATATTTATTGAAATATCAAAAAATTAGCAATTCAATTACGCAATTTGTACGGGGACTGGATAATTCTGCCCGTAAATGGGCCTTACTACAGCTTCCCTTGACCCAATTATGTCATGGGCTTGGTCCATTTGGGCCTCTTGGGCCGAACAACCCACAACTTGCAATTCTATTCATTGCAATGGCATGGCCATGCTTTTTTTTTTATTTTTTTTATTTTAATAATCTAGTACTCCTTTGAAAAGTGCTTTACTTCTAGAAACTTTAATCGTTATCCAATCACATGTACGCACGAAAAAAAAACACTTTTTGTTTAAAAACAATTTAAATGCTATGTACTCTTGAAATTTCATCCGATTCTAATCCCAACGATTTTCTATCAATTATTAACGAGTATGATATAAAATGTAATTAAAAATCATCTTAGGTGGATTAACCTATGACTTAAAGTACATAGATAATGAAATTAACGAAATTGTATAATTATATAACCTATGTTTTTAACACCATTTTATTAAAAAGTGGCATGGGTAGCCTATGGACATAGATTCTCAATATTCTTTTAGAAGTCAACCTATGCTTAACAACTTTACAAAGTGGGTAAGATTTATTAGCAGGCAGGGCAGGGTACCCTAAAAGGGGCACCATGTGCCCATAAATCAAGAGGGTAGAGAGAGAAATTTGGCATCATACATATTAACAAAAAAGGAAAAAGAAAAAGAAAAAGAAAAAGAAAATTATCTCTCTCTCTCTCTCTCTCTAACATGCCCTTGCCAGTGGCATGAGAGAAGACAGTACAATCTCTCTTGGCATCATCACATGACCTGCAACGATCCTAATTTTCCAGATGAAAATTGATGGGATGTCCATATGGAAAAAAAAAACTTTATATTATATAGAGAGAGAAAGCTAGAGAGAGAGAGGTTAATCGGGAATAGTACTCTCACTCACGTGCTGTGGGATCCCCAACTTATAAATCATACTTCAACAAAAACTATCAAATCAATTTAATTGTACAAATACAGGTCCCATTCATCAATATGGCATCCAAAAAAGTGTACATAATTTGTGTGGTTCATAGTTTTTATATGTAAAGTTTGAATTTATGAAATTTGGGTTATAAGAAATATGAGTTTATATGTAATCTAGTACACAAACATGAATTCGTATGAGGTATAAGTATGGATTTGTTAAAGTTAATATATAGTAAAAATGTAAATTTCATAGGTACTTTTCAACATTTTATCATCTACAGTTATTATATTGAAATCAAAGTAAGGATGGGGAACTTATTTAAACTAAAAAGAGACAATAATGAATTTACATTATATTATAGATGAGTGAAAGATGAAAATAATTTAAGAAAGAAATGTATTTTAAGGCGAGAAAATGGAGCCCTAGTTTTGTCTTTTCATTACCAATGATTCAATTCCTTTTAGCATTTAATATTAGGTCACTTCTCACTTCATATATTTCAAATCAATTAGATATCTTCTGAAGCTAATATTCAGAACTCATGGTTATAGATATGGAAGATGATTTGACTCTTTATATGGACTATCACAAGAGATTCTTATTTTTATTTTAGTTTCAGTGTTTATTTTATATTTAATGAGAGGGATGAGTTTTATTGATCTCTTTTATTTAATAAAAGTAAATCAAGTTAGAAAGCACGATTTTTTTTCCCTATAGATAACTCATTGAATGCAAATTTCTAAAACCAGAGAAAAAGGGTTTATCTTAGGAATAATTAGTGCTCAATTTCATATGTGATAATTGGATTTGGCTAAGATCTCTTCTTTTTTTAGGAATATATTATGGTGTTGTAGAAAAGTTTTCATATTTTCTTAATTGAACCAAAGAACATTAATTTTGATTGAATGATCTTATTCGACAAATAAATAAATAAAAAGTTGTTATTTCCATATAAAAAGTAGGGTATGGTTTATGATTTATGATCGGAGGCATGCATAAATGTAGCAGACCTACGCATATTTAATTTTCACTTCCATTGAGCCATAAATGATGTCTAAAGTTCAGTAAATGAACCTTTACAAGTTGAGTACCGGCCACAATTTATCTTTAACCCTATCTTAGGTTTAGGGATTTAGACTCATGATTTTAATAAATTTAAATATAATATGAAATTGAGAAAATTCATTATAGGTGGCTCATTAATCTAAAAGATTAGGGTTAATTAAGGGATAATAAGTTAAAAAAAATGATTACATCAGTGTACATATTATTATTATTATTCATTTTAGATTAAACTTTTAATGAGAATAGAGAGTTGTTTTTTAAATGAAGAGAAACCCTAGAAAGGACAAAAGGGAAATCAAATCAAAACTGGTTAAAATTACCAGATCAGAAATGCAAGCGTATGGAGGGATCGACACGTGTAAAATCCAAAAGTAAGTAACTTTTTTAAGGTTAGCATTAACGACCAGCAGACATTGAAATGTAACCTAGAAAAGAACAGTGTACAAAACCAATGCAATGCCCTACAAATTAATTCATTATTACAACAATCCTAACACAACAAAAACCACTCAATTAAAAACCCACTTTCCTTTATTCATTCGCTTTCAAATGTCAGTTTAATTTAATTTGGAATGTGATAAAATACATTAAAAAAACAAAAATCTAAAGCTAAACATAGTTCAATGATCAATGATCGAGGGTGTGTTTGATTCTATTTTCATTCTATCATGTCTGATAAATTGAAATTTTGATTTTAAGAAAACATAAAATTACTTAAAATTGATTTTTAAAATATAATTTCGATAATGATTTTGAAAAATCAATTATTCTTAAATCTGTTTTTTGAAAATCACTTCTACCCTCACTTCCAAACCCATCCTAAGACATCTCTACTTCTAACCACAAAACCGTCCGAGAAAAAGTTAATTTTTATTATTACTCTTAAAAGGTTATTTTTAATTTTTTTTTTCTATTTCCCTGTGTGATGGCATATATCCTTTTATTTGATACTTTTAAGGGCCAAAATTGAGATCTGGTTGGGGAAAGTTTGGTGAGGTTGTTTGCCAAGACTAGAAAGTGAGAGAGAATATGGGGAGAGGGAGAGTAGAGCTGAAGAGAATTGAGAACAAAATAAACAGGCAGGTCACATTTGCCAAGAGGAGAAATGGGTTGCTCAAGAAAGCTTATGAACTCTCAATTCTCTGTGATGCTGAGGTTGCTCTTATCATCTTCTCTAACCGTGGCAAGCTCTTTGAGTTCTCTAGCTCCTCTAGGTATTTCTTAAATTTTCTCCTCAATTTCTCCCAATATAATTCTCACTTCAGATCTCTCTCTCGCCCGATCCCGATCGTAGTTTTACATACGGCAGGGCCGAGAAGAAAGGAAAAGAAAAAGTAAATATAGAATACTCGAGATTTCATATAGTTTCCTCTCGTTTAGTCTCAAAAGTTTAAGAATTATTGAAAGATTTGTATATAAAATTTTGCATCTTCTCAAGAAAATTCCTGTCTCTCCTCTTGAACCTGATGAGACGGGCCTTTTTAATTTGTGAAAGATCTGTGATTTTTTTTTCCCTTGTTTTCCTCATAATCAAGATTTGATATTTGTCCATTTATTCAAATGAGTCATTTCCTTGTAAACAAGAGATGAGAAGGGCTGAAAAGAAAGCAATGAAACAGTTTAATTTTTGGGACAGGTTTAGACCTAAGAAAATGATCCATCTATTATTCTTAAAAAAAAAAAAAAACTTTTTAGCAAGTTGATTTGTAGGATATTGTGTTTAATTAGGTATGATGGATTATATTATCTGCTGTGTTTGTTGCTTCATGAGTTTCCAAAATGGATTATGGGAGAAGTTAACACAAGAAAAATAATTGAAGAAGTATGGTTTGAGGTTATTAACCAGTTATATGGATGTGGGATTGTGTTATGAATTAATTAAATTAAAAGTGGGAAGATTTTTCAGGAAGGAAAAGGGACAGTACTTGATGGTTTACTGTTATGATTTTGTGGCAGAGAGACGTATGATGTTTGGTTTTTTAGTCACTTGTTTGGCTGCGCAGCTCCACACAGTGAGATCAGCATTAAAAGAAAAATAAGAAAATAACAACAAAATAACTTCTGTTTCTCATCCAAGTTTTCAATTTCTTTTCTTCTCGTTCTTCTACAACGAATTTTGTAATTCTATCAACTTTTTCATATTCTTCAACTTTTCTATTTTATAATGGGTTTCATATTACAATCTCTCTCCCTATCTCTCTCTCTCTTCTTCTTCTTCTGTGTTCTCTTTCAAGTTTTCAACTTTAATATGATATATAGAGGCAGCTGTGGAGCTGGGTTTTTCGGTGTCGCGTGTCTTTGCCTGTTGTGCAATATTTTTCCCTGGTCGAGACCAATATCTTATTCTGTCCATCATTAAATTCTTTAAAAAACGAATTTGTATCCTATAGGTGGTTATGGGGTTATTGAATAATGTAATTTCTCTTCCTTTTAATTTAATCTTTGTTTATTTATGATAATTAGCATGACCAAAACACTCGAGAAATATCGAAGGTGCAATTATGGTGTATGGGAGGCTACTCGCCAAGTAAATGAGAATCGGGTAAGGAGATTTCATTTACATTTTGGACATTAATCATGATGATCACCTGTCTCTATTATTACTACTATCAAGAAATTGACAATTGATTACTTCTTCAAAAAAAATTCTTTCCTTTTTGCATTTCTCAATTTAGTTGTCAAAATGATAATTGAGAAAGATTGGGTTTGGAGTTGAGTATTTCTTAATATATATTTACTCTTTCATGTTACGAACTCATTTCAATTTTCTTAATATCATGTAAGATAATATATATTATCAATTATATAATATTAAAAAAATAATTATACAAAATTTTCATAAATTAATTAAGAATATTTTATATTGAGCTAAATATTTATTTGGTAACTTCTACTATTTTATAAATATATCACTAAACACACTCTAAACAATTTTCTAAATTAGAATTCAATTTTTAAATATACTATGTTTTTTTACTGAGTCTCTTATCTTTAGATTTCTATTTTCTGATCACTAAGTAAACACATATTTGATTTTAACACAAAGAACCGAGAGTAAAATCAATAATAAATGGAGTCCAAAAGTTAGTTGGGAGATAAATATTGAAACCCTAGCAGTTCAACTCAATATGTATTTCAAACATTTCATATGGTAGGACAAGTAAATAATATATGATTTGGCCTTGATGAGACCATGCAGTGTCATAGGATAGATTATTATTGTCTTGACCTGAAATGTTTCAAATGTTTTCATAATTATACTCATAATTAACTTTGTAAAGTGACCAGAAAAAAAGAAGGATATCTCAGATTTGGCATTCAAAAATCTGTCTAATATAATTTCTTCTACCGTCATGTTATGTGTAGAATATTCTTATTTCTTCGTCAATTCTTCAATTTTTTATGTCTCCCATAAACAGTCATACAACTTTGACGAATATCTGAACCTAAAAGCTACAGTTGAATTCCTGCAGCAATCTCAAAGGTAACCATAAAAATTGTTTCCTTATAAAAAGTAGTTTTTGAAAATCTTCAGTGGGTAATATGGAATGAGTTTAAATTCTTTGAAAAATTTGGTTGTAGTAGTTGATTTGAATCAGAGTATTAATCAAAGGAGGATGTTTTAATTAATTTGAAGAATATGTTAGAAATCTTTTGGGGGAAGATTTAGGGCCATTGAATCCTAAGGAACTTGAACAGCTTGAGCATCAATTGGAGACATCTTTGGAGCGCATTAGATCCACAAAGGTACGTAACAATATAATATTAAGGCTTAGTTTGATAACTATTTTGTTTTTTCATTTTTTGTTTAATCATTTACAATTTCTTTTATATGTATTATAACTTTTTTAGAAACACACTTGAGCGCTTTGCCAAATTAAAAAAATAAAAACAAGTTTTTGAAAACTATTTTTAAGATAGTTATCAAATTTTAGTTTAGATTTTGAAAAAAAAAAAATTAAAAGATAGATGCAAAACACGGAAATACATAGATGAAACTTGAAAGTAGGGTTTACGAAGCTTAATTTTCAAAACCAAAACCAGAAAAATGAAAAAGAAAATGGTTACGGGGAGCCTAATTAGTTCCTAGTTGAAACCTTGGATTTCCTCTTTCTCCTTAACATGATCAAAATTTCCTTGAACAGACAAAATACCTAATTGACCAGCTTGCAGATCTTCAACACAAGGTACATTATATTTATACTACGCTTCTTCTGATATATATGTTGACTTATACCGCGTATTAATATGATATATGATATTATTTATTTTCGACAGCAAAATTGATATAATTGTATTTTTTAAACTTGTTAATTGTTTATATAACTAGCCAAGATATTTTCTGCATGTTGGTATCCGAACATCTTTTTAATTGGAAAAATACAAACATAATCTTCCTCAAATGAGTTGTTAATGAAAAATATGTTGGTGATGGAACTTTCACTTGTTGGGTTGTATTATGCAGGAACAAATGCTTGTTGAAGACAACCAAGGCTTAAGAAAGAAGGTAATTGAAAATGTAATTACATAATGCAAATTGGATCTTCACACTATACACTTGTTTTAAGCAGTGAAAACACTTTTAAAAGAAACACAAATTAATTACTTTTCCTCGAAATAATACTTTTAGTGTTTGATTAGCATTTCTTAAATTTTCAAAGTGCAGTCCATCAAATGTTATGAATTTTTTGAAGGGTAAATTTCGTACTCCACATACTACTCTATTTTCATAAATACTGAGCCACACGTCATTCTTAAATATTGTTAATGTGACTACAAACGAGAACTAAAGTCAAAAGTCAAGTTAGAAGTACTGCATCCAAAATTCATTCTCAACATGGTTTAAATATTATCGGGATTGGACAGGTGGAAGAAAGAAGTGCACAAGTGGCAGCGGCGGCAGCCGCCACATGGGACTGGGAAGCCGGCGGCGGAGGGCACAGCATGGAGCATCACAGCCGTGGTGCTTCACAAACAGACGCCTTCTTCCACCCCATAATACAATCCACTCCCACTTTACAAATTGGGTATTCAAAAAGTCTTCTTTTTTAAATGCTCCATTATTAGTAGATTATTTTCTTAGCCAAATTTGGTTGTAAAAGTTCAATTTCTCTTGTGAATTTCAGGTACAATCCTGTTCACTCAGTGGGGTTGAATAATAATGTTGGACCTCCATCCCAAAATGCCAATGGATTTCAGCTTGATTGGATGCTATAAGAGTACTATAGACACCAAAACTATCTATCATATTTTCTAAACATAAATTCCAGCTTATGAATCTTGGTTAATTAATTAAATTCTCCACCCTCGATATTATTTCGAGATCGTTCCATTTCTTATCTTTTTCATGCATTCGGTTGTTCATGTACATATATATACATATAACTTTGTTGTTTAACTTAGGATTATGACTCAAGTCAAATCCAAACTTAAGACTTGTGTAAGTATAATATACGTTTAATTATATTCATTAAGAAAGACCTAAAACCTCTTTTATTGCTTTTCCTTCAATGTCAATTGCAAACTAGGTTTAGTGTCTATGAAAAATTCAAACTAGGATTTGAGTTTCACTTTTATACTATACATTTATCTATGTGTGTTAAATTGGCTATTATGTTAAATTTATTGTTAAAAATAATTTAAACTAGGATTATAAAATTAGAAGAGTTTGTTAAAAAAGGGACACTTGTAGATAAGAAAGAAATTCTTAAAGAAATAGCAAAAAGGAAAAGAAAAAAAAAAGAAAAGAAAAGATTGTAAATAACAATGGTATCTAAGATTGAGAAGAGCTTAAAAACAACTATACCCATACAAGTTCTCTTTTTTAAAAAATAGAGTAGATTTCCTAGAAATAATAACTATATAAAAATGTAACTATAAATATGACAACAATAAAATGCTTTATCTCAATCAATATCTAGTCAGCAAAAAATGGTTGTACAAAAACTTTTTTTTTATATGTTTTTTTTTTTACTTTGAAAGTGAAGCAAAATTCTAAAATTTTTTATATTAAAAATAACAAAGAAATTAGGAGCCAAAATAAAATTTTCTAAAAATATTTAGCTGAAAACAAAATAGTTATAAATAAATAAGAACGAGGCTTCAGCCCAAGCTATAAAATGGGCCCAAAATCGAGGCCCAACATCAGTCAATTTGGGCAAATGGTTCACATGTGAGCCGAGAGAAGGCCACGGACCATTTCTTTTATAATTTTTTTAATATTAAAAAAAATCATCTATGATATGGCTGCTCTCTGGTTTCTTTGTATTGTTTTCCATTTCTAGTTTCTGGTTTCTCGACGTTTCTTAGAAGCAACAAAATTAAATTTGTTTATTGTTTCTAGTTCTAATTTTTTTTGAAAACATAAATAAAAACAATAATATATTATTTTTTCCTTATAAAAATATTTTAAAAATAAACAGAACATAAAAATTTTGAATATTTAATTAAAAAATTAATTTTTATATAGAATATTTTTATTTTGTAAATGGTAAAGAATAAAAAACAAAAAATTGTTAAAAAAATATATGTTTATGTTATTTTTTTTCCATAAAAAGGAAAAGAAAAAAAAGAAAAAATAGTTATAGAATATAATTGTATTTTTTATATTAAAAAAAGAGAAAAAAATCTAGAATAGTTGTCAATTATCGCTAAACTATACTGGATCGGTGCTGAGGTATATTTTTCGAAAGAAGCCAAGGTGCTAGCTTTGTCATTGCAACACAAGTGCGCAAAGAATTAATATATCCAAAGTTAAAAGCTTTATGTCAAATGGGGAACCTCACATTTCTTTTTCTTTTTTATTAATTCATGAATCAAACCAAGCTGATAGACCTAGGAATCCATCTTGTCACCCCATCTTTCTTTTCTTTCTTTCTTTGTTTTTTTCCTTCTTTTTCTTTTGTTCCCAAAAGTTTCATCCATGTCAATTCTCGTGTAGGCTTAAAAAAGTTCTTAGTCTAAAATTATCAAGAATATTACCCCTATAAAAAGTAATATTACCCCTATCTTATCAACTCAAACGCATTAGAATTTAGTGGGTGAAGCGACATGATTCTTTAGGATTTAAGGTATTGGTAAAAGATTAAATTTTTTAACAACCTATTAGCTTAAATTTTTAGATTCTTCATTGATGAAGATCGAAAACTTATGTGTCAAAGCCCAATTAATGTCGATAATCCAAATATTTTATTAAAACAAAATATATAAATCCTTCCAATCGAAAAAGATGAGATAAAATAAACATGCAAAAAGAAATGAAGGTCCTGGAGATGGAGGGGTATTCTCAAGGTTTTGGTAATTGTAATGGTAAAGAGGAAGATGATCAAGTAATGAAGATTAAGAAGGGTTAGTAGAAAGAAAGCAACAATGATTAGAAGAAGAAGAAAGAAATGGATGGAGGAAAAAAGAGAAGAGAATCAAGGTTAGTGGCAGAGACAGCACCACGTTTTGGGGAATATTAAATCTTAAAGGAAACACTGTGTTTGATATCCAAATTAGGGCAATCAGATGGTCAATGAGTGGGGCTGAAAAGACAACCCACCTTTGCCCCATATCTGCAATTTCAACTTCTTCATTCTTTTCTCTTTAATCTTTCAAAACAAACCCAAACCCTTTCCCAAAACTTGCCTCTTTTACACACCCAACAACGCTATCTTCATGTCAATGTGACTCCCAATTTTTTGCATTACTTGTAGTTTGTGAATTTCAATTTCCACCGCATTGGTTTAGAGTGTAACTAGGGCGGGTTTCAAAGTTGGGACCGACACTCCTTAATGCGGGAGACATCTTTGGAGTGATCTCATAGTTCTTTCTTAAGGGTGGAGCTAAAATATACGGTTGGTCCATGAATTTTTCTTTTTCTTTACTTCATTTTGATTACATGGCCAACTGATCATACTCGTCTCTTACACTACAATGAAAAACGAGATTTCAACGAGATATTTTTTTGTGAAAATTAACGATGGCTATATTAGGATCATCTGCCAATGAAATTTTTTCGACTTAAAAAGACTAAGGGTTAGTTTGAGTGAGTTTGTGAGGCTTTAGACACAATTTTTTATACTTAAGCAAGTACTTTACACACATTTAAGCTATGGGAGTTAGACATGTTTGGTTCCAATTTAGTTAAATGCATTTCAGGGTGACTTGATTAAGTTTAGACATTAAAATTATCAAAAGTTAGATGAAAAGAAAGTGGGAACCATAAGATTTAAGGTGTTATTATATTTTGAAACACATACTAATTTTTTTTTTATGAATTTAATTTATATGCAAGCTAAATAATAGCGTTGGTTCTCATGCAAATATATAATTATGGTCACGCAAATTTAACCACTATGGAATTGTGTCTTAATTAAGTTTAAAAGGAAATTTAAGCATTATATCAAATTTGTAAATATAAAATAAGATTGTAGTAGTTGAGTGATGCTTTTTTACTCCAACTAAATGTCCATATGTATATAATATGATTTAAAAGTGACTGTGCAAACCTGAATAAATTGACTAAATTGACCAAACTTGAACTAGATATTGGTCAAGATTGATCGAAAGTAATTAAAGCCCATTTAATTAAACTTCAATATTTTGGATTTTATGAAATTTATTCAACTAACGTATGTTGTTCAAATTGATTGAATTAAATTTTAGTCCCTGTATAATGAAATATCTTAAGATTGGTCTTTATCATTAGTTAAATTAATCAATGCATGCATGATGACATGTCACTAGTAGGTTGATGTGTAGAGCTATTAAGGCCTTCACATTAGCAATATCTTAACTTAAAAGGACCATTCACATACTTTATTGAAGGTATAATGGCCAAATTAAAATATTCAAAATGTATAGGGACTTAGATATAAAATAATCCTTAAAGTTCAAGGTACCAACTAAAATATATATTTATTTAGTGGGACAAATTCTGTTTTTGTTTCAAACAAAATTTTAAATAATTAAATATATTGAAAATAGTGTCTTGAAATTAATTTAAGAATATTCCTTTTCTCACTAATATTTTTTTGGTTTTCACGTTTGAGACTTTGACGTCAATATCAGAGAAAAAAAAAGAAAAAAGAAAAAAAAAGAGAGAAAATTCTCTACTTAATACCCATCGAAAAAGAAAAAGAAAACGACAAGTGATTTAAAAATATATATATTATCAATACTCTTACGATAATAATGGCTCAAATGGAGTACTATTTCACGTGAATGAACTTTATCTTATTATTTAAAAAAAAATTATCTTATTTATTTAAAAGGCATAAATTTCATATTCGTGCCTGTAAACTTTCAAAATTATTATAATTTGATACTTAAATTTTCAAAGGTTATATTTTAATCTCCGAACCTTGTAGAAAAAAATCCATTAAAGTCATTGTTATTTTTAGTACAAAGTCATCCAATTTTGAAGACAGATTTAAATTTTTATTAAATATAAAATTAAAGGCTAGAATATGAAATTCTGGAAGTTAACTTAAGATACTCTCACGTGAAAATTAAATATCCTAATAAGTGTTTAGACGACTTTCCAAAACATTACTCAAGGGATTCTCTCAAGACGAGTTCTTAATCATACACGCGTCAGAAATTGTTTCTCTCATTTACAAGCCATACATTATTAACTTCGAAAAGTCATCCAAAACTCTCTCAAAACATTATACTTCACGTAAAAGCATTTGACGCCGTATATGAAAAAGATTTATGTTAAAGCCAACAATGGAGTGTTACCCAAATTTAAAGAAAGAAAAAAACCCAGTTTAGAGATAAAGAGGAGAGAAAGAGTAGATTCATAAATATGCCCAAAACAAAGGGTAATTTGGTGTCAGCAAATTTAACTGTTTAACATCAACGCATACCCAACCATAGTAAAATATATATATATAAAAAAACATAGAGTGGTCCC